GACAAAAGCAGAAAAAATAAGGCATTAGGATTACAAGAAAGACAACTACATTGATTAAAATATTGACCATATGGAAATGTGAAGGTGTGTTACCAGTGATCACGAGTTGGAGGTAGGATTTAGACATTAAATGCTTTGTTTTTATTGTATTGGTTACTGTACAGGAGCCAGTAGGTCTCTGTGGCGCCCTCTAGCAGTTGTTTGGGTGAACTGCAACATGGCTGACAATTACATTATAATAAAGAGAGAGGGGCTTCACAAAACTATTGGCTCCAACTGTACTACATTCACAGCATGTTTGCTAATAAGTTCAAGGATTAAAATAGTCTATTGACCGAAAAAGGCAATAATTTAAGAAGACTTCAATAAATATAAGTTTGGTGCAAGTTTGATTGACTGGGGATGCACTGCAATAAGCTTCAAACATGTAACCAAATAAATAATGTTATGGCTGTTTTAATAGTTTAATAGTATTTTTTTTCCTCATGCACCGTTTGTCCATAGCATGAAAAGCAGATTCCTTGAACACATTTATCTATTTGTTAATTTGTATTTATTGTATGGGCTATTTTCTTTTGTTGCTTCCAGTAGTCAGGCAACTCTAGTCAATCACAAAAAATCCAAAATCGCTCTAAGATACTAAGAATTTTCTAAAATGAACATTTGGAATAACGCATGGACCAACTTCCCACAACTTTGGTTTCAGAACTAGGTATTAAGATATCTGCAATTTGACATTCTCTGTACGATTTTTACAACTAAATGGATGAAATAAGGCAAGTTCCCCAATGTAAGGCACCGCACTGCACTTCAGTATGCATTAACATTTGGAGAGGCACCAGACCATGGAGCCATTGAGAAAACCAGCTCCCTGTTCTTCTGGACTAATATATATTTATATGGTGCCTTGCAAAAGTATTAGTACCCCTTGAATTTTTGCACGTTTTGTCACGTTACAAACACAAACATAAAGACTATTTACCAAAAGACAACAATGAAGTGAAAGAAAATGAAGATTGTTTTGCTGAAGAGAAGCAGCCCCACAGCATGATACTGCCACCCCCATATTTGACAGAGGCCTTGAATATTTTTTTTTTTAACAAAATAAATCATGTATGTTTTATCTTTCACTGCACCGTTGTTTCTTTGTTCTCTCAGAAAAAAATATTTTCAAAACAAAATATTTTTTTGTGGCTGCAAAAAGTGACAAAAAGTGGACTAATACTTTAGCAAGACACTGTATCAAGTTTAGGCATGCATACAAATCACTGTGTATATTTAAAAAAAGGAAAATATATCATAACATGGATCAGGCTACAGCTACAAACAAGAATTTAAGTGCACTGTATTTTTGAAACAAGTATGGGCTTGTTCCTAATTACTTTATCATTCCCTGACAAAGAACGCACCACTAGAGCTATACCAAACCAGACCAGACCTAAAGTACCTCCAACACTGACCATATCATGACACAACAAGCTAAGTCCTTTACTTTGTCCAACTGTCCACTTTAGCACTTGAATCAGTCTCTACACATGAGGAAAAAATGTTAATTTGCAGGCTAACACTTATTATAATGTTACATATAATAATTGTATCATATAAGAGAATCAAAGGCAAAAAAATCAGCTTCAGCAACACAAAACCCATGAGGTATATTCTCGCTCAGTGCCATTAAAGAGACAGGAGCATATCAGAATCCAAATTTGTTTTTAAAGCTGAAGAGTATAAAGCCTGGGAGATTAGTAATGAATCCAATCATCGTGACAACAGGCGCCACTATCCTGGATCATACAATAATGTCTCCTCAAAAAAGTACCCAAAAATGACCACATTTTATCAAGAAAAATAGGTAGGGGCTTTGCTTGCTGTCGGGATGTGTCGTATTATAATCCCAGCAAGTATTGAACATGAAGTGAATGACTGAAAGCGTGAAAATGCGTCCAGAGAGAAATTCAGAGAGAAAGGACTTCCTATGTTTTAGAGGGAAAGCAGCATTTTTTTCTCAAATCATCACTCAAGTTTATGTTACAAAAGAAGTCAACGACCACACATTGGCTGCAGATAAGTGCTTGTTTGAGTTTAGATGGAGCTGTCTTTGTTTTTAATAAATAGATTAATAAAAGCAGCCAATACGTGATCAACATTACTACTACATCTGTGTAACAAATGCTGTGATTCAAGAAGAACTGGGATAATAATATAGCTTAGAAACTTGTACTATTCTAATGTTTTAAAGCTCTAGTTTGATTCAAATTTGAACTCATTAGAAAAAAAAACACACAAGATAAGGTCATTTTCCATCTCAAATTGACTTATTGCTATAATCATTGCAACATTGTGGTAAAGGTGGAGTACATTTTCTGGTTTTCTCGAGTTTGGATTTGGCTCTTAACTTTTCCTGAACAATTTCATGCTTTTCCTTGTGTTTTAAATCACCAATAAGAGATCAATAGCTTCTAAATTTGTAGTACTAATGCTGCCTTTTTCATGCCTGCTGTGGCTGATACCTTCAACACAATCCATTACTAGCTCCTATTCTGACTGTGAAAGCTTAGCCAACATCTGCAGCCAGAATGAAATATCCCTCCACAAGGCATTGATTTGTGCCTGGTTTTGATTTTCGCCTCCTGTTGCGACTAATGGAGCAGTGAGGGGGTGACATCCGAACTCTGAAAACACATCCGCGCCAAACAATCGCCTCACGAGAAAGCCGCCAAAAACACTGGTGTGGTTCCATTCGGCAAGGCATCAAATGAGTTCAACGTTGCGATTAAATAGTAATGGTGGCCCAATGTCAAATAGAATTATGCAATCACAAATATGCTTTTATTTAAAATGTCCGATTACTCAAGAGGTCTCTGTCTGGTAAATGAATTCTCCCAGATGTGCTTAAATTGGACAGTGAGAGCTGGTTTCAAAATTCTTGTTTTGGTCGGAGTGTGTGCACCGAAGCTCAACAGAGCAGTTAAAAATATGTCGTCATACTACAAATTGGAAATGTGGAAAAAAGGCAGCAACTAAAGATCATAAGCTGGTCCCAAAATGATTCGATTTTATGCAAAAGCGAATAACAGCGATTTGTTAGCATTACGGGAAGGAGGGAGGGGATGCTAAAAGACTTGCTTTTCCGGGATGTTTCACAATATGGTATTAAAATGGTCAATTTCTGTGAATCAGTTAAGAAAATTATTGGTCAAATCTGTAAGTGTTGGCCACTCTTCAGACTGTATAACAAGTGGATAGTGCTAACCTGCTAGCTTGATGAACAGGGAAGTCACACACACCAATTTGGTCTAAAACAATGCCTTTTTACACGTTACATGATCCTGACGTCTCTTTCCCAGCATTGCCTTTGAAAGTTCAGATATGATCCCTAATGACTCACTAATTTGTTTTTTTAAAGTTGCAATTTGAATCTTGGCCACTCCGCTCCTGATTGGCCTGTTGGTTGCTATGATGTTGCTATGGAAGAATTTTGCTACAGGTATTCCCGGCTGTGGAGCTTGTTTGAGTAAGCCGTAAATGCCTTAATTCGGGGAAAATCCAAGTCCAATCCTTTCTACCGGCTTAATGCAAGTATTTTCACACCATACTGAGGAACATCCCGTGAAACCCTTCTCCATGGAACCAAGCAAGTGGGGGACCAGAAAAGTAGCATAGTGCATCTTAAAAACAAACTAACATGAAAAGAAATAGCTATTTTATAAATGTATCTATGCCTTGCGCCGCTGAGCCTCTCACTCTGCGTCTGCTATAGACCAGCAACGCCCCTGTACACCAAAACATATCACAAATAAGGCAAAAGACACCAAACCTAGTCTATATACTTATGTTACACTATAAGCAATGTGCGGAAAGAAGCTACGCCTTTTCAACAGGTTATCAAATAGATACATTAGAAAAATAATGTCTTTTCTTTCTTCGCCAAACTCAACTTTTAAAACATGTACATAATTCTGTATTGGCTGTGACTGAATGAAAATGTAACAGTTTGACGTCCAGTATCAAATGGACAAAGGCATTTTTAATAATCTACGGCTTAAGAATGGTTTGAAATAAAGGGTTTTTGGCCCACTCGCGAAACTGGTGGAAATCCAGGTTTAAAAACACACATAAAGGAAGAAAGGCTTTTCCTATATTTTGAAGTTAATATAATATTTAATAATAATAATAATAATAATAAAGCGTGTCTTTTAAACTCTGTTCGCAGCAAAAATCACCACTCTAAAACCTTGGGAGTTGCAAAAGTACAATGTCTACACGGGATTGAAAAGGTTTGGGGATATTAATCTTGATTTGGTGAAAATAAATATTTGATCCCAGATGGACATTACAGTTGTGCTATGTTCATTGTAAGGTTCCAGTTTGGGTGAGTCCAAGCAGAGTCCATGTTTTTTTTAAATACTGGTTGATAATTGCTTGAATTAAGTCTTCAGCCTCATTGGAACAGTCTGACGGCAGATTTGCAAAAGGGAAAACCATAATGTTTTGGTTTACTCCTTGTTTCTCCATTCTCAGATCAGTTTTAACTGAAGTAAGAAATTGCTTGATTACTTCGGCCAGTCAGCGGCTACGGTCCCCATCTTTGTCATATCTTCTTTCAAATAGCGTTGTCACAATATAAAACTCTTATTCATTTCATTTAATAAAAATGTCGATACCGCTGAAATTATTTATGAATCTTTTTGGACAATAGCCTGTAATTTTGAGCTTTTATGGATCCACAAGGTTTTACATGGGAAAGGTCAACGCCATTTTGTCCAGTTTTTGTCATCTAATTTAGCATCTATACTTGCTCTAGTTTTGGTATTCATAAATATCTGAATACTTTTGACAACCCTATTTTCAAAACAGTCAAGATTAAATTCTCCCAATTCAAGCAATTATGGACAAGAAGTAAATAATAGAAGTCTACAAGTAAATGGATCTAAACTCAACCCGCGCGTACTATTCCCAAGCCTTTAATCCTCAAGTAGACATTGTTTTTCGCAGTGGGACTAGGAGGCGTGGGCCTCCTCAGGGGCCGGTGGCTTCTTCAGGTACTGGATCTGTTTTATCAGGTAGTTCTTCTCGTCGCAGAACTGCTCGTCCTCGGAGCGGTCGATCTGGAAGTTGCTCAGGAACTCCACCAGTTTGGCCTGGTTCTTCAGAAGGATGTCCAGCACTGGTTGGGTCTTGTTTGGGTTCGCCACAAAAACCTGAACATAAAACGTAAATAAGGAGGATTCTGAGGAGGTTACTGGCATCCAAAACATTTATTGTGAAATATGTTTTTACACGTCTCAATAATATCACTTTGTAAATGCTGAATACCTATGGTTTGAAAAACAGCTCTGTCCATGACGTCATACACTGAGCATTCGTTATAGTGAGTTTGAAAACAGAGAATTTATACAGAAAGGGTGGGATTATTTCTGGCACAAACACCTTTATGAAATCAGTGAAGATGGTAAAAGAAAAACTTCAGGTCTGCAACACACATGGTTAAAAGGGAAAACCAAGGCTGATTTAGCAATTTTTGTCTCATTTTAGATTTGAACAATAAAAATTCCTATAGCAGTTTCATGGTTTTGGTTTAGCTTTACGAGCAAGACAAGATTCTCTATAGCTGGAAGATTGACAAAACAGACCGTGGATATGTACCATTGGCCTCGCGGGTAACTGTTAGAGATCAAGTAAAAGTCGTTTGTCCAGAGGTGAGTCATAAAGAGGCAGGAATTCTGACATGAATTCCAACGCACCTTGTTCAGTCATGACACAACATTGTGATATTTAATGTTCTAATGAAACTCAGCCAAGTCCAGTCTAAAATAAAAACAGATTAGTTTCACGTTGACATAGCAGACCAAAGCCTCAGTCAGGGGTCACAGTTTGTTGCATTTCGGAGACTTCTCGTCTTAAATCCTTTCTACAAACACGCACTTCTGGCTGTCCCTGCGCTGTCACACCCTTTTTTCTAACTCTGAGATCATTGGGCCTCATTCACGAATAACTTCGTAAGAAACTTCTTAAATTTCTACTCAAGTCGTTCTTCAGTAGATTTCTAAGAAGACCCTACGTGGGATTCATCAACGCGCTCGTAAGCCGCTGAATTGTTCGCAGCTGTTCTCTCAGATTGATGAATGCCAACTCCTCGTAAGTAGAGCGCGCGTGCCCAGTGCTTCATTAGCATAGGTACTTAGCATAAGTAACCGCCCACTAATGCCCATATAAGGGACTGCAGGGCCGTGTGCAGACGGCTGAGGAAACAGCAACAGGCCTAAAGCAAAGAGTTACACGGAGCAAAAGAGTCACCCTTTTTTCTTCTTTTGCCAGACTGAGAATAAAGTCATAAAATGTTGACTTAACCTCTTAAGCCCAGAGGCCTTTTTTCCCGAAAAAGCTATAATCTACATTTACTAAGGTTTCATATAGTATTTAGCCAGATATGTGGCCAAACTTGGTACCAAATTACCTGGTGGACCTTGGGGATTGCTGTGGAAGTGAAAAAAGATGATAAATTGTATTGGTTGCCAATAAAATTAGGTTGAAACAGACAATTCTAACTTCCGCCTAAAAAAAAAACACATATTTTCCCTCAAAAAAGCTTTTTCCCTGTCTGTGGTGTAGCAAATAAGAACTAAAATTGACAGTTCCCGATATTTTGGACCAGTCCAGCAAAAATTGTGTGCAAATAAACAAACCACTGCAGAGTTGTACATGGAATTGGAAAAAAAGTCCAGGCGGAATCCAACTGTGCCAAAATTGTGCCAAATGGCACAAACATGTCTGTAGAGTCATCGAGATAAACTTTGGCACCCGGTTCCCTAGCAAGAAGCTCTACAACCTCCTCGCGTGTATAACGCTGTTTTGCCATTTTTAATTTCGTCAAAATTCCGAGTACCTGCCGTGCGTAAAGGCATTGCGCACAGCCTCCTTCTGCCCCAACTATACGCATGTACACGCCTCCGCGGTACTTTGGCCAATCAGGGCATGTTATACCATTTTGGAAAGAACACACCTTCGGCTATCAAAAACCATTGAAAACGTATTGATGGACAGCACCTGTGGCCAATCACAGGAAGAGATACACAGAGGTACGTGACATGACGCACGGGTGCAGCCTATCACAAAGGGCCTCTTACAGAAGGAGGAAGTAACTGGTATCTGCCAGGTCGCTAGAAAGCCTCGCTATGAGGTTGAATACAAGAAAAAACGGACTTTTATTCCTATGGAAATGACTTGTGATGAAAAAACAGCAAAAGTAAGTCGACTTTTACTTCAACGCTGATGTTTTACGGCTTTGTTTTCTGGCATTCGTCTGCGGCTTGGTCAGCGAGTATTAGAGCTAGCGTTACCAGCCTTATAGCGTTGTGTTCAGCTCGGAGAGGGCTTTCTAATGGTATGCTGACAGCAGGGCTACTTATTGTTTTGAGGGCGCTTGTGACGCCAAAGCAAACATTTGTTTCGACATGTGCTTTATGACGATTTGTCAGATTGTGGTTTGTTGTTTGAACCTGGGTCTGTTGAACTGAAATTGAAGTGGATAATGTTGTAGCTGAGAGTTGTCCGAACACGAGGATGTGAAACATGTGATTGTCAGTTGATGTATATGTCAGCTATGGTCCGGACAAGCTGCAGCAAGGGGGGGCGGACCCCGAATGGGGCGCAATCGGGCTGAAGAGGTTTTAAAAGTCGAAATATTATAAGAATAAAGTCGAACTAGCAAAATTATGAGATTAATCTAAAAATATGATGAGATTAATCTCAAAATGCTATGAGATAAATTTAAAAATATATTATGTATTATTTTAAAAATGAATCTCAAAATGTTTTGAGATTAATCTAAAAATATTTTGGACCCTGGGAGGAGATCCAGCGCGGACCAGCGCTGAGACCAATGCAGACCCGAGGAGAGACTGGAGTGACCAGCATACAGAAACCAGCGCGGACAGGAGATCGCATAGACTGAGAGACCTGACTGAAGAAGAGAGACCGCATACCAGACTGGAGAGACCAGCGCGGACCGAAGAGAGACCGCCAACCAGACTGGAGAGACCAGCGCGGACCCGTTTGGATCCAGGAGCGTGCAGCACGGACCCGTATGGAGAGACCAGTGCAGACCCGTCTAGAGCCATGGGAGAGACCAGTGCAGATCCGTATAGATCCATGGGAGACCCTAGTGCAGATCCGTATAGATCCATGGGAGAGACCAGTGCAGACCCGTATAGATCCATGGGAGACCCCAGTGCAGATCCGTATAGATCCATAGGAGAGAACAGTGCAGACCCGTAGAAATCCATGGGAGAGACCAGTGCAGACCAGTATAGATCCATGGGAGAGACCAGTGCAGACCCGTATAGATCCATAGGAGAGACCAGTGCAGACCTGTATAGATCCATGGGAGAGACCAGCGCAGAGACTCAGAGCGGACCCCGCAGCCTCCTGCAGCAGCAGTATATATTCCATTGTTCTGTGGCCCGTGGATAAAGAAATGCCCCCTATAAATAGGATGGGGTCACTACTGTAATACATGGCATGATTTCCAATGTATTTGATAAAGCGTTGGCACATTTAATTTCAAAATGAATTAAAAAATAGGCTAAATTACCATTAACATTTAAATAAATAAATACATACATCAATATGACGGACATATCACTGGAATGTTGTATTTTTATTAAACTTCACCAAAGAGGACAACCCCGGCGTGTGAACATGTCGGCACTGAATGCGTACGAGTGCTCCTGAGGACTCGTAGGATTTGTACTTGCCCAAGAGAAATTCTGTTTACGAGAAAAATTTGTGAATGCCACTTTCTTTGTAAAAACCTCGTAAGTAGGATTTACGTACATATCTGTTCCTAAGAACCGTTCGTGAATGAGGCCCATTCTTCCAGGACCCTAGAGTAAACTCCGGCGAAGTTCTGAATCAGTCGCCCGTTTGTCGAGGTCGAGCTGATGTGTTCTCAAATGTGCTTTTACTTTTCCTCTTTCCTTATGAAAAGTGTGCATGGCGTTGTGAGCACTTGGTTAAAGTATCTGGTCAAATATGCTTGTTCTGAAGTGCTTTGATTTGCTGCACTGAAATCCCCCTCAATCCCCATCTAACAACAATAAATAAAACTAAACATTTTACGATTTTGTAAAAAACTATAAGAAGAAACTGAAATCTCCTCTATTGTTTCGGCCTCCAACCAGTTTTATTTTAATCGCCCTCTGACCAAAAAGAGTTTGACACCCCTGTCTTAGGGTATCCTCTTGATACATGTACATATTTTATTTGTATTTATTTTATTCTGTTTTTGAATGCCAATGCAAATATGTTATATACAGTACTTGTGATGCCCGCCACGCCTTTGTTTTTGGATTATTCTGAAAATTCTCAAATAGAAAAAAAAGATCTTATTGTAGTTAAGTATATGGCCCAACATGCTCTATGACATACGTGGCCAACCAGAGGCTCGCGAGCCTCATGCGGCTCTTTGGCTGATTTCATGCGGCTCTTGAGGGGCTCACATGACAGGCGTCAAAAATGCTCGGCGCTGGCGCTGATCATTCATTCCCTATATGGCAACCTGACCAGGAAGCCGGTTTGAGTGACGTCAAACGCGCATTTGCGTGAGATGAACATATATCTTACGAATAATTTTGTGTGCTCTCAAAATGGCAGGGAAAAAAAGCACCGCAAAACGAACGTATGTAGATGAACACCGGACATTTTTAACAGAGTGGGAGAGTTCATATTTTTTTATCGAACGTAATGACAAGCCATTCTGCCTGATATGTCAGGCGTCGTTAGCGCATTTTAAAGCATCTAATCTTCAACGGCACTTCAGCTCACTCCACGCAAACTTCGAACAGGAATATCCAAAAGGGACTGAACTTCGCAAAAGCAAGTTGGTAACGTTGAAAAGTCAGGCAGAAAAGCAGACACAGTTTTTCAAAAAATTTACGAAGCACTCTGAGACCGTAACGCTGGCGTCTTACCAACTGGCTTTGAACATTGCACAGGCTAAAAAGCCATACAATGAAGGGGAGTTTGTCAAAAAATGCCTCAGCGACGCTGTTGAAATATTGTCTCCTGAAAATGACAAATTAAAACTAATGATATCAGACGTTCAACTGTCCCGCCACACTGTTGAACGCAGAATATCGGACATTAACGCGGCTATTGAAACACAGTTGTACTCTGACCTTCAAGAATGTGCGTATTTTAGTGTTGCATTGGATGAGAGTTGTGACATACAAGACAAGCCTCAGTTGGCAATATTTGCACGGTCTGTGTCAAACGATTGTGTGATCAAAGAAGAACTCCTTGATATTGTGCCATTAAAAGACAGAACCCGTGGCATAGATGTGAAAGAAACAATGATGGCTGCATTCGCGAAAGCACATCTGCCCATACCAAAACTAACTGCAATAGCTACGGATGGAGCGCCAGCCATGATCGGATCTGTGAACGGGCTTGTGGGCCTGTGCAAAGCTGACCAAACATTTCCCACATTTTGGAATTTCCACTGCATCATCCACAGGGAGCAACTCGTGTCTAAATCACTGAATTTAGACAACGTCATGAAGCCAGTGATGGAAATGGTCAACTACATCCGCACGCATGCGCTTAATCACAGGCAATTCAGGAATCTCATCGCTGAGCTGGACCAAGGGCTTCCCGGTGACCTGCCGCTGCACTGCACTGTGAGGTGGCTGTCAAAAGGCAAAGTACTCTCTCGCTTTTTTGAGCTTTTGGATGCCGTGAAAATGTTCATGGAAGAGAAGAACAAGGACTATCCCGAACTCTCGGACCTCGAATGGATTATGGATCTGGGCTTTTTGGTCGACATGCTGTGTCACTTGGACAGACTGAACCTAACCCTGCAGGGTAAGTTAAAAATGCTACCTGACCTGGTGCAAAGTGTGTTTGCGTTTGTCAACAAACTGAAGCTGTTCAAGGCTCATATTCAAAAGGGAGATTTAACACATTTTCCCACGCTGTTAAAAGCCAGCGGACAAGTCACCAGCGCCGCCCTGAATAAGCAAAGAGCCAGATATGCAGCACTGGTTGAAAACCTGCACGAAAGCTTTGTGTCCCGGTTCCGTGATCTACAAATGAAAAGGCCACAGATTACGTTCCTCGTCGACCCATTTAATGCGGAGACGGACTGTTTGAAAGCCCCGCTAGTCACAGATGAGGCTGCGGCTGAGTTGGAAATGATTGATCTTTGTGAGGAGGACCAACTGAAAGCTGCTTTAAGGGAAGGGACCATTGAGTTCTGGAAAAGTGTGCCAATGGAAAAATACCCCAATGTCAAACAGGCTGCACTGAAGGTACTGTCAATGTTTGGGTCAACATACGTCTGCGAGTCTTTGTTTTCTACCCTGAAACATGTGAAATCAAAGCATCGATCTGTTCTGACTGACACCCATGTGAAAGAATTGCTTCGAGTGGCAACAACGGAGTATAAGCCAGATTTGAAGAGGATTGTTCAAGACAAGGAGTGCCAGAAGTCCCACTAAGCAACATACAAAGTAAGAGAAAAAAACACTATTGTAAATTACATCTTTGTTTTGGACTTGGTTAAACTGAGAGTTTGTGTGTGTGTGTGACAGTGCACACAATGTTCATTGTTGAAAATGACTGGCCTGTATTCTTGAAGGAGTCAATATCTGTCATTATGTTTGTGTGTGACATTTACAATAAATCTGGCTTAGCAGAGATCTCTGTGTGTGTGTGTGTGTGTGTGTGTGTGTGTGTGTGTGTGTGTGTGTGTGTGTGTGTGTGTGTGTGTGTGTGTGTGTGTAAGGGATGGGGTTGTGATTGTGTGTGCCCATGTGTATGATGTGGCTCATTGCAGAATCACAGTTAAAAATGTGGCTCTTTGTCTCTGACTGGTTGGCCACCCCTGCTCTATGAGATGAGAACCAACATTTACAATGAAACTATATTTTTTGACACGATCACCAGAACGAGTGTCTGACCTTAAAAACATGGAATGCTTCGAACTGGATGTTTCTGCTCTTGTCTCGCAGCAGGTTCATCATGAGCTTCAGGTTTTCTGGTTTACTGATGTATCTTTCCATCACCGTGAAGTTGTGTCGGTCCAAGAGGAGTTCTCCCAGAAGCTGCAAAAAATACAACACTCATCAACTCCAGTCCGCAGGATTCTATTTCTTGCCATGTAATTAATTTATCCCAAAAAAAATCCATACAGTAACCATCTATCTATCTAATAAAGGGTATTGGATGTATGGCAGTTTTTTTGTCCCAGTTCGCCCCGGATACTCCCACTTTAAGATGCACTGTTTTAAAAAAAGACTTAATCTTTTATTGTTCAAACCAATAGAAATGAATGAAAAACACCCAATTAAAAAACATAGAAGTACAATCTTAAAACATGTACACAAATGTGAATATTCCTGCATTATTTTTACTAGCTAGCTAAAGTCATACATGCTGTATAACAATCATGATTCAATTTATGGTTGGATGTTGGGTAACGTTAGAGCTTGTGAGTTGGATTAAATAGAATAACACCACAGGCTGATAATACAAATGGTTAGGTAACTAATTGGGTCAGATGACAAGATGTGAGACCTGTTAGAGGATCAACTTAAAGCCCATATCACAGGCAAAAAAATGTAATCCAAAAACATTGTTGGATCTTGAATTTTACTTCCTGTTTGGACTTGGGCTGCAAATAATGACGAAGGTAGAAGTGGTACGGGTAACCAAAGCAAACACAAAGCCCTAACCTTTATTGACATGATAGATATATGATGATAAATGTAGAAAGATGAGACAACGCCTATATTTTGTTTAATGTTTAAACCGCCAAATATTTACAACACTTTTTATGTGCATGAATCATCTTTGAATCTGCTGAGAAGGAGCATAAAGAGTCTGTATAACACACAACAAAATACAGACACAAAACATACAGTATTAATAAAACGTTTCTCTTTAATTGTCACACTACTATAAAAAGATTTACAATGGGTTCTTTTTCAGCAAAAAAAAAAAAAAAAAGTATTTCCAAAGGGGAAAACAAGAAATCAGTTTACCTTTAAAGACTGCCGTTTGGTCACGTAGTTTTCGGAAAGAAGGAGTTTTTCATAGTGCATAAACACCTGAAAGAGACAGTTAGATTTGCACTAAATCAAAAATAATGTAAAGAATTGGCAGATAACAGTTTTATCCACATGAAAAATAAAGTGACACATCCTTAAACATATTATTTTCATGTAGTTGTATTTTCTATGATGGAACGTACACTTTATTCAGTCAAAGGTCTTCGACACTTAAAAAACTGACACTACAGAGATAGCAGCGGTTTGTTTTAATATAGACATTTCTGTATGACAGCAGTAAACAATAAAGTTGCCTATGATGCTTGTTTATGGCATTTAATCTTGTGCCATGAATTATCTGGCGGCGGAATTATCTGTCATGGCGGCGGATGAGATGCGCCGCTTGGCTGGTAATGCCTTCTCACGAATAAAACCGGAGATATTCAAATCCAACGATGGTAAAGTTCTCGTTGAAGATGAACTTTTGAATTTTATAGTGGTGAAAATGAGGACAATGTGTCATGATGAAATTGTAATGCTGGTTACAAACAATTTCAGCTCTGAGCGCATTGAGGCCTCCAAGAAAGTCTTGTTCGAGGTCTGCCCAGGTTCCTCGCAACGCTGCGTTATGCACAAAGGAGCACTTAAGGACATCAATAATGTGAAACTTTGCATGAAAGTCATTAATGAGTGTGGGGACAATATACCAAGATTTGTGTCACATTATCTGGACGACTTGCCCCCTGTTTCATTTAACCACATCGATGCATCTGCACTGCTGGCCCGGATGGAGCAACTAAACGCTGATGTCAGGTGTATGAAAAAGTCCATGGAGGAACAAACCAGCGCTTTCGAAAGCATACGCGCGGTTACGGCCTGCTTGGACAGCCGCGTCACTGTAATGGAGAATCACAGTGGGGTCCCTGAACCCACCACCGGAGCTGAGCGGCACTCCAGCGGTGGCGCACTGCAGGAGAGTCCTGCACGCCCTGTGCGTCCTGCACGCCCGGCGCGCTCTGCGCCACCAGCAGCAGAGTCGGCGTCTTCCCCAGCTTGGAGCCTCGTCGTGCGGGAAGGACGCCGACAGAAAGCATTGGATCCTAAGAATAGTGGTCCAAAGCCACGTATGCCTTCTTCCAGACGCGAGCGTAAAACCCCGGGCATAGTTGGAACAGGAGCCGGATCAAACATATGCGCCATCAGGACTAAACTGGTGAGTGTTTTTGCAACTAAGTTTGATCCAAGTTTGGAAGCTGACATGCTCAAGGAATACTTGAGTGAGAAGCTGGGCCGGGTTGTTCAATGCCGTAAAATTGAGTCTGCGCACGGGAGATTCAGCTCATTCCATATAACGGCTGAATGTAATGAAGTTGAAGACATGTATGTGCCCGAACTCTGGCCAGCTGGTGTGTTTGTTAGGAGATACTATGAACCTCGGAGGAAACAAGCTACAGCTACAGGTAGCTCTGGTCCTGGCTCTAGCCGCGCTAGTGCTTCTGCTGCCCAAGCTCTGAATGGCAATGAAAACAGCGAGGAATAGGCATGCTTACTATTGACTATGGATATACGCGTCCTATACTACAACTGCCGTGGCCTGCGTTTGGGCCAAACCGCGGAGGATAAGGCTCGCCGTTTTATTGTTGATCAGTTATTGGAGCAGTGTGACGTTCTCTGCCTGCAGGAAACATTCCTCGCAATGCAGGATTTGTCTGGTTTGAACTCCATAAATGACAGTTTTCATGGTGCTGGAGAGTCCACCACTGACCTCAGCCTGGGGATAATAAGGGGCAGAATCCCAGGAGGTGTGGCAATTCTATGGAATAAGAAGCTGGACCCAGCGATAAATGTAGTCAGGCTTGGAGTGGACTGGTGCATTGCTGTACGCCTGATACGTGATGATAAGGAATGTGTCATTTTAAATATTTACACTCCATATGAATGCCATCAAAATGAAGAAGATTATGTAAATAAGCTTGCATTCATTATTTCTTATGTACAAAACGAATGTTTTTCAAATGTTTTTATTATTGGTGATATGAATGCCGATATCTCAGACAACAGGTCAGCATTTGCTAAACATCTTAATCATTTGTGTTCTGATAATAATCTAATATTGTCCAGCAGAGAGCTCCTGCCTGTTGATAGTTATACCCATATAAGTGAGGCCTGGCATACCACATCCTGGCTAGACCATTGCCTCTCTACATCAGATGCCCACGCATCCTTGGCACATATGGAAATTTTATATGACTTCTCCACTGTTGATCACATTCCTGTTAAAATGGTGATCAAGTTTGACAGCATACCTTCAACTATAAAATGTAATAATAATCCAAAACAGGGCTTCTTAGATTGGTCCTCTTTGACATGTGAAGAATTGTCATTTTACTATGATTACACTGATCAATTATTGAGTAATGTATACATCCCTAAAGAAGCCCTCCTGTGCAAAGATGGTAATTGTTCAAAGCGTGAACATAGCACTGATATCTCTACTTTGTATAGCGCAATTGTCTCTGCTTTACTTGAAGCTAGTAAGCCTTTCCTTAAGCATAAGAAGAGAGGAAAAACTCTGCCTGGGTGGAATGATTATGTGGCTGAATTCTATGCTGAGGCTCGTGAAGCCACTAGATCATGGGCTATAGCTGGAAAGCCAAGACAAGGGCCCATTTTTGAACATAAGAAGAGCACAAATGCCAAATGTAAATATGCAATACGTTTCATATGTAAGAATGAGCAGCGTCTGAGGGCAGAGTCTATGGCCAACAGACTTTTAGATAACACAAACAATGATTTTTGGAAAGAAGTGAAACGTACAAATAATTGCAAACCTTCACTGCCATGTTCAGTAGATGGAGTCTCTGGTGCAAATGCAATTGCTGAGCTCTGGCGTAAGCATTATTGTAAACTGTTTAATTGTGTCCAGACCAAACGCTTTGAAGCAGACAGTGTTGATTTTATTGAGGAAATCACATACAATGAGGTCTCTAAAGCCATTTCTAACCTGGCAGCTAATAAATCAACTGGCCCAGACTCTGTCTCTGCTGAACATCTCAAACATGCAAGCCCAAAGCTGTGTATGTTACTGGCACTCTGTTTCAGTGCCTTTATGATCCATGGCTATCTTCCAGATTTAATGATGTCTGTGACACTGACTCCTGTAATTAAAGATAAAGCAGGAAAAGTGGGCTCCTCTGATAACTATAGACCTATAGCTTTAGCTAATATTTTATCCAAAGTTGTGGAACTAATTCTCCTAGAGAGGATAAATGAACTGATTACTTCTACAGATAATCAGTTCGGTTTTAAACCAAAACATTCTACGGATCTGTGTATTTATGTCCTAAAGGAACTTTTAAAACAACTATAGGAGCAAAAACTCAACTGTTTTTATGTGTTTCTTAGATGCGTCTAAGGCATTTGACTGAGTGAATCATTGGAAACTATTCAAGAAATTGGTTGCAGCAGGTGTCCCTCAATACATTGTCAGAATCCTGTCATATTGGTATTCCCAACAGACCATGCAAGTGAAATGGGACAGCTGCTTGTCTGCTCCCTTTCATGTGAGTAATGGAGTAAGACAAGGGAGCATCTTATCCCCAATTTTATTTAATTTTTATATGAATGAATTATCTCATAGTCTTAACTCATGTAAAACTGGCTGCATGGTCGGCAGCACAATGCTGAACCATCTAATGTACGCAGATGATTGTGTCATTTTTAGTCCGAGCTCAGCTGGTCTGCAGCAACTTCTTAGTATATGTTCAGTGTTTGGGGAAAATCATGATGTAAAGTACAATGATTCCAAAAGTGCCATTATGATCTGCAGAACCACAGAGGACAGACATTTAATCTTTCCAGCTTTTCGACTTGCTGGAAAGGTTCTTAATATCTGTAGTGAAATTAAATATCTTGGCCATCTGATCACAGATCGGCTCACAGATGATGAGGACATTATTCGGCAGTATCGTTTGTTGTATGTAAGGGCGAATGCTTTGGTGCGTAAATTTGGTTGCTGCACTGTTGAAGTGAAGTTGACCTTATTTAAAGCTTACTGCTCTCCTTTATACTCTGCACATCTGTGGTTGAACTACAAAAAAGCTACTCTTCAGAAGCTGCAGGTAGCTTTCAATGACACTCTGAGGATGCTGTTAAAGAAGCCCAGATCGACTCGAGCGAGTGAGTTGTTCGTGAGCAACAGAGTGAACACACTGAAGTCTGTCCTGAAAATGCAATGTTTAGTTTATTCGCCGAGATCGACTGCTTTAAAGAAGCAGATCGACTGAGCGAGTGAGTTGTTCGTGAGCAACAGAGTGAACACACTGAAGTCTGTCCTGAGAAATGCAATGTTTAGTTTTATTCGCCGATTGAACGAGTCTGTGAACCTGGTTGTTGTCGTTTTGGTGAATGCCAAGTTCAGTACAACACGCTATATTTCTCAGTTCTGGGAACACTGGTACAAGTGTCTTTGTAAATGAGTCCTTAGACTTTGCTATTTTATTTTTTATGTTTCTGTTAGTGCTGTCCAAAATATCGCGTTATTAACGCGTTAACGCAAATCAATATTAACGGCGTCATTTTTTTTATCGCCATTAATTTTTTTTATAATTATTAAAAAAAAAAAAAAAAAAAAAAATTTTTTTTTTTTTTTTTTTTTACTTTTTATTGCAGACAAACACATATACAGAAAAAAATAGACACAAAGAAAAGGACTAGTTAAGATACATTGTAGACAGAGATTACAAACAATATGTAGTTGGAGATACAGGGGGCCAAAGAAGAAACCCAGAAGGGCACATAGGAGGGGGGGGACATGAAGTGGGAGATGGGGGGGAGGGGTTAATAAAAAAGGCAATACAAGCAAACAGTATACAGTCATAGATATACCGAAAGTAAACTGAGAAACAGCATAGAGCAGCCATTCCCAAACTCAGTAACACCGAGGCCCCCTTAAAAATCTGACGGGTCTGCGTGGCCCCCCAAAATAATAACCAAGAAGACAACATTAAGAATAGGCTCTTCTGGTTATTTTATTTTGGGGAAATAGCCTCTGCTACAAACATTGTAATACAAAAATGATTACAGTGGATTATTCAAGTCAAATAATGAACACAAATATTTTAATATTACAAACAAAACATTATAAATTTAACATTAAATATATATATATATTTTTTTTATGACCTCCCGCGGCCCCCCTGCAGTACCCTCGCGGCCCACTAGGGGGCCGCGGACCCCACTTTGGGAGACACTGGCATAGAGTATTTACATGAACAAATTTACAAAAAAATTGTTTATCATCATCATAATGACACCATGATGTTTCTATACAGTCTATGGTCTATACCCACACATACACACACACACCCACACCCATAAACACACACACTCCACACACACATTGAAGGGGCTTTTTGTTACCAATTATTTATTTTGTCATCCATTTATTGATGATTTTGCATCAAATGTTAGTGTGTAATATAACACTACACATTGTTTTCAATAAAAAAAGCAATTGCACACAGCACGCAAATGGGTGACTAATTTGCGATTAATCGCGAGTTAACTATGAAATTCATGCGATTAATCGCGATTAAATATTTTAATCGTTGGACAGCACTAGTTTCTGTGTCTTGTGGTGTCCTTGTGTTGTCTCTTGTATGGACCCTGAGTCCGGAATAAAGATTATATATATCTGAAAGCCTAGTCATGTTTCTGTCACTTTTACGATGGATGACACATTTTCTGTTTCCATTTCATCCAGGTTTCTTAGTCTAATGTAAAATGCAACATTTAGCATCTGGTTCCCATTTTAATCTTGTTCAACTTGTTACATGAACTACTTCCCTGTTTAAAAATATATATATATATATTACATGAATATGTATACATACACGCATAAATGAATATTCTGTTTTAAATTAGTAGTCGCTTCAGTTTTGAAACCCATTTTGATGTGAGAATATTACGACATACGAGTTCATTAATACCAAGCGGAGAACATCAACACCAAGGAAACAAATAGATTCTCTCCACTACCGGAGTCCTCCAATGATTATAAAAAGAATGTATTGATGTATTATAAATGATGAAACGTAATAGTCTGGGTTTCTTCGTCTATCGTCATCACAGCTTAAAAAAAAAGAAAAAAAACACCAGGAAAGGGCACTTCAAAACACTTACCTTGTCATAGTATTTATCCAGAAAATCTGCACACAGGATTTTGTGTCTTGTGAGGAGATCCTGTGAAGAAAGAGTCACATGAGAGGACAAAATATAAGGATTAAAAAAAATAACATTATTCACCCTTTATTTTCAAATGAAAGCTCGAGAACCTAAATTTTAGGTCGTTTCATAAAAACACGTTTTTCCCAAAGTCTTGTAAGAGAATTATTTTGTGAACAAATCAGACCACCACATACTCACTGCAACTTATTATAAAAACATTCATCTTATACATAGAGGGGAAACTTGGAAAATTATCTTTTTAAATGTTTTATATATAATTGTCTTCATTTGCATTATTTCAAGGTCTGAAAACTTATGGCAGATGACCATTCAAAACCAGGAAGAATTTTTTTTTTCTCTGTAACCAAAAATTAATTAAAAAAAATCATGCAGCATCAGTCAATCGAAAAGTCATAACAAAAGTAGATGGACAGCCAAGAATATCCAACAGACCAGACATAGACAAGACACAAACAAAAACTTGGAAAATTATCATTCTAAAGTCTGTTTAGTTTTGTTTTTAAACTTAAAATGTGAAACTATTGTGACATATACATTCAACATAATGTTATTTTACATGTAATGAGTCTATCATAGTATACTAGTATTGGTCTCACATCTTAAGTACAATTACAGAAATAAATTAACTTGACCGCTGATTGGCCAAGTGAAGGCTGGTACCCTCTTTTTTACTGACAAAGCTGATGAGTAAATGTGATTGAGGCCTAATGATTATGAAAACTTGTGTAGGAATCAAACCGTTGAGAGTGGAGATTAAACTACACGGTTTTATTACATAGATCTTTTGTGCAGTTCCAAAGTTAGATGGTCTGTGAAAGGCGCTATATAAATAAAGATGATTTACTATAAAAAAAATAATGAATAAAACATGAGGCCAAACAGAGACGTATGAATGTGTTTAGGTTAGGTCTTGTATGTGCACCTTAAAAGAGGCAAAAGCGTCCGATGCAATGTCGAAAGTGGAGAGTTCAACGTATCTGAAGAAGTTGTAAAACTCCGGAGACAAAAGAACGGTCTCGGCCAATGGCTCATGACGCAGACACTCTCTCAGCATCATCCCGCAGTTCAGGGCCACCTCAGGGCTCTCGTACCTGAAAACACAAAGCACAATCTGTGATTTAACAAACAAAAAATATTCAATATTAATTCACACGTAAAGTCTGTTTGGATTTAAAGGTATATAGAAGGTATAAAAGTAAGAACACAGTGCAATAGAGTTTGACATTTGATGAACTGTGCTGTTAACAGTTGAAAGAGAATACTCTGAAAATGTATTTAGTTACAAAATTTGGGAATACACGCATTTGTCTTTTGTGTCTTCTTCCTCGTTACATTGGATTATATTATAAAAGTTAGGGATGCACCGATGCAGCAGCTGAACATCGGTATCGGCCGATTTTTAACTGGTTAACTACCATCGGCCATCAGCGAATAAAAATGACATTCGCCGATGGTAGGCACGGGCAAATACCAGTAGAGGGTGTCCGTGCACTTTCCTCAGTAGAAGATGGCGGCGGCCGAGTGGCAATATTTTACAGTATCAGAAAAAGATCAGCGTGATGCAGTTTGCGTGTTCCAGAGAGATTTCAAAAGTAGGGACTGCTGAAAAAAAACAAAAAATCTCAGTGAATATTTGAGAAGCATGAGTTGTACAGCGATTGCATCAAGCAGAAGAATAACGGAGAACTGAAGCCACCAAGAAATATAAAGAACAAAAAGAAAAAACATTGACCAAACATCACCGAGTTGTTACGTTAAACCATCAGTATAGGTCCAAAATGTCATATTTGGCGCATCTCTAATAAAAGTTGATGAAGCACTATATTTTCATTCTTTATGAGAAGCGCTTTGTGATTCTGGTCTGTGAAAGGTGCTCTACAAATAAACTGTACTTACATGAATGCACCATTTCAATATTTTCATCATTTTGTAGCTGCCGAGCATTAAACGTGCATTTTTGAAAGTCTAAGTCTTTCTTACAAGGCTCTTAAACCTATGGGGGTTGTCCCTTTGTTTACATATGAAACTCATCGTACACGGAGCTCAACGCAGCTTTGAAGTTAGGTCTAACGTGCATTTGTGAGTCTCTTACTTGCTTTTTGTGTAAATAGGCCTGATCAAAACATAGAAACAAGCAGTCATGGGTGGAAAAATCTTAAAGTTTTCTAGCCTGCGTGTGCATGTGTGCAAAGAAAACTTCTTAACATAATTTCATTAGTCAAAAAATTATTTCAGGATACATTGGAGCTCACTTCATTACATGGTTAATCCTTATGGCATCAATCACAACCAGGGAGTAGAATTATGAGTCCAAAAATATGGTCAAAGTGTGATAGTATTTGATGTTAACCCTGTCTAACCAGTCATATAGGGGTATATGACATTCAGCTACAGTATAAAAAGGCATTTGCATGCAACTACTGCACTGAGGGAACACATATCCCGTTGGCACAAAATCATAACCAATCAATCTTGTCTTAGGAAAAACCTTTGGGAATTAAAAGCGTAGTCATAATTACACATATATGTTACATAAAAGGTGGAAGAATGCCTTTGATCTGGATTTCAAATAGGAGTATCTTCTAAGCAGATAGCAAGGACTTTGATTTTCTCACACAAAACAACTATCTCAACATCGTAACCCACAGGTAAATGCAACAAGTTCCCGCTCGCTCCACAGAGAGCTGTTGAAACACATTCTGAGCAATGGAAAAAACACTCCAAGCAAAAGTGATTATATTAAAAGAGGAGAAAATGCATTTGACAAATTGAATCTAGGTCTATTTGATTATGTTGAAACAGACAAATGAACCACCAAGAAAAGTTTACAAGTAAAAAGTAGAAAATAGCACTTACCCATTTAAAAGCATGAAGAGGATCTGCGTGTGTGAAGAGATGTATTCTACCGTGGGTGTGAGAGTGCCAATCTGTCGTCTAACTATGTTACAGAACAAATGAACCACATCCTTCTTGCCCTATAACAAAACAAATCTTTACTAGTGACAAGCAAAACACCCGCAGACATTTTTGCTTTAGGGGCATCAATCCATTCAATCTGGCAATCAGTGTCAGATCAATATCTTTTTGAGCACAACGCAAAAATGTGGTTGCTGCACTGCTGCTGCTGCTTACCTCAAAATCGATCCTATGGAGGTTTTCAATGAGAGATTCAAACAGATTGGTGTTGTAAAACTCCTGAGAAAGTTGTACTACAGCTTCTGTTTGGGGCTCCTTGTCGCCAGTTCCACAAAGCATATCTTTTAGTGAAGTAAGGTTCTTTGAAATATCCTCTACAACCTTCAAAATAAAACACATGTCACTATTTGCAAGTCGAACAGTGTAATAATGACCAAAAAACAACATAGCAACTAACCTTTTCAGACTTTTTAGTGTCTCCTGCGTCCAGTTTTTCTAAGTAGGCAACATTCTCTTTTAAAGTCCTCACTGTTTCAGCAGGGCTTTTTTGGGATTTGCCAAAAGAGAAAGGCATGGCGAGAAGCACAGCGAACCCAGGCCCTATCAAATAATAATAATAGCAGTATAAATATTGATGTAAGAAAACATTGCAGCCTAATTTAACTGCTCACTTCCTGTAAGTTTGTGCACCGGGGGAATGACTTTCAAACACTATTCTCCAAGAAAAGCCAATTAGTTCAGCTGACATATTGAGTTACAGTGTTAAAAAGCCATAATAACATTCATAGCTAAGTACCAATTTCTGCTAACTAGTTACTTGTCTATGCTCTGGACATTGTAGTAACTTTACAATTCTGTTTCTGTGTTTGCGATGCTGTAACAAAGCCCATTAGTTATATGTGCACTTAAATATCCCAGAAAACTAAAACCAAAACGCAAAGGCGATGCCAGCAGCAACATTTTAGTAACTTTGACATGGCTCGCGACCTCGTTAGCATTAGCCACATCACTAGCTACCACAACAACGCAGCTTACATGAAACTGTAAAAAGTCATCAAAACACGGTTAGCAATCACACTTACCGACAAATATATGGGTTAAAAGCGTGTGGGAGGCTGTGGCTGAAGCTTGGCTAGCGAGCTAACAAGTTTATCCACTTTCTTTTCGGCCCCGTGTTTAGTCCAAGCTTTTATCTTGATATCACTTGTTGTAGCCGTACTAACCTAACCCTATCGCTATTTACAAGAACTTGCGACCTTCATAACTATCATTCCCCATGTAGTTAGAGGTCTAAACTCTTCCCCGACTGTGACCTAACTTACTGGCTGCCGAGATGCAGAGGGAGAGCCTGTCTGACAACTTTATTTCCCTGTTCTCAAGCGCAGTAACTACGCTCCGTCCTCTCTGATCATCCCAGGGACAAGGGGCGGGTATGTTTTTGCTCCACGTGATGATTGACACAGCTCTCGGCCAATAGAAACAAGGAAAGCGCGTACGCCACCTATCCATTGTGCGGTTACATCCAAATTTATATAACATACCTCCTCACTATTATTTTTTTACTGACCTTGGTGGCATTCAATTATTCCGAAATGTTAATTCAAATGAACTTATTTGAATTGAGTTTTATAAAAGGACAGGAAAGCAGAAAAAGACACGTGCTTTATGAAATCAGATGGAGCCTCTGTTTTTGGTAACTTTTTAAAATACCAAAACCAGATTGACGCGTTGGCCTCGTCATGTGTAGGATATAATGAGTGAAAATCGAATGGTTCTATATCCTTTTCTCTTTTGTACATGACCCTTTAAGCATGACAATACAAATAAATTAATTAATAAAATCATGAAGTAAGTAGTAGCAAGGAAATAATAAATAATTAACATATAATACAATACATTTGTTTGTGTTTTGTGCCTTTTCAAGCACGTTGAACCAACTTTTCCCCTTTCCCCTAAATAGTATTCTGTTAAAAATAGGACAAATGCTGGTATAAAGAGTTGAAATTGTGGAACTATTAAGAATGCCTTGTCAACCTACCTTTGGGTCATCCTAATTTATTTCTGAATGTTTTGTTTTATTAAGATGTGGTTTGGCCTTATTATTTGGATCTACAATGTCCTGTATACATTACAAAAGGTGGTTTCATTTATTATATTATCTGAACACAACATTTGAAGGGTTTGTTTAAAAATATTGCACCATTTACCACTTTCAATACCAATGGGGATCCTAAACCCCAGGTTGAGAACCACTGTTCTAGAAAATTATAGAAAACAATTTTCTATTGAGCTCATAAGCCTTTGTGAGCCTAAGGCTTAGGTTAATCAATGTTGAACGTTTCATTATATCATTATCTGAGTTGGCATAGTAAATATTAGTTGAACTTCTTATTATACCTTACAAACATGTGGTATTATTATGAGTCTGGTTTTTGTTAAAGCTTGAATTTGAGATATACAGAAAGCAAACTTGAAATATAAGGAAGAAGAGAAATATACTAGCACAACACAAAAAAATATGTATATTACTCATTTGTTATGTATATCACGCATATGCTATGTTATATACTGATTTTATTTGAACTAATTGAATTTTGTAATATGTGACATCAGCCCAATCTTAGATGTTGCATTCCTTATCAGTTAAATTCATATTACTATATTACATAGTCATCATGATCCTAATAATAAACCTTTATTATTTGGCCTCTATATTCCCTGATCTACATGTTGTGGCTTGTTTTTATTGATGACAGACCATGTTTCTGGAATAGATTAAATATAAAATGTAAAGAATATTTATGCTAATTCTACACACTAAACGTATGGATTAAGTGTGAAATCACGTGGTTTGAAAGACTGGATTTGAACCCCGGGCCTCAAGTCAAACAGGCCTGTTTAACATGACCTCGTCTTTATAATAAATGATCTATTGTGATGTTTTTTCTTTGTCAATTGCTGTCTTCCCTTCGCCTCTTACGTCTTTCATCCTTCACATTAAAACGCAATCACATACATTTCATCACGACTTCAATTTATTGTGACAGTCATAACCGGAAGTCGTGTCTACTTGTTTCCGGTACGAGCAGCAATGCAGTTAGCTTTAGCGCTTTGCCTAAAAAAAAAACCCACACGACCAGTTCTGAAGAACGGAAAGAAGCAAACTCCAGGGCACTTTCCCATCAATTCCACTTACTCTGCCTGAAATCCTTCTCGGTATCAGGTAAATGAGGGCTGGGTGATCCTTCTTTGTGAGATCGGAGCTGTGTTTTGTAGCCCTGCTGTGGTTTAAGGCCGTATTTTGCTCGCCTTGTTCTGCCTAGTGCACTGCCTCATCACGTATGGCGCTCTTTGCTCCGAAATCCCGCGCCTGTCATGACCAATTTCCACGTTTAAAGACAAATAATGGCATTTTCCCGTCTAGTTTCACACAATTAACCCCGCACACTTGACAATCTACGCGGGGGACTATTGTTTAGCCACGTTTGAAGGCCTTACGTATATTTTCAAGCACTTTTACTGATCGTAGTAAAAGATGTTTTTGGTTATAGCATGGGGGGACTGGAGGAACACACCCCCTTAATTCAAAACTTTGGATGGAGAAATTATAGTTTGTTTTGGCGCTGTGTGGGGGGTTTCCAGCCACGATTATGTCATATATCAGGGAAATATCTCGTTGAAACATTGCAAGAAGAGGTGATAAAGGATAAAAGTGTGCAATATTCATGTTTTGTTGGGCTGTAGTGGAGGATTTGTTGGGGGGAGATTGTGTTGGAGCCTCCGCCGCCGCAGTGAAAGTCTGGCCCTGCGATCGTCATGGCAAAAATGGCTCAATGAAGACGACGCAGTTAAAATCTATTGTGGATTTAAACAAGAATCATATGCATTTTATGCATTTTTAACACTTGATATGCATTTACAAACACTGTTTTAAAATCGTATCGTTTCACAGACGCTGCAGTGTTGTTATGAAATGGCTCTGCATTGCAAGTTGTACATCAATTCGTTTTCTCTGACAATAATTTGAACCTTTTTGAACATATAAAGCATGTTTTTGTGAATCTTGAATTAGAAGCGTGTCTAAAGGGCATTGGGGAAATCTTGTGACACAAAGCACAGCAGTGAGCAGTGTGCTGTTTGTTTGTATAAGAACAACTGTCGTTATAGAGTCATAATGTTCATTTATTACAAGTCTATTTTTGCCCAAAAAGAGGTTACAAGTTGCATGTGTTGTGAAGGAGGTCCAGAGCTGCTGTTTGCTGAACTGGAAACATGTTGCATCATTTTCAGGAAAACTGCTCCCATGGGATAATTCCATTGTGCTTTGAAATAAGATATTATATAGAATGAAACATGTATTTTTTAAGTCGATCTGCTTCGTGGGTTTTTAATTCTCAGGATAGGGCTAAATTTAGCACAACACAGCAGGCTGCCATTCTGATATGTGCAAGTATATGTATCTTGTTTTTAAGTCATTATATCATTGATTACCTCCATTTATTTACTACATTTATTTTATACTACTATACTGTTACATCATTTTATAGTTTATGATTATATTTCTTGTCCACTCAGCATAAAATTAACACAATTATGTAGAACATTTTAGAAAATTATAGAAAAAACAACAACGAAAGAGAGAGACATGTTTCACAATGTGTTTTTAGCCAATAGTGTGAGTTTAGGGCTTTTACAGTATAGTGAAGCTATGCCCTGTTCACCTCAGAGATGGTATGGCCCAGTCTAGAATATTCTACTTTATGGCATTAAACAGATCAAACTCCTGACTCTACTCAGAACATATGTTTTTCAATGCATTTTGATTTAGCCACAAAATAAATGGTAAATAAATAATGATAATGCTTACATTTACCATAGATCTGCATGTCTTGGCACTGGAAGCACTTTACATCAAGAAACCACTCACTCGTTCATACACAAGTGTACGCAGACACTGGGGGAGTTAAGTGTCTTGCCCAAGGACACAATGGCAGCATTAATCAAAGGAAGCACATCTGTGGGTCAGTAGGTCTGACCTTTCAGTCTACACCAGTGATGTTTATGTAACCAGTGACCTTCAGTTTGGAGGACTTGACTCTAAAGGAAGTTATGAGTTTCATGTGAGTGGCGAGGAGTAGGTGACGCTCACACCGATACGTTACTACTGCACTAGAATACTAATCTGCAGCACTTTGAGGTTTCTTGGAAATGTTAGGTGTAGTAGAAATACATTGCTTTTAGCCAAGCACTGTTATCTTGATTTTCCTATATTGTGGCTTTTACGACTTGTTACCATTTTACTGAAATTACCTTTCCAGTTACAATTTACATTTCAATCAAAAAAAGATTTCAACAATGGATCATTGACACGTATTTACTTCACCCATGCTTCTTCATGTTAATTATACTTCATATAAAATGATCAACATTCATTGAAAAAACACAAGAATAGTTCATTTGAAAGCTGAGCTCAACTTATCATATATTGAACCTGCATAACTACTGAGATATTACTCATGATTATTATTATAACAAAGTAATTATTGTTGTTACATTACAGATAGTTCCATTGTGTGTGATTATGTTCCAGCTGCATCATGATGTTGCCTGTTTCATTGTGACAGAAGCAGACGCTGTGATGTCGGGACAGAGGAAAGGCGCAGCGCTCCGTCTCCCTAAATGTGCTTTCTGCAGAACAAACCGCGACAAAGAATGTGGCCAGCTGCTTCTGTCCGACAGCCAAAAGGTGGCAGCGCATCACAAGTGTATGGTGAGTACAGACCTGCTGCACAGAGACGCAACACTGAAACTCTGTGTTAGCTGTTTTTGTTTCCGGTTACAGCCCTAGGGTCATTCAAGATATAAAAAGGCACTTGATTAGAAGAAGCTAAATTCACGGCCTTAAAAGCTTTGAACGAATTTTCTCTATATACGTTCTAATATAAATGTGTTTCGGTGGGGTGAGATTTTATGAAATGAGAAAAATTTAAAATCTTGTCAATTTCAGGGCTTCAACAGAAAATGGTGTCAATTTAATAAAAGTGGTTTATACAGTCTTTGAAAGCATTGAGAACTCGCTGAAAATTGAAATGTTGTGGAGTTGCATCGGTTTAGAAGAATTATTTGGAAGTTTGGAAAATTACTTGCTCCAAACAACTATTTATATATAAAACATTTGGTTGTGTACTATTGTCATACCCCCTCGAAAAACGTGATTCATCTCAAGGGGCAATCCATAATGAAGTAATAAATAAAAGCATTTTTTTACTAAACATTATGCAAGTCTTAAAAAGGGGCTAAAATGTGACTTATCCGACCCTGCAGCTGCCATATGTTTAGAAATGTTTGTTCTATACTATTTTAGTCCATTTTAGAGTTGGACTAAAATAGTATAATATTAGACTAATTTTTCGATGAGATCCTGTCTTTAGATTTTTAGGCAAAAGCATTCATTTATGTATTTAGCAAAAACATTTGGTTTCATTTTCCATGACTCTGTGGAGCCCTGCATTATAGTCTTAAAGTAAAGCCCTTTTCACTTTGGTAAAAAAAATAACCGATTGTAGTTGATAATAAAATCGGGGTTATTGTATCAAACTTTCCCATGATGGACTTACTTTTGGGATGTGATGCTAGAAGATAAAAACAGAAGGCCAAATTTGTCTGTTAATGACCTGAACAAAACTGGGAACATTTAGAAAGGAACTACACTATTGTGGGTTATTATAAAATGTAGATAACCTCGGGATGAAGCACACTGGGATTTTAAACCGCCATTTCATAAATAACTGTAGGGTGGGCTTCTATTTGTGGGAAAAAGAGTAGAAAACTTTTTGGGGCCCCGTCTATAAGCTAATGCAGCTTCCTGGGAGTTCCCTTTTTACAAAACACCAACCAACACTTCATTGTAAAAGTGTATAACCAATATGGCTACGAGTTTTGTAAATAAAAGAATTGAATTGAATTGAACTAAGCACAAATATCAATTATTCAAACTCCAATATTTCTACCTCTTTCTCTACATTTGCATCTATAGATCTGTTCTTTGTTGGTGACAGTTGTTTCACTGTTTTTGTAGAGGACATGACAAACTAGCGTTGTGTCCTTGGGCAAGACACTTAACCCCACTTTGCCTGAAGCTCCCGCTGAAAGATCTCAGCTCCTGTGGACTCACCACCTGCAGGAGGATCAGTGAGGGGCTGGTGCTCTGTGACTGGGTGCAGCTCTGACTGCCACCCCCCGACCCAGAAATGGATTAAGGGGAAGAAAATGGATGGATGGATGGATGGATAACAAACTAGCAACAATAAGCCCTTTGATTTAGTTAATCTAAGCTCATACTGTGGTATTTTTGGTTTCATGATAATCATTAAATATTGTGTCCCTAAATCCAAACCCATTCTGTGCAGCTGTTCTCGTCGGCCCTGGTGTCGTCTCCTTCAGAAAATGAGAACATAGGAGGGTTTTCTGTCGACGACGTGAAAAAGGAGATTAAACGAGGCAGTAAGCTGGTGAGTGAAAATCAACACTTTTCTTTGTTAAAAGAACACTAGGTTTTTCTCTTTTTGGTTTTATAACATATCATAGGTGTCTCAACTTGAACATTATGTCGGCAGCTTGATAATTATTTCATCTGGAAAAGAATATGTATTAGGGACGGACAAATGTGGGATTTCTGAGGTCGGGCGGCACCTTGGAGCAGTGGTTAGCTGCCTTTCTCCCCGTGTCTGCTCCTGTTTCCTCTGGGTGCTTCGGTTTCTTTTACTATTAAAAACATACCCCCTTTCTCTGGGGCCTGGACTCCCCTGAAAAATATTGTCCTGGTTACATGAATTGTCAATAATAACACAGTATATTGAGTTTTTTTTCATTTATAGTGAATATAATTAAAACCCTTGGAATAGGCATCACCAGTAAGATTTACTGGAGGGGAACAGTTAGGAATTTGAATTAATTGCGTCCATTCATAAACTTGTGAATGGACGCAAAGGCTCTTTCAATTCAAAGTCTCTCCATCCTCACATTTAAATCTAATAGAAAAATAATAGCAAATGTAAATAAGATGAAACTGAGAAACTGGATTCTTTTGTCGTAGCCTCTTGTTTAAAATTCTGTCTAGGAATTTTGGAAGGGTTAGGTAGGACGTTTTGTTTAATCTGTTTTTTTTTTGTTAATGGACCCCCTCAAAAAACGAGATGGCGCATCCCAAGGGACATTCCATTAAAAAGAACTAAACTAAAACGGGCTGTGGGACTAACTATCACTGGTCTCTGCCTTCTCTAATGTAGTCTCTGTCTCCACAGATGTGTTCCTCGTGCCATCGTCCCGGCGCCACAATCGGCTGCGACGTGAAAACCTGTCGCAGAACCTATCATTATTACTGCGCACTGAAGGACAAGGCTCAAACTAAAGAGAATCCATCACAAGGAATTTACCTGTGAGTTATTTTGGGATTTCGAAACTGGAAAATGGAATGTTTAAAGGATTTGAATATGTTTGTGTTTGTGAACCTAGCGTTTATTGTCGCAAACATCGGGGCGCATCACGTGAGGACGCGGAAGTAGGTGAGAAAATGCACTCAAAATACTATCTGTAATTCATACATAGCAAAATTTTCCCATTTGTATAGATTTTTTCATAATAGAAAAATCCCGTTTGAATGGATATATTTGCACTTTTGCTATAGCTGCTTGTGACTACTATTATACAAATATTATGAATCAGGAATATTCTTTTGTCCTACACTTCCCCATTATTTGATTAAATTCTGAGTCTCTGCTGAGTTGGTCACTTCCTGTTGTATTTTTTGTATTTTTAAATTTTTTTTGAAATTTTCTTCACACACTGCTTCCTTATCAACAGTAACACTATCATTTGCATTTGGTATTATCTCACCAAATATAGTCACAGAGTTACATGAGACACAGGCACAAAAACATTGAAATGGATCGGAAAAAAACACTCTAGTAACTTCTTCAATCTAATATTTTCTGTAGATAAAGTGGAGGATGAGGCCAACGATTCAGACTCGTCCCCCCCTCAGAGCAGAGGCCGCGGCCGGTTTGAAAAGTCCAGGACGAAGGGCGGCTCCAGGGGCCAGAGTGAGGAGTCCCAGCCCACATCCTCCCAGACCGCGGACGACGAGAGCTCCTCACACGTAATACTCGCTCCTGTCATGACTTTGGCTCCAGATGGGGCAGCGGGAGACTACACTGCCCCATGTTTTATAGTATACTATAGTATAGTGTAGTATTTATTTCAAACTTGTAAACCGAAAAACAATAAACAGGATTCGAAAATAAAAACATCAATACCCAGACGCTACTGAGGCCCAAATACTCTCTGACCCTACACCTCTCCCCGATCTCTTGCCCCGTGCTGAGGCCATCTCTCTCTTTCCTCCATTTACTTCTTTAGTATTTATTATTTTAAAGATTGTTTTAATGTAATCATATTTGAACAGTTTTGAAGTCAGTTTTTCCAAAGAGGAACTCCTCGCTATGAGATAAACATTGATTTTAAAGTAGTTCTAAATGAATTTGTAACGCAATACACTAACGCCTCCATATATGTGTCCTCTGAGCCGAGTTGAATTCAGTAATGAGTGAGATGTTGAAGTGTGACAGATGTATTTGTCCTATTTATGTTTATATTAATGTGAATGCGTTTTGCTTTTGAATAATGAAAAAAGTTCGGAATTGTTCATAATTTTCAAACGAATCTAGACTGTTAATGTTTCTTTTTTATTTCTTTTTTTTTTTTTCTTTATTTAAATTGGGACAGTGCACATTCATCAACATGTGTTTTTTAACATGTAAATGTCCCAGAGTTAGCAATGTAGGCTAATTTTCATCCGTAGTCCCATGGCAGGTTGATATTAAGACAGATAAAGCATACAACAGACACACACATACATACCCACACAGAGACACACACCATCACAGCGACATAACAGAGCAGGGTATGTAACATGTGGTAAAATGTGTAAAATAGATACATTAGCACGGATAAAAGATCAGAGGGACAATACACAAAACACCACACTTTTCCATACAGCAAAGTATCAATGGTTGTGACTTAAAACCATGTGTTCACATTTCTGATTGTCCACAAGCCACTTCTTGACAGAGTTTTTAAAAGTGTGGATTGAGGTCAGGTTCCTCAGTTCTGTTGGGATCGAGTTCCAGGAATGTGCTGCGCGAACTGAGAAGGCAGATCGTCCAAATAGTCTTTCTGAATGGGATTTTACAATCTCCTCTGCTTGATGATTGCGTATTTGAGTTTACATTCAGCTGTAGGCAATGGGGGGGGGCAAGCTCATTTAGAGTTTTATAGACCATAATTACGTCTGAATACATTATCAAATTTTCCCACTTCAAAAAATGATGTTTGGTAAAGACTTTGCAATGGTGATAAGAAATGTTCTTTTTGTCTAATGTTTTTACTGTCTGCTTATACAGTCTTTCTATGGGCAACAATGTGGTCTTATTGGCCTGAGACCAACTCGTCACACAGTAATTAATATGGGAGAGAATTGTGGCATTAAGATACAGTTTTGAAGCCTCAGTTGTTAAGTTATTTCTAATGTGTTTAAAATTCGCTAGATTGAATTGAATTTTGTTCCTCAATTTCTATCCTGCTATGAGTCTCCCTGTCATCTGAAAAAGTTAAATGCAAGCCCCAAGTCTCCAAGATGGCGGCCCAGTCAAGTCAATAGCCGTACTGGAGAGGGGCTTAAGCTAGCAATACCCTATCCAGTTATTATATTAGATCTATGCTTAAATAGTGTTTTTGTTTATATTTATTATTTTTATAATGCTCATATTTCAGTATGTTGCACCTATGTTTTAGGTTTTTCTAGACATTTGACATGGTATCTCACTTGGCTTGGGGCACCGATCAGGCCAAGTCAGAGTCACTTTTTTTGTAACAGATCGTGGACTGTTGCATTTGTGTCTGAAGTGAACAAGTCCACTTGACAAATAAGTGTGAATGCGCCGCAAAAGTACTTCCACGCAGCTTACAAACTTCTCTCGCCCTCTGAGTAGCCACTTTCATACAACAGCAGTACTAGTTAGTTTTCATAGTGATTTGTTGTACTTTTTCCACTTTCCGATTTTTTAAGATCTGTTGTTTCTTGGGCCATAAACATACACACTTTTACTTTATTACAATCGTTCATGACTTTGACAATTATGTATTTTATTTATGTTGGGGTGATGTATTATTGCACTTGAATTTCTACTACGGGGATCAATTAAGTATTTATCTATCTAAAATGTTTTATCTTTTTGCCTTGTTTTCAGAGAGACCGGTCGCCTCTAAGGTCCAGTCCAGCAGACGGGCTTCAGCGCTGTGGGTTCTGTCACGCTGGAGACGAGGAAAACGAAACAAGAGGCGTCCTCCACACCGACAACTCCAAAAAAGTGGCTGCTCACTACAAATGCATGGTATGGTTTTATACTGTCACTGTACAGGTATATCATTCTATATGGCCCTATGCCTTGCTATTATCAATCAATCAATCAATCACATTTTATTTATAAAGCGCTTTTCATACAAAAAGTGTAACACAAAGTGCTTTACAGTTTAAAAACAATCCAACATGCCCAGCCCTAAACCCTCCTCCCCACAGACCCCCCCAAAACCACATTTATAATTATATATACAACCACATGCGTATACACACACACACATACACACACACACACAGACACACACATACAAGTATAAAGTCACATCAGGTACAATAGGTAAAACAATAAAAAGAAATGGGGCTGGGAGCAGATGTAACCGGCTGAAGAAGCGCCACCCAAGGAGCCATCTGCACCAGGAGCAGAGAGCCGACTACAGCCACAGGGAACGACACAGGACCCAGAGGAGAGAGGGGCCCCAGACCCCACCAGGCCCAGGACTCATACCCCATAGGACCCAGAGGAGAGAGGAGGCCCCAGACACCCACCGGATCCAAGAGCCAGACCCCCGAAGCCACAGCAGACCCCAGCTCCCAGTGCAGAGGGCTCCTCCAGAGGAAACACTGGGGATACTAAAACAATACAATAATACAATAGAAAGTAGAACAATAAAATGAGACACTAAAAAGAAAAATGGCAGCTGCCTAATATTGATAATAAAAATAGTAAATGGGTAGATACAATAAATAATTAAAAATAGTAAATAATTAAAAATAGATAAAAATAGAATGTGTCTAAAAACATAAATAGATGTACTAAAAAGCAATAATAAATAATAAATACTAATCAAAAGCTACTCTAAAAAGGTGTGTCTTGAGCCTACTCTTAAAAATATGAACGTTCTCTGCGGCCCTGAGCTCCTCCGGCAGACTGTTCCAGAGACGGGGGCCGTAGTGCTGGAAAGATGCCTCGCCGTGAGTGTGTGTCCTGACTTTGGGGATGGTTAGGAGTCTGCTGCCGGAGGAGCGCAGGAGCCGGGAAGGTTCATAGGATAAAAGCAAATCTGAAAGATAAGAAGGCCCAAGACCATTAAGACATTTAAAAACCATTAAAAGAACCTTAAAATCGATCCTGAAACACACGGGGAGCCAATGCAGCGATTTTAAAACCGGTGTAATGTGGTCCCGCCCCCTGGTCTTAGTCAGGACACGTGCGGCCGAGTTTTGAAGTAATTGTAAACCTGAAATGTTCTTTTTGGGAAGACCAGAGAGCAGGGCATTACAGTAGTCAATGCGACTGGTGATAAAAGCATGCATCAGCGTCTCCGTGTTGCCCCGAGAGAGAATGGGGCGGACTCTGGTGATGTTCTTTAGATGATAAAAACCTATTTTTGTGATGTTCTTGATGTGAAGAATGAAAGTCAGCTCAGAGTCAAAGATTACGCCCAGGTTTTTCACTTGTGATGATGGATTAAAAGAGTGTGATTGGAGTTTTGATAAAAGTTTCTCTCTCTGGGCCTCAGGACCGCTGACTAAAACCTCAGTTTTGTCCTGGTTGAGCTGGAGAAAGTTTCCTGCCATCCAGGATTTCAGGTCTAAAATGCAGTTAAAAAGAGCATCCATTGGCCTGGTGTCGTCAGGAGGCATGGAGATGTACAGCTGTGTGTCATCTGCATAACTGTGGAAGTTAATTCCATGTCTCCTGATGACACCGCCAAGAGGGAGCATGTACAGGTTAAAAAGGACTGGACCTAAAATGGAACCCTGGGGCACACCACATGTGATTTTATGGACCTGAGAGGAGCAGGTATCCAAACTTACCATGAAGGATCTGTCTGTTAAATAAGAAGTGAACCATTTGTGGACAGCACCAGAGAGGCCGAGGTGTTGTAGGCGTGATAAAAGAATGGTGTGGTCTACTGTATCGAAGGCAGCGCTAAGATCCAGTAGAACCAACACAGTCACCTTTTTAGAATCATAATTTAGTCTAAAATCATTTAAAATCTTTAAAAGAGCAGTTTCTGTGCTGTGGTTCACCCTAAATCCTGATTGAAATGTCTCTCAAATTTGCTGCTGATCTAAAAATCTCTGATCTATTAGAGATTAAAAAACTTTCTCAGTGTTATCCAGCCTATTTTATTTTATTTCATTAATTTATTTGACAGGGACATTGTGCATAATAAACATTTCTGTAAATGCACCAAACTTGGCCAAGTGCTATTTTTCCTCTCCAGGTGAACATTGTCTTCCTAAAAAATGATAACAGTCAAAAGTCATACAATAATAAAATGCAGTCTGAGAGAGCAAGAAAAACATACACCACACAATAAATACACAGTTCACATACAAAAGAGATATTTACAAAGCAATGAGACGGGGACCTAGACAAAAATGTGTATGGCACTGATGTAGCTATTGAGAAAGCTATTCAACTATGTAGTTCTGTAGAAATGCTCATGTTTGACCTAATTTAGCATCTCAAAATACACAAATTCTAGTCAAAATAGTTGTACAATCTGTGTTGTCTAACTAAAGTGGCCCTCTTAGTTAAAGGTTTGGACACTCCTGCTGTATATAGAACCTTTAACTGGGCTTGGGAGGCTGCATTACCACAGTGTAAGGTTTACTTTCTTTCCCTCTTGTTATCTTTGAGTGGGTGTGATGTTAGGATGTCAGATTAGTGAGAAATTTCCGGTGAACATAAATGAATCAAGTAAAATTACCAGAAGATTCAGCTCTTTGGGACTTAAAGAATTTGCTTAGCTGAACTTACAAAAAAGTAGGCTACTCTTTAATACATTGGTTTTTACTTTCAGCTTTTTTCATCTGGAACTGTGCAACTAACCACATCGTCTCGGGCTGAGTTTGGAAACTTTGAAGTAAAAACAGTTATTCAAGAAATCAAAAGAGGGAAGAGAATGGTGAGTTATTGTCAAAATGTACCAGTGTTTCTTTGTTTGCTTCTGAAATGTTTGAAATAGATTTTGTTATTTTCAGAAATGTACGTTGTGTGGCCAGTTGGGGGCGACTATAGGCTGTGAAATCAAAGCATGTGTGAAAACTTACCATTACCACTGTGGTGTCCAGGACAAAGCCAAATTCATTGAAAACATGGCGCGTGGCATTTACAAGTAAGATTTTCACTTTATATCATGGAGCTGTGTGAAATAGAACTGTCCATGATGTTATACTACTTAAAGATGCAATGAGCAACTTTTCTGATGGGATTTGCTTTTTACCAACTGTTATTGCAAACAAACCTCCCCTGGAGCTCGTGTATAAAGAACAAATTGCAAAAAGGCACAATAAGGAACTCAATATAAATTCAAACACAAGTAACATGGGGCGACAGTAGCTCAGTTGGTAGAGCACTGGCCTTCAGGCCTGAAGGTCGTGGGTTCAATTCCCACCTCTACACCTTCTCCACCGACTCCCACTGATGACTGCTGTCGTTGTGTCCTTGGGCAAGACACTTAACCCCACTTTGCCCAAAGCCCCCGCTGAAAGATCAAGGCTATGCTCACACTCAGAGAGCAGCCGTCCTCCTGTGGACTCACCACCTGCAGAGGGTCAGTGAGGGGCTGGTGCTATGAGACTTGGGTGGCATCTCTGACTGCCACCCCCCTGACCCAGAAATGGATTAAAGGGTAGAAAATGGATGGATGGATGGACACAAGTAACATGAAGTAGTCTTGACTTTACGAAGTGTGACGACATTCTCTAAAAATAACCTAACTTCCCTTTTAAGTCGCTTACACTTGTTGGCTTCTGTACTCACTTGTTGATATATTTTTATTTTATTTTATTAGTTTATTTGACAGGGACATTGTGTATTAATAAACATTTCTGTAAATTGCCCAGAATTAGCCAAGTAGGCCATTTTTCATCTGCAGTCCCTGGACGGGTGTGAACATTGTCTCCCTAAAGATAATAACATTAAAAAGATATAAATAATAAAATGCAGTAAAACCAAGCCCTGATGATCCAAGATGGCGCCCTATTCAAATGAATGGCTTGTGCTCAGTAGTGTATGGGACATACAGGAGGACCGAAAGATTAGCGTAACTTGCCTATATTTGGGCATCGTCTGGTCCTCCCGGTTCTGTGCAGTTGACGAGCTCCCATGATGCTTTGCGCCAATTACGCGTGTGGCTCTCATGCACGTGCACAGAGGGGCTCGGCCGCGGTTTTACCAATCAGATTTTCTGATCAGAGCAGCGGTAGAACGGAGCCAGAGTGGAAAGAAAAGGAGCAGAGTTTATAGCAGTGAAGTGTGGATCTAAAAAAAACCTGAAGGATTTTTAAAGAAATTTCAGGATGACAAGGGACACTAAAATCCTCACAAAATCTGATCTTTATGAAAGCTGTAGGTTCTCTGTCAGCTGAGGTCGAGCTGTTTTAGTTTACATTGAGATCTATGGAGAAAATGTCTGGGTAGCCCACGTGAATTTAGTCTGCAGTACCATGGGCGGCGCCCCCTGTGCTCGTGGGTGGGACAGCTATAAGCTAGTAATACCTTATCCAGTTATTATTATAGATCCATGAGTAAAACACAGAATATAGGGGAGAGCAAGAAAAACATAATATCATACAATAAAAACACAGTTCACATAAAACAAGAGATATTTACAAAGCAAACAAAAAGATTTGCACCTCTGATAAAAGTATTATCCTTCCACATTTGGAACAGCAGTTTGTGTCTAATGTTGTTGTTTTTAATAATGAGGCCGTGTGCATTCATGAGCCATAGTTGTAAATTAAAATTCTGGCTCTGTAGTCCCACATTGGCAGTCATAAACACGCTCTCATTCACCTTGAACTTCTGCACACGTTTTAGTAGTTGGGTAAACCGTAGTACCTGGAGGAAACCAGACATGGGGAGAATTTGCAAGGCCCTGTCTAGTCTAGAGATTAAATCCAGAACCTTCTTGCTGTTTTGAACTGATAGCTTGGCCACAGTTCACCTCTGACTAGGACTGGGAGATATGGGAAAAAATATACCACTTTATCATATCTTGATCAACAATATATGATTTTTTATATTTATATAATTATGCCAAATTTCACACTGCATTTTTTTTCTTGAAAGCCATGAAGTAAAATGAACCCAGTGTATATATTATTGTGTTATTGTATTATTGTAGTTGCCTGTTATGATTACACACTCTTGACATTTACCATCTGAATAATGTTTTCATCTCAGACTTACTCACATCCGCCTTTCCTTCATCAAGGTGATTTTTATTTCACAAAAAGTATCTCTGGTTTATAAAGTTAGTGGCCCATAATTCCCATTCATCTGAAACCGAATCTGAAATATCTCCAATAAAACCAACTGAATTAAATTGCACACGACCCATTTTTACGTTGTGTTTCCTGTGTTATGTTTGTCAGACTTTATTGCAAAAACCACAGTGGAAACGAAGAACGAGACGAAGAGGATGAAGAGAGAGAAAATCGCAGAGAGAGAGCAGCCAGCGAACAAGCTGCACAAGTCAACGGCAACAACTAGGTAACTACAAAAGGTCACGTTTTGATGATGGTCGGTCGGCCATTTATTCCCCTGGTTTATGAAGGAGTTTAAGTTTAATTTGGTCATTTATACGCAAAGAAAGACCGAAGGGGTGTAGGCTGAACATAACTCACTTTGCCCACCCTTTTGAAGTAGACGTACACATTAGGATTTACATTTGCGTTCATGTAGCCATCCAAAATTATTGTTTTGAACTTCTTTTTGAAGTGGAATAGTGAATTTCATGATTTATGTTCATCCTTGCGTCCATTCCAGAGATCTAGTTCTACATTTTTGCTTCTCTCAACTCATTAGGACGTTCTGATTGGGAACAATTTCTGTAATTATTTTGATAGCTCATTTTGTAACCAAACCATTAAAGATGGTTAGCGATGTTGTTAGCTCAGCCGTAGCACCAACTCGAAACCACCCCCCCTCCCCTCGCCTCTCCACCAAACCAAACATCCAGCATTTTCTTTTCTTTGTCACAACGGGGAGAGTGGGTGGCAAACGTGAAATTGGCATTTTCTTTTCAGTCATTTTAGGTTTTAGAAAATAATCCGATAACTCAGATGCGCTCGTGAGAAACAGGAAGGGGGTGAAGGGGGTAAATGCATCCCATTGGTTCGTTGGGGATGAACAATTCCCATTGGTTTATTTTTATCGGTCCGCTCCAAAATAATTTTTAATTTTTGGAGACTATAGGAATCTGGTCATTTCCATTACTATTTGGAAACAAATGATTACTTGATACTTTTAGGGTCTAGGGACGTTTTCCCACAATATTTAAAAAAATGTATCTGGAGAAAATCACTGACTGCATCTTTAATAGCAATGTGGAGTTTGACTAAATCATAGTCAATGTCAAAGTCAAATAGTCAAAGTTCAATGTTTGGAGATTAGTGAGTCTTGTTTAGTACCGGTACTTTCAACATACAATATATTGGGGTATGGAATCTTGCCACTATACTGTATGTAGTGATTCGTTGCATGTTCTATTAGTGAAAAAGCATAATATTGGAAAATTGGAATACACTGTTTTTACAACATTCATCTTGTTATGTATTTCTTTTGCAGGAAAAAAGACCAATGAGAAATAAAGGAACCACAAAGATGAGAACATATTTTTATACAAATCATGATCTACGCTCTCAAATGGCCTGCAGTCTCCACAGTGCACCTTCTCATGAACCCCTTCTGACAGCCGACCGGTTGAAATATACACAAGCCAAAAATGATTCTGTTTACCTACATCAATAATGCCACGAATACTAGGACTTTACAAACAGGCTCTTGTCTTACTGGATCGAAAAATATTAAACATCATGCTGTTTCCTAAAGGACTCTATGTGGAGCCGTTTAGTGTGTCTATAAATGTACTGTTTTTGTATGTGTATTCATGTCTTCTCATGTTACCTTTCTTCTTTGTGTGTACAATTTTACATGAGTCATTTTTGAGAAATGCATGCACTTGGGTTTTTTCACTGCAAAGATTGTTTTTTTTTTTATTTGACCACTAAGGGGCAGTGTAGAGCTCTTTAACGTGGAGTTTACCTTATGTGTACTTGTATCTGAAGATTGTATCCATGACTCGAAATGGAAAGATTTTATTTTACACATTTACTCAATGCTTCCATTCTCTTATTTGACTCGTTTCGGGAAAATAGTTGCCCTTTGAGAAAAAAAGAGCTTTGAAACGTGAGGAATTTCACACATGCAAAACAAAATGAACTCCACCTGTGAATCCATGTGGAGATTACTTGTCATATTTTGGCATTTTACAGACACGTGTCTTTTTTCAAACCTACCTTTTGCCCAAATTCAAGATCTTATTGTATGGAATTCTGAAAAAAGTGATTTAGTTTTTCTCTATGCTTTTTACATTTACTCAATATATGCTCATATGGTTAATGACACTTAAAATATAGCAAAACTAATAATATTAATACTTGCATTTAAAAAATAAAAGTAATAACTGAAATAATCTGAATACAAAAGATCGCAATTTATGAAAACCACAAAGATACATACACTTCCAAAACTAAAACCCGTCAATTTGACTGCTCTGGGAGTTCTAGTCCGACAAAGGTGGAAAAAAGGGTTTAAAATTGTGTATAGTGTTAAAATGGTGATTAATACTTCTGTATGGACGAGGTGATATTGCCATTTTTCATTGTTGTGTCTTTGGGCAAAACACTCCCCCGTAATTGCACAGTATGATGCAGAGTGTTGGTGCTGTTCCAGACTGCTCCGTTCATTCCCAGACAGACGAGCAGCGAATACAGAAGTCCCTGGTTTGAAATAATGAACGTAAATTGGATTATGTAAGCGTGCGACCATAGAACAGCTTCGCTTGACTTGGCCAAGCCAGGTCGGGTGTCTCCCTCCGCCGCCTGTGATTGGACGAGGAGTCACGGCTCTGAGCTCCAGAACCATCAGCGTAAAAAAGGCTAGAGAGCCCATCGTAACATTTACACTCTGATCAAAACAAGGCTTACAGTTACAGAAATACACTCTTTGTAGAGATACTTTATTCGTTCCACAGTAGGGGATTTTCAGTCCTACATCACACGTTTCTGAACAGTAAGAAGGAGGAGCGCAAAACACAAAATAAGTAGATGGCTCAATAAAGAAACGACGTATAAAAAGTAAACAGATTTAAGGTATATAGACCTCTTGTGAAAATAAATATATACTTGTATGAATACATATTTAAATGAATCTGTAGTTATTATATGAACCCCAAGGGTTCATATATTTCATATATTCATATATTTATAATAGTAGCATGTGACACTGCTGTACATCTGAGGCTCTGGGCTGAAAGTGACAAAAAGGGAAACATAGGCAAACAAAGTAAAGTGACAGTGGACAAATGATTGCACAGATGCATGACAAGTGAGGTCAGGTCAGCAGTGTTCGTCAATCTTCATTATTTGTTGTAATCATTTTCATCTAACTAGTTCCTTGCTCTCAAAATTACTCAAAATTACTTCTTGTTTTCACATAAATGTCTTTTGTTTTGTTTCTGTCACATCTTTAAAACATTTTTAAGAATTGTGAACTCAGACAGTAAGGGATCTTTCTTACAAGTTGGCAAAACATTTACACAACATTATAATTTTACATAAATATTTCTTTAAAACAATACTAAATCAAAATACTGTTTATACTACTCAAGTCGCCTTTACAATCACAAGATGGCTGCCACAATCACCATAGTAACAGGATCTCCGGCGTCTCTAGTCTTATATCTCCCATTATCGATGCAGCCCTTACAGACTCAGCCCCGGAAAAACCCTCCGACACACGGGTGAGCACTTCCCATGTGTTTGCAGCGGTCATACGGCTGAACTACCCGCGGAAACTGCTCCACACGTCTCGTATCTGCCTTTCCCGTGTGAATCTCACGGCTGGGGTCACGAAAGATGGCGACTCCCGGCTCCTGTATTGTGGTGAGTACTTATAGATTATTTTTACATTTCCAAATAGCATGAGCGTATGACCATATTATTACGCCTTTATGCATATCGCTGATATAAAAGTTGTGTATAATGAACAGTTTGTGCTTTGTGTCCATGTGTTATTGAGTGACATGCTTTTTGTCGCGTGGTCCTATGTTGAATAGAAAAAACACGCGTCATCCACGTTGTGCGTAACCTGCGTGAAAATGAGAAAGGAGAGCACGAGCTGTAATATCTCAGTAACTATCACTAATATCAACAATGTCATCAGTTCGGGATACGTCAGATTTTCTATAATGGGGGGCTTGTAAATTGATCTCTCCAAATTGGTGATATATAATTTTATCTTAAATCCTAGTTCAGAATCAGAATAGTTGCATGCATTATTATGTAAGCACAGTATCGTTCAGAGAAACATGTATTATTTACGAAAAACTCACGTAAAGTCAGTAATGGATTTCACTCAGCATTGGTTATGTCTGATGTCATCTTAAATTCAGACTGCAATATGATGTTATAGTTTCAGTCACTCATTATCACATTTTATGGAAATGTCACGTTTAGCTTGTGGCCTTGGCAGAGGTCATGGCCCTTTGAACTTATTTGTGAACATTAGATTGTGATCTGCTTCTGATCACAGTCACATTTGTCTGTTTTTCTTAGAATTAAATTAAAAAGTCATACAAGTCCAGTTCTTCATGAGATTTACAAATTCTCAAAAGTCACTATTGTAAAACATTGGTCTCATTCTTTCTCATGACTTTTTTCTTATAATTGCACTTTACTTGCCCTAATCCGATGCCCCTGCTTATAACCACTGTTCTGAGGAACCTCAATTAAACTTTACTAAAAATGATTTTCAAGTTGAATGCTGATTTTGTGTCATTTGTATCTATGGTTCCCATCTATCTTTGAAAAACTACATTTACTGCATACATATTGTGTATATTTGGGAACTATAATAAACTGAGTTATTGAATTTTTTCCGTTACTGTGTTATTTCCAGCTGTCTCATTTTCAGCCTGCTTTTCAAGGAAGTGTTTTGTGTTTTGAATTTCACCAAGGAGACATGGCCATGGTACAACTGCGTACAGCACCAGTTTCCCGGTCAAGTTCCTCTGTATCCCATTCTGAGAGAAATGGATAAAACAACTAATGCCACTGTTTTGCGCTTGGCTGAAATGAATCATAATCTAAGGCAAGTTAATTTGAATAGCACAGGCAACTCAAGGCAACTCAAAGTGCTGAACAAAACAAGACAGAAAAAACCTTACAAGGCTGTAGAATCATAAACAATCCTTGTTCATCATAAATAGTGAAGATACAGAACTGTTTTTAACCTGGATTTGAACAGAAGTAAAAGCGTAGAAGCCTGTCGCACATTTTTCAGGAAGACTGTTCTATATTTTAGCTGCATAAATCTGAAATGCTGCCTCTCCATGTCTAAGTCCTGACCCTGACAGTGGTACAGAGTCAGAGTCCACATCCTTTAATTGGCAAGTTTTAGCAAGACCAAACAATTCCCTGGTGTCCGTCCAGTCCCTCGTTGTCGCCTCCTTTCAATCGTTGTGAAACCTGAACTTCCGTTATCGACTCAACCTCAAGTTCAGTTTTAGCCCTGACCGCAGAGCCACGTTCACTTTTCAAACATCTGCTGTGTGTTTGTTATAGAGTAGAACAAACAGGTGGACGCTGGCTTTAATCGTGTGTATTGTATTGTCTTTAAGAAACGCCACATGTCACAGATGCATTTTCTGTCCATTTCAGCACATTTGTTATAATTTTTAAGAGATGGGTTCATATTTTTTATTCATTTCATGTTTAGAGCAGAAGCTGAGTGAAACTAGCTCATTAGATTTAGCACTTGTATGATTTTTTTTATTCTGGGGTTCCTGACTTTCAAACCATACTTAATGAAACTGCAGTTAAATCCATGCAACTACTTTCTCTCAAAACAGTTTGGTTCTATCACATGCATGTCTCTTTCACATGCATGGATTTTTTAGCCTCTGTCACATCTTTGGATCAGCTTTTTCAGACAGAAAAAGTAAAAAAGCGAGGACCACCCTCACTCAGCACAATCAGCTCTCAGCCCAAAGAGTCAAAAACACACAGTAAACTAGTCAAATGTTTTCTAATAAGATGAAGACAAAGAAAGCATGTGGTGGTCTGATTTGTTCACATTTTACTTATTGTTGGCATAAACATGATGAACAAAAATAGATAAGATACCCCAGCTTTAAATATCACAATTTGATCGAGAATGTGTTCTGATGATGAACTCCACAACTGTTCAGAAAAATATATTTCCTTATCAATACTATAGTAAGTTTCTGGTTTTGATTCAATATTTTTCCCCAAATTGATGTTAATGAGAAAACGTTCACTGTTGACATTGGAAATGACCATGAAGGCATTTACAATAAACAGTGAAAATGTTACTGAATAGTTGACACTTCATCTCTGTTCTGTAAACAGGGATTTTCTTCTTACATTTTTATTTAAGTACAGGTATACTCTGTTCCTCTTTTTTATCTTAACTTCTGTAACTTAGAAAAGCGGGGCTGACTTGTGCTGCACAGTGTGAACTACGACACTCTCATAACATGATAATAAACATTTGACCTTTGGGGATGTCCAGAGCTGGTATCTCTCAGAGCCTGCTGATGGCTTTTGACCCTTTACCTAACGCTCAGCCCCGTTTGAACAACGATACAACATTACAACATTATTATAACCCTAACCCTAACCCATTATTGATCCATATTTATTTCATTTATTGAGATTGATCACTGAAAGATCACAAAATCACAATTGTAGTAAATAAGATCATCTTCATTGTATCTATTTTTTACATAACCTTAGTCCTGATATCATGCCTGCTCTCTATTGTCTGTGCCATTCAAATTAACTTGCCTTGCCTTGAAAGGAGCTCAGAGTAATGAAAAATATTCACGAATCACTCCATAATAATCTTCTTTTTGAGTGTGTTTTTTACTGTTCATAAGATTTGCCAATTGAACAAGGAAATTCTTTAGTATTTGAGAAACTGCTCGCCATAATAACACAGTCCTAGTATTGTCAAATCAAGATAAATGATAGGATCCCCTTGACTAAAAGACCAAAAACAGTCTTATAAAACAGTGACTCCCAACTTAAATACATGCAGTGAAAAATCCCATAAGTCCCATTAGAGAAGTTCTCTGCACTTAAGGAGCACTGAAGCAGCAGAGGTTAATTGTAGTGAAAGTGACATGTGCCTGGAGTCAGACAGTAACAGGAATCATGTGACAGAGGAAAGAGCAGCAGCCTCAGCTAAACAGACGTAATACTTATGAAATTATATAATCATTTGCAAAAGTTAAACACAAATATACTGAACATACCACAGAACAGAAATATTTAGCTTCAAAGTTTCACATATTGGAAATGATTTTGGATGTGTGCATAGAATATGGATTTGTGCTGAGCTCTTGTGAGTTTAGAGTTGGTTGAATTTCCCAGCCCTAGTTAAAGTCAGGCCTAGTTAAAAATGGCTATTCTACAATCAAGCTAGGTTTTTATTTAGCAATCTAAATTCTAAACAGCAGGTGTGAAGAAAAAGCATGCAATTTCCTGGTTTAGTTCTGTAATTTGGTGTTTTTGGATTTGAGCCTCAAGATTGTTTTCTCTGTTGGGTTGTCACATACTGTAGTCAAACAGTTGAATATTTACATAGATAATCACAAAACATTCATTTAAAACACAAATATATCCAATTGTTGATGTGTTGATTTGCAGATCAGCGATGAGGAGCAGGGCTATGACCTCGACCTGTTCTGTATCCCCAAGCACTACGCGGACGACCTGGAGCGAGTCTACATCCCCCACGGACTCATACTGGACAGGTGCGTCTACAAAAGCCCCTCACAAACCGGACAGGAATCTGGAGCCAACATTATGAATGGCAACGACCCAGCAACCAAAGAGCCAAGCGGTCCCCAAAGGCACCTGATTGGCCGGTTGTTTATAGACAGATTTAACAAAGACAATCAATAAAAAACACCAGGATCATTTTTTATCCCAGAAATGGTGCATCGAGCTTGTCTGTTGGTCTGTTAGTATTCTCCATCCATGTATGGTCTATGGACACATGCCTATCCTCAGTAAGTTATTTATTGCAATGTAAATAGACTCTTGAGCGTCAAAAATGCACTCTATACAACAGAATCATTGAACTTGACTCATGGTATAAGAAAATATAGTTTTAAGTTTACCGGTTGTTGTTCAGATATTTGAAATCCTGCAAGAAGTTATGAAGTTAATCAGTTTGAGCGGTGGTTCTTTCATGAGGAAATGGAAAGTTTTGCTGAGTCACAGAAACTGAAGCTCAGTTTGTCATCCCCACATTTCCCTGTGGAGGGGGTGGGTTTAAATGAATATTTTCCAGTAATTTGGTCATTTCTGGACCTGTTTTCTTCTGAAATTATTGTGTACTTTAAGCCTCACATAAACCATTCCTTCAATCAATCATTCAGGAAGTCAGAAGTGTGAATGTGTGACTTTAGTTGGCCACTTTGACAAATGAGTATTAATTTTTACTTTTTATTTGATTAAAGACAAACACATCAAAATAAAACAAAAACACAAAAGTACAACCCCAAACCAAACGAACATAACGCAAAGACAAGAAGACAATTAAACAATAAAAATAACATAATAGAGAAGAATTTTTAAAAACGTGTTAGCACTGCTGACCGATTGGTTAATGCAAATTGTTATAAAACTAATTATATGAAGAATCCAAACCTCATCTACATATTAATCACTGGTACTAGATGATAAAAAAGACATGCCAGGCCTAATAACCCCTAATTCAATGTGTTTTTGTATAGCCTTAAATCACAGCAGCAGTCATCTTCGAGTACTACACAAAAAGTTGTCGATTCACCAACAACAGATCAGAGAATCAAACAGTTCAACATAAGATAGACTTTATTGATCTCACACAGAAGAAATTTACCTGTCACATTTGGCATAGATAGAATCAGTCAAGATTTGTGCAAAAGACAGAAGTATGAAAACATGCTGGAGGCAAAAAATATAGTCTGTTCAGGATCTATTATGTACAATAAAAAGTAATTAAAGAAACAGTGACGGTGGTTTTTTATTCCTAGTTAAAGTGACTTAAAGTGACTTATTGTGCAGTTAAAGTGACTTACAACAAGTCACTTAAGTCACCCTGACAAACAAAGGAAATTAAGCTTTACTGCGATATCACTCACGTCTGTATTCTGTGCAGGACGGAGAGGTTGGCGCGCGAGATCATGAAGGAGATGGGCGGCCACCACATCGTCGCTCTGTGCGTGCTCAAGGGAGGATACAAGTTCTTCGCCGATCTGCTCGACTACATCAAAGCCCTGAACCGAAACAGCGACCGCTCCATCCCGATGACCGTGGACTTCATACGCCTCAAGAGCTACTATGTACATGACACTTTACATTGTCTTCTTCTTCTACTCTGTAATGTAATCTGCGTCTGATCGGAGCCTGTGTGACCACATTTCCTCTAACTCGTTACTTTTATCACATCATTTCAGCTTAATATCGAGATTTGCACTAAAGTTGTAGTAATGAGCCACTGGTGCCATAGATTATCACTATAAAGCCGGTTTAAGAATGTAATCCTACAGACTTTCCCACACAGAAATTTGATCACATTATGCCATTAAACTTTGGACCAGAGAACCGTAGAGCCTCACTGTGGGAAATGCCTTTATTTTATGACATATGAAATAAAAAACAATAAAAAGCAAATAAAAAAAACAGAGGACCACACACAATTCACGCAGTGTTAAAAGCAAGATGATAAAAGTCGGACTTAAAACAAGGCTTAAAACATTACAACAAGAGAGCTTTGGTTCAGCCATGAAGAAGGCCCTGTCCTCCCGGGTTTTAAGGTTGGACCTTGAGTGATAGATTTGGATTAGGTCTGAGATGTACTGTGAGTGAGACCAGTCCTTTCGAAGTCTCAAAAACTAAAGTTAAATTACAGTGGAAATATAGGAAGCACTTGAAAAGAAGAATCCTGATAATTCTATGAACTCCAGAGTCCAAATGTGGTTCACTTAATATGTTCAGTATTCACTAAAGTCAGCTCACTCCAACGCTGAAACCGTACTGTTATGATTTGCATTCCATCTGACCCACAAGTGTGAACACGCCCTTATGAAGAGTTTTACTGTACATATATTTATACTTGTGTTGCAGCTTTCTATGACTTTAAATACATTATGCTAAGTCTTTTTTTTTTGTGCTCGCAGAACGACCAGTCGACAGGTGAAATCAAAGTAATCGGTGGGGATGATCTTTCAACATTGACTGGAAAAGTAAGTTTGAAATCTATTCGTCGTAATGTCAAAACCGTAAAAACAGACAACATTTTTAAAAATCTGCTTTTGAATATTGCAGTGACGGCAGCTCAATGCATCGTAAAAACTATAATACTACTTCTATATGCTACTCAAATACTACTATGCAAGGCTGTAAATATAAATATTGTAATCCTGTATTATCACAATACAGTGTCACATTTTTATATAACTGTAATACTTTCTTCTTGATTTTTCTTCTCCACTAAACTAGTGTTAGCATGTACAGGGAGAGGCAATGCCACAACATTTTCTAATTATTAGATAGATACCATAAAGACTCCGTATACCATGTGGAAACTTTAAAGCCGTCCCAACGAATGAAAACAGAACAGCTGCATATGGACCAGGTCAATCTGCTGATGCTAAAACCAAGAAAGAAAGATCAGATAAGATAAACTTTATTGATCCCCCCCACTGAAAGATCAAGGCTATGCTCACACTCAGAGCAGCCGTCCTCCTGTGGACTCACCACCTGCAGAGGGTCAGTGAGGGGCTGGTGCTATGAGACTTGGGTGGCATCTCTGATTGCCACCCCCCTGACTGTTACACCCTGGCTCTACAGGTGCAACATAAAGGACAACAGGCAACTAAAAGTTAATATAATTTATTAACAGAAACAAAAGTCTAGGGAGATAACACAAAGAAAACCAAAAAAGGGGAAGGCAGGTGTGGTGGTGAGCAGGGCTGCTGCTGCCAGGACAGAGAGAGAGCGATGGGTGGAGTCAGGGTGTGGTCTTATAGACTCCCAGCAGGGAACCTGATGCAGGCTGGAAATCCTGGAAGTGGATCCTGGAACTGGAACAGGTCTGCATGGCAGCTCCACATAACACCCCCATCCATAAGCAAGTTGATCTCAAATCAACATGCAAACTGAAGGCTCCAATCCTCCAATAACGCAGCGGTCCAGAGAGACACCACATCTTGGACCCAGGATGATGAGTGGATTGGTCAGAAACAGGCCACAGCAACCACAGATAAACTGGAAAAAACTCAATGTCTGAAGAGACCAGAGCAGATGAAGGAGCAGGATCCAGATCAGGAACAGTCACTCGGTCAGGAACAGGGGAGGCCGGCCGGTCTGCAGAGGGTTGAAGCAGGCCTCTCTCAACTAAAACAGCTCTCACCTTGTCCCTAACATGTTCCTTCAAATATTGGTTCCAACCAGTGGTGTCAAGATCATAAAATGCAGCTAAATTCAACATTGTTCTTCTGTGATTTTTTCAAATAGCTGCACCGAGGGTGACTGAACAAAATCTGACACAGAAGCCATAGTTACGGTCTCAAAATCACTGGGCAAAAAAACAAAAAAATCTCAATGTGCATTAAATGCACAACGAAGTGTCCCAAAAAACACAAAAGCAGCTGACACGAATGCTCTCTCATCACACAAGTAGGTTCACACAACTAAGCCACAAAAGTAGCAACAAATGGATCCACTCAGTCAGTACCAAACTGCTAGACTCCATCAAACCTACAAAACGTCAAGAAACACACTAAACTTGACAAAACAAAAGCTGCACACAAGTTAGGATCAAGGACACAAACTAAGCTCACCATAACTCACCTAACTTAACACAATGCTCTCCACGCAACAAAGCTGAGTGCACCACACACAAAATGGCTCCCTGGTACCTACCAAAGAAGAACTAAAGTCTGAGTATCTTCTGAGGAGTGCCGGGCTAGAGGTGGCTTTAAAAGCAGAACATCAGTGACCAGGCTTGGCCCTGACTTGCTTACCCCTGACAGGGACGGATTCCCCACCCAGGATTTTCCTCGAAAATAAAAAAAACTTAGATTGAAGAATCCCTCCTTAGTCTAACCAGGGAGACCAACTAACCACTCAGCAACAAAAAGGAGAGCCTAATCTGGCACAACTAAAGCAGCCCTTCCACACAAATTTACCCCAAACTGAATCAACTGAGATGGATGAACAAAAACTTACAAGGTTCAACCAAGAGACGAGCCCCCAATATGTTACACCCTGGCTCTACAGGTGCAACATAAAGGACAACAGGCAACTAAAAGTTAATATAATTTATTAACAGAAACAAAAGTCTAGGGAGATAACACAAAGAAAACCAAAAAAGGGGAAGGCAGGTGTGGTGGTGAGCAGGGCTGCTGCTGCCAGGACAGAGAGAGAGCGATGGGTGGAGTCAGGGTGTGGTCTTATAGACTCCCAGCAGGGAACCTGATGCAGGCTGGAAATCCTGGAAGTGGATCCTGGAACTGGAACAGGTCTGCATGGCAGCTCCACATAACACTGACCCAGAAATGGATTAAAGGGTAGAAAATGGATGGATGGATGATCTCACACTGGAGAAATTTACAGAAATGTTCGTATGTGATATTTGCCGAACAATGTTGAAACCAAACTTTACCGAACTATCCCCAGTATGAAACTTCTACAGCATTTGCTGATAATCTTTGCTTTTGTTTTCCCACACAGAACGTTTTGATTGTGGAGGTAAGTAATCTCATTTAGCGGTTTACGATTGGAACTTTGGTTTGAGCGCTCGGATATTGCTCTTGCAGGATATCATCGACACGGGAAAGACAATGAAGACGTTACTTGAACTTCTTAAACAGTACAAACCCAAAATGGTCAAAGTAGCAAGGTAAGACTGCTCAACATGAATTAGAATAGAGTTGAACTAATATAGCCACAATATATTAATAATAATAATATATATATAATAGTATTGATGTTGTGTTTGTGTGAATTTGTTTCCTACTTCTAATTAATTTCAATTCTAATATTTATTTTTATCTGTATCTATTCTTATGTTGACCCTTGTTAATAAATGTTTTCCCTCCATTTAGTTTGTTGGTAAAGAGGACACCGAGAAGCGTTGGATACAGACCTGACTGTGAGTTCGTAACATTTAACATTTATATTTGCCCAGAATATAAAATACTTGTATATATTTTTATAATTTATTGTCTTGCAGATGTTGGGTTTGAAGTGCCAGACAAATTTGTGGTGGGATATGCACTTGACTACAACGAGTACTTTAGAGATTTAAATGTAAGTAAACAACCGACAAACCAGCACGCTATTGGCCCATTATTAACTTTTACAAGATTGTTGTTGTGGTGTAATTGTTTTCCTGTTTTATTTTCCCTAAAATCTGTTTGAGAGGGAAAATACTGTATTCCATTAATCTTCACCCTCCACAGCTATTGATTTTTACTGTCATCATCTGCATGAGAAAGTGTGATTGCGTCAGACCTCTGAAGCTAAGCAGGGCAGGGCCTAGTTACTACTGTGATGAGAGACTCCTGGAAACACCAGATGCAAAGTGTGTGTGGGTGTGTGTGTGTGTGTGTGTGTGTGGATTGGGGCATCTGAAATACTAGTAGTTTTATATTGAAGTACTATGCATTACTTTTGTTAGATTCAGAGGATTTGTAAGTGCTAAGCAGACATTTTAAACATGTTTGACTTTGCATCTGTTCTGATGGTGAACAGACTGAAGCCTCTGGTTTACTTCAATTTATTTTTTATAGGTAAACATTACAAGAGCAATCTCAAGAATTATAGAGACAAAAACAGAAGATTAGAAAATCAAACAATGCATTAGACATGCAACAATAAAATCACTGAGAATAATTAGTCTACAGGAAAACGGGTTAACCAATGTCCACAGAAAAAGCTGTCGCTCCAGAGGGAGAGGGTGGGTGAGGGCAGGAGAGGGCGGGTGAGGGTGGGTGAGGGCAGGAGAGGGCGGGTGAGGTTGAGGGGGACTGGAGCAGTCGTGGCCCACACTGTGCACTTGTTTGGTGGTTTTATATCTCCACCCATGAAACCATGCATAAAGTAAACTCTACAGACTGTCAGGATTTAGCAGACAGAGACGGATCGTGGTGTGCCAAACTCTGGAAGTTTATTTATGTTTCTCTCAAGTTCCACTGGTTTACTCTGTTTCTTTCTCCCAGACAGAATAAAGGCAGTACACAGTTTATATAGTCATTGTCACGTCACACATCGAAAGACGTACGTGTCACAAAGAGACAGTCACATCATAGTCATAACATGGAGTCCTTGTAGAGTCCTTGTAGAGTCCTGCACGTAGGCCATATTGCTATCTAATACTAATACCCTCCCCTTTGATCACATAATCACATGTGATCATTCAATTTGATCAATCAATAAAGTGGAAAAAGAAAAAAAAAAAAAAAAAAATCTAAAAAAACTTTAAAAAATTATTAAAAAACAAAGAAAATGTATGCATTAAACTCATAATCATCAAATCAATATCAGTGGATTTTATCCTCTATCCTGGGAAAAAATAAACAAATACAAATCAAAAATAAAAACAAACAAACACTATTGGACACACAAGAACTCAGCAGATTCAGTCAAAACACAGACAAAAACGAGCTGAGTCTCAATTAGAAGCTAATTTCACTTTTATTACTCTATACTTTTATTCTAATGCTAATTGTTTACACTACACTTCACTGTATTGTTTTCACTAATTCTAATCTTAGACTGTGTACTTTACTCTCTATTCACTATAGTTTAAAACTATTCTAATCTATTCACAAATATGTTTGCATATTTGCTTCTATTGAGCCATATTCTTAGACATACATTTTAATCTAACAAATCTCTCTGTGGTTTACTTTCATTATCAGTGGCATATTATTAGTGGGATTTTGCTCTATCTCTCTTCTACATTCTCAGGAATAAAACTGTGAACACAGTAAGGCAAATGGTCAACATTTACACTTCTATAGTGGTCAGTGATTTATTACTTTTTATTATCTAAAGATATTATTGTCAGGCAGTTTGGGATGAATGTACATCATTAATCAAATTAGTATTATCCTAATAGTAGCTAATTAGGTTTGGGGTTGGGGTCAGTTATTCTACAATGGTGTTTGTGCTGGAAACTTCTCAATATCTAAATATCTACTATTGTGTTTTTGGGCTATACACAAATACATCAAAATGCTTTTAAATGCTTTTGAATCTCTGTTGGTTCTAATCTATCTCATTGATCTAGGCATTAATCTAGGCTACACTCATATGAACTTTTTGTATTGTCAACATTCACTCATGTGTGAACACAAGTGAATTTGGCAAGTATCTAATAAAACTGTACATAAAACTGTAAGTAACTTTATCTACTTTTGAAGTAAATGCTTGTGAAATGGTCCCTTTACCATTTGATATTAGCACTGGCTACAAATAATCTCTATTTTTGAAAGAATCTATGGTTGATGTCTCTATTTCTACACTATTGTGGCTCTAAAGCTTGGTTGCAGCTTGAGTCAAGGCATATTTCTACTCTAACTCTTATGTGGAAATGTTTATGAACAACAAAGGAAGGACAATTCTACTTTTTTACTACTACTAAAAACGCTACAATACTAATACTTTATCATTTTAAAAGTTTTTGTCTGTCAGATGTCTGAATACTTAACATGTATATTGCATTTGGTCACAGGTTCTGGTTGTAGCAATAGCATCGGCAATAGACGTTTTCATTGGCTGGTTCTTGTTCTGCAAATGGCTGTGTCCAATAGATCATCAGATGTCCAGAAGCTAGGGACAAACAAAAACAAAAGAAAGAATCATGAGTATCTCTCTCATTTAGCACTCATCAATGTATGATTTCAAAAATATAAACATCACTCCCCAGTTTTTTCTCTCAGGTCCTCAGATCCTCAGGTCCTCAGGTCCTCAGATCCTCAGGGTCCTCAGGTCCTCAGGGTCCCCTGAGGGTGAGTCTCAGTCGTCATCAGGTCAGGTCATATTTCGAGAGCTGTCATCTTGGACATCAGTAGGGTCCAAGCCATGGTTCTGGTTCTGGTCTCCAGATGCACATCAGATCTCCAGATACAGTCTTTTCACTCGAAGCACATCAGGTCATTTGCGATGCACTTCTGGTCAATGGTGCAGTGTCACAGTTCCTGTACACAGCTTGTAATGCAGTAGTTACTCTCTATGGTTAAGTCACTTTGATTCTACTTTAAAGACAATTTCTATTAATGCTGTTGCTAATGTCTCTCAGACAAAAAGCAAGCGCAATGATTCAGTTTACTTCTCTAATTTGTGTTTTTATCAGATCTAATTCTCATCAATGTAATTACTTCACACAGTACAAAATCAACAAATCAAAATTGTCAGGACAGACGTCAATTAAGTCCATGACAATATAGAATTCAAATGAACATTTCTGGTCTCAAAAAATACTGATTCAACTAAAGATTCAAGTGATAGACAATTAAAAATGTGTTTACATTGGAGTAAACTTTTAAAATGCTTTTTTCTCATGTTTTACTTTTTCATGTATCTATATGTAAATGTGAATGTGTGAGTGTATGTGTGTATGTGTGTGTGTGTGTGTGTGTATTTTGGGGTTGTGTCTCCAGACTCCTCGAACCACCTGTAGGTCTCAAAGGTCACACTGTGGTGATGTAAACAAGCAAAGTGGGCACACTTCCAGATTGCAAAACAACTCACCCACCACTGCCTACAGAAAACCTCACTTTGTGGCCCCGGTCTCACTGCCACCTACGACCATCGGTCTGTAGTGGGGGAGGGGCACACGGAGGTAGCTATGTCGCCTTTACGATCTGCGGCTGGTTGGATGGTGTCTACTCTGGGCCACTGTTCTGATCCCTCTGTGTCCACTCCAGCAGTCCAGTGACCCTGTACAGTGTGGCAGAGTCTGAAAAACAATCCTTGAGACGGCCAATTTAAAAAAATAATAGATATCAGTATGCGAATGAGATTGTTTTTCTCCCTAAAGTCAAAACAATTTTGGAGCGCTCTGGGTTTTCCCAAGCGCTATGTAAATAAAAGATTACTTATTATCTTACTAATGATGACATTTTAAGACCAGAAACTCTCTCTTAATAAAAAACAAGACTCAAATCTCAAAAAACCTTTAAACTTTAAAATATGTATTATGTACTTTTGTACTGTGTTTAATTATCTATGCGTCCTTGGGTTTCTTGAAAGACGCCATGAAATGAAATTATGAAAAATCTCTATAAAAATGAACATTAATTTGTAAAAACATTTAAAACAAAACTTGAAATCAAACAAAAGATTTAGCTCCAGCTAAACTGGATTTGGTTCAATAAAACTCAATTGTGCGTCGGAGCTGCCTCCTCATGTCTCTGAGCAGCAGCAAGGTCACGCGTGTAGTCAAAACAAAAACAAAAGTCCCCACTTGCAAGGTGAATTGGGTAGTTTAACTTAATAATATAATACTTTTACAGCTAATTCCTAATTCCCTCTTTCTTTTTAGACAAAGTCTATAATCAATAATCACTTTTAACACAGATTCTAATTTAAATGTTTGAAAAACGGCTTTTGTAACTAAAATAAAAACAAAAAAATTCTCACAAACAGCTATGAAATATATCAGCGATACAATAATGGACTCACAAAATAAGCAGCATATTTAAAAAGAAAAGCAAAGCTTTTTGTACTAATCTTTGGGTTTCAAAAAAAAATAATAAAAAAACATATAATATTCAAAACTTATTCACTAATGGTGTTTAAAAACGTTTAACTGTGTCATAACACAATGTTCAAATGGCAAATTTCGCAAATTTAACGGAATAACTACTATGAAAAGCCAAAAATCCTAAAGCAGTAGCTTTGCTTCAGAGCCAGAGCAGCAAAGGAGGGGGCCGTTTCCCTGACAACGGCAGCAGATAGTGCGGCGCACACACAGGCAGAAAGATACAGAAGAATAACTTTCAAGATTACTTTGTTAAGCGAATATAACTTATGTTGTTCTTTATACTTTTGTCATCCAAGTCTAGAAATGATCACTTTCCACACTTGTAACAAAAGGCACTCTTTAGTGTTTAACGTTTCCCTTTTTATAATTACTTTTAATTTTACACCATGGTTTCACTAACTATTTTCTATTCTCTATTCTCTGCCCCGGCTACTCCAAAGGCAGGGACCCCGATACATCAGGGGTTCCTTTTTCTCTCTGCCCCGGCTACTCCAAAGGCAGGGACCCCGATACATCAGGGGTTCCTTTTTCTCTCTGCCCCGGCTACTCCAAAGGCAGGGACCCCGATACGTCAGGGGTTCCTTTTTCTCTCTGTCCTGACTACTTCAAAGGACAGGGACCCCGATACGTCAAGGGGTTCCTTTTTCCTATAGGGACTGGTTACCCACACAGCTAACCTGTTTTCTACAACATAAGACATGACAAAGACGTGACAAAGACATAACAAAGAAAATTTGATTTAGAGAGATTTGGACAGACCTCCGGGACAGCTCAAAATTTAGCTAGTATCCAATTATGCAGACTTTACATATTAAAAAAGGTGTCTGCTTACCTTAATTCTTTGTCCGGACTGTTCGAGAGGTTGACCAACATCTTTTCCGCGTCGAAAATTTCAATTTAAACACAAAACAGAGAAAGTGAGGGAGCAAGAGCAAGCCCATCCAAAAGCGAGCCCTTTCAGCGTCCGCTGGGATTTCTCCCCTTCCAGATAACGTGCTGTTGCTCCCACACGCCAAAAAAAAGAAACAGAGGAAATTCCTTCAAAACAATCCAGAGAATGGCACACACTGAGCCGCGCATTCTCCACCAAATCTGTCAGGATTTAGCAGACAGAGACGGATCGTGGTGTGCCAAACTCTGGAAGTTTATTTATGTTTCTCTCAAGTTCCACTGGTTTACTCTGTTTCTTTCTCCCAGACAGAATAAAGGCAGTACACAGTTTATATAGTCATTGTCACGTCACACATCGAAAGACGTACGTGTCACAAAGAGACAGTCACATCATAGTCATAACATGGAGTCCTTGTAGAGTCCTGCACGTAGGCCATATTGCTATCTAATACTAATAAGACGTCAGAGTCATTTTAGATCAATATCGAGATTTTGAATCTTACATAATTATGCACAGGGTAATTTTTTTATTTCTATGTAAAACGTTTTATTGAAGGTCACAATATATTATTTTGTGTTGTTTTTTATGTTAATATCATACTGTGGACCTTCTCCTTGGAGACAATTTATTTTATTGCTTTCCATACATAGTTTTTGTGCAATATAACTATATGAATACAAAAGTGCCAAAGTAGCGGTAATAACATAAAGACAATATAATACTAAAAATACATTTATTTGTATATGATGTGGTGTTGTAGTAAAAATTGTATTCTCCATGTCATGAGGCATTTTTAAGCTCTTACTTTGATTGAGTTACTTCTTTTGATTGATGGATTTACTTGTAGAATCAGAGTTGAATGGTTTGGTTTTACCTTTTGCAGTAGGACACTTCTCTTCCTACTTTAGCATATGTTAAAGGTTTGACTTCTGCCCCGTGTCAGTATCAGTGCTCTCCCCTGGCTCCTTTTGTGATGTAAACTTCTGCTTCTCTCTGTTTCAGCATATCTGCGTTATCAGTGAATCAGGGAAGGAGAAGTACAAGGCATGAAGACAACCCAACACACTTTTACCACATTTGACCTTATTTCTTTTGCAGCTATTTTATTTTATTACTGTACTTTTGTGTTAAGAGACCAGTAATTCTCCTGTTAGCTACAGTCAGTTTTAGAGACAATTTAGCTCTTGCCAAAAGATTCACCAATTTAGCCCTGGATTTAGTAAACAGTTGTAATGCCCAAAGGTAAAGATTGTTAATTTATTGAGCACAGTGCTGCTTTCATTTAAACATGCACATGCAAAGTCTTTTTGTATTGATTTTATTTTAATTATCTTTGACTCGTGTCTACCAAAAGGCAGGATGATTATCTATGTATATTTTGGGACAAATAACATTTCCTTATTGTATAATTGAATTGTAATTTTTACCATGCAAAGTTATAATAGTGGAGATAAATATTTGAGGCAGTCCCTGATAAAATATTATTTTGTGTTAAAGCACCAATTCACACGGTGTGAACACTGTTATACAATTGATGCTGCTTTTCTGTTGTTGCTGGTCACTCCTCAATCCGGTAAAACCATTTCAGTAAAGAGTGCCACTGCTGTACACTTCTATTGTTGCATGAAACCAAACAATAAACACATACACCATTCTGTTTATACATTATTTTACTGTTAATTTACTGCAATTATACTGTCAACTGTTGAAACTAGCTGCTCATACCGCCTACTGGGTTTAAGTATAAAAATGACACATGCATTCCCTGGTGACTGCAAAAACCCAGTGTCCAATGCACACGCTTAGTACATGTGCCCAGGTGCATTAGGGAGGTTTAGAGGTTATGGAGAAGAAGATCCAGGGGACTATGAGGTTTATCCAGCATCCACGGGAGGCAGGGCAGCGTACTCAGACAAGCCGAGCGCTACCATTGGACAGGTCAGCAACACAGGGGGCGTGAAGTTTGCTGCTAACTGCTAAGTAACCCTGATTATCTGAGCATTGGGGCTATCTGCACCAGTCTATGATCAGGACCTGTTTTGGGGTAAGACATTGTTATTATTATCTTACTGCTTATCTGTCACTGGCAAATGGTAACTGTAGCAATGCAAAAATGGATGGATGGCCTTTCAACTAACGAAACTAAAGCGACATGCATCTTAATCCTGTAAAGATGCTTTTTTTTCTAGCCGAATGTCGTGATATAATTTAAGTAATGGAGTAATGTTAGTGCATGATCTAACACTATAATGTTCATGATTTATACTGCCAATTATTGGAAATCTAACCTAATCGATTTACGTTTCCGAGCATTTTTGTCCCAACTATGCCACCGTAGTTAAGATGGCGTACCGGCTCACGCATGCGCAGAGTGTTTTCACAGCGCAACCGATCGTGCAGCCTCCAGGGACTTGTAGCGCTTTTCTCGGTAGCGGTGCAGATCGGGCAGTGACAATTCTGGTCATTTTCCGCGGGGCAATACCGAACCTACAAAAACTGTTTACGTTTACCATTTCAACTTTAGTCGGGTTTATTCCCACCCGGAACCCTGAGATGCCCACTCACCGATGGACCGTGTAGAAGACCCCCGAACCAGGCCAGCCCCGTTAATGCTACTACACTAGCTCCTGCTGGTACTGATGCTAGCGCTCACTCCACAGAACATAACAGTAGCTCCATTTAGCAGCTGTGTTGTGTTAGCAAGTGGGTTAACTCGCGCAATGCTGCTTCTAACTATGGCTTAGTTCGTGTTAACATCGTCTAATATTGATTTCAGACCGAGGTTCATTTTGTGCTCGGACTGAATCGGTGCAAAGCCTTGAAGAATTAAGGCGCTAAAGTGCAGTGTTGGCTGTGGGTCCGACTCTGGTGAGGTAGTTTACCATTACAGGCATTGTGCGTTGTGCAGAAGGCTAAAGAGACTGAAGGAAAGTCAATAAAGACTCTTCTAATGTCACTACCCATGCTTTTATGATCCCTCTATAGTCACTCATATGTGTATAACTACTTTATTATATAGTTGCTATGCTTTAAAAACAAACTTGGGATTGTGCAAACCAAGGGCCTCTGCCTGTAGAGTTGCGATAGCTGCAGCTGGTTTTGTTTAGCATGGACCGTGATTATCCAAAGCATCTAAAGTAGCCAAGAAGACCGAAACAATGTAACCGATCCCGTTGTGCATTTTGATTGAAAGTGGTGGACAACATCACAACAACAGTCGCACAATGAACAACTCAGTAATGCAACAAGAGAAGATGGAGCTTGATCTGGAAATCCCATCCGCGCTGGTTCAGACGGACGGACACCTGAGGAGGTCCAATAGCGCGCCCATGATTAATGGACTAAGGTTGTTCATCTACATTATCATCAAGGGTGTAAAACTTGATCTATATATTAGTGGTTTGGATTGGCTTCTGTGATACAGGCCCAGTCGACCAGCACAAGACAGTGTTTAATCCATTGCAGACATGTATTCTGTAACTAATAGGACGTTTCCCTCCAATAATTAGTGAGACTATTTGTAATTGGTTGGCCAATCCATGCTAAAAAGCTGAAATGTGAAATTAAATACTGTAGGAATGTGTGATGGCTTAATATGGTTATTAGCATTGGATGCCAACGAATACTGTTAAGAATACAGTTATACCAATCACATATAAACTAAATCAGATTTCTGAAGTGAATGTTCTCAAATAGTGTATTTATTTACTTATTGAACTCCACAATTAATGTATAGGTTCCTCTTCACGTTCATGTGTTCCAGTCAAGATTTATTGGTTGGCTTTTGTTTTTGCAACAATAAGTACAACATAAATAATGTAGTTGTGTTTGGTGTGTCTCTGCAGTGATACCTGCCCGGTTTTCCAGCGCGAGGTTCTACGGAGCAGAAGAAACAGCACCACCGTCGTCAACAGGCCCAACATGGTACATGTCGTCTTTTATATTCAGGGATGGTTCGGTTTATTAATACATGAAAACACATGTGCATGTCGACTTTGTCTAGTGTCCTCTTTTCTTCTGTGGGAGGAGACGCAAGTAACATGCCAGATTAAACTTGTCAAAGGAGTTATCAGGGCCACCAGTCTCTGAGCACGGACTGAGTTGGTAGTATAAAACTCCTACATTGGATTACATGCAAATGTGTTGGCTTGGCCTATTTAATCACCTATTGATTGGCTGTATTCAATAGCCCTATTGACATGACAAATTGTCATGGTTTATAATCCCATAATAGGTCATGTGATAACTAGATATGTATTTAACAACCAATATTTGTTTGACAATCATGACAGTTTGCGTTGTTTCTGTTTAGGGAATTGGTATAATTTGTTTTAAATAAGATAGAACACATTTATTTGCTTCTGGGATGTATCATTTGTATACTTCTGCACCTCTGTATGAATGAAAATGAATAATACAAATGTCTTAAACATTTGGATCCTTAATGGCTATGAATCTGTCTTGGTGCTAAATATGCTTCGTCTCCGCTCAGGTGCCGTCGTCTCCCATCCGAGTGCCTAGTACCAGGCTTCACCAAATCAAGCAGGTAACACAGGCCTGCGTGTGTGCGTATGTGTGTGTGTGTATGTGAGCATGTGGGTTTAATGTTTAAAAAGGGCATGTCAGACCACTGTCCCTCTACAGCCATTGGGAAGGACAGTGTCTCACAAACATGCCACAGTCACTGGAGTTCACAGGGCCACGGTGTGTTAAAGAGGAGTTATTATGCATTATTTGTGTTCATTTTGGAACTAAAACTTGATAGATCTTGATTGATATTCATTTTGCAGAACGATCTAATTGAAGGCATGCATTTGTAAAGAATGTATTTTAACAGTGGGACATTACTAAAACTTCTGACTGAAACCAGCTCTGCTTATGAGGTCATAGTCTGAGCCTTGAGTTCCATTACCTGTGCTCCGATCCGCTGTGCCACAACTGCCGCAGCAATACATTAATTAACCGCTTGTTAATGATTGAAAGCTCTTCCACTTCTCACTCTCCGCTCTGACTGCTGCGGCAAAAAATGCACAACTCTATTTTCTGGTTCGGTGACTTGTGCCCGATCCACCCCCCACAGCTCGCATCGGCATTTCCTTATATGCAAAGTAAAATCCCTCTAAGACCACTTTATATTGATTTAGATTACACTAATGGGTGGTTTATAATCACTGTGGCTTTGATATTCAGGCTCAGTGCACTGTTAACTCCACCCGCATGTCAATCAAACGAGCACTTTATGCATGGCCCAATGGGGAAACTCACACTCATTATGGGAGAGAAAAGGGCATTCTTCTCGTCCAGACACATTTGCAAATAGTACACTTTGGCTTTAAATGAGGACTTTTACTTCACGTTTTGGTGCATGCCTATTGCTCTCATTCTGGAGGCTCAATCTACAGATGAGACTTGATCGTGGCGACCGTGGTGCAGTAGATCGGAATGCAGGCTGTGGAATAGAGCCGTAAGAATTGATCATAGTGTACGAAATTTGAAATGGGTGTGGGCTTGGACACATGGGGCGGGAGCATGTGTGCCAGAAGTACCCTTTATTAGTCTGGATGGAGCTAAAACAACTACAGGTCTGTCCTTTTACTGGAGAAAAATGTTAAAAGGGTGTAGGAGTTTATACAAAAAAATCTTTCTTCATCCTACTCCTGTTCTTTTTTATGTAATGTTGTGGTATTTTTTTTGCATAATGTCTCTTTAACTGCACATGTTACAAGGTGTGTATAAAACAGAAGCTGACATTTGTGTGTGTTGCTAGGAGGAAGGTGTGGATGTGATGAACCGAGAAACTGCTCATGAACGGTAAGTCGAGCCGACCTGACAAAGCGGTGTGTACTCCAGCTTTCCTTAGCAACCACCATAGCAACACATAGCCTCATAACAAATGCCCTTATAAGGAAATAGGCTCCAGCTAGCTTATGTTCAAATGGTGATGTCAGCAATTGATTTGTCCATTCTTAGTATAGGGTCTATGTACAGGACAAGCAAGACTCAATGCTAAAACAATTATTGACTAGGCTTAACTGGTCTCTAAAGAGCTATAGGCCACCATAACTACTCTAGTTTTTTAATGTCAGGTGTTAAAGGATTGATGTAGAAGTGGCTTTTAACCTTTTTTCTTTCTTCTTTAACAGGGAAATCCAGACTGCAATGCAAATGAGCCAGTCGTGGGAAGAAAGCCTGAGTTTGGTAAAGCACTTCTCTAATCCCATAATAAGCTTCAGTGCACCTGCATGTTTGGCCTCAGAATGTGGACGTCCTCTTGTGTGTGGGAGTCGACACAAAACAACATGCTACATTAAAACAAACAGGAGTCATCAGGGCCGCTAGTCCTCAAGCTCGGGCTGCGTCGGTAGTATATCACTCCTACATGTGTTTTTGAGCGAAAGCCAACAAGCTAATTTACACTTGCAATTAGGAACGAGTGCTACTGAGATGGAGGGGAAAAAAATAATAAACTGGCCTGTTCTGTTTGGAAAAAATGTATAGAACGTGTGCAAATGTCCTCAAATCATAATTTGTTGTTCTTAAACCAAGTGCAATAATAGCTCCAGAGTTTTATTTTATTATTTATTGTTTTAAAAAATAGATCCTGTCTGATTTCTGCGACCTGAGTGCTCTTATTTTCTCCCTTTATTCAGCTGTAATGTGCGCATGAGGGACAAAAAGGTTTCTTAAATACAGATACATTCCAGCCATTCTATACTTACTGTACTTACTGCCACTTATCCATCCAAGTTCTGTGTTTTACAAATGTCAAAATATTTTGTTTTAATTTGGTCTTAACTATTTTTTGTGAGTTGTTATTGTTAGTTTGATATAATCATACATAATACGTATAGCAGCTTTTTTTTGGACGCTCAAATACGCTTTACAGAAGAACAAATACAAAACAAAATAAACAGTTTAGTGAAGGCAGTTTTTTAAAAGGTAATTTGAAGTTCTGAAGTGAGTCAGAGTTCCTGATGTGTCGTGGGAGTGGGTTCCAGAGAGATAAAAACATTTGGCTTCAGACCCAAACTCGACTTATAATACCGTCTGAAATCGGCTGTGAAATAATCCCTCTCTGTCTGTTCTCATCAGAAAATATATAAAATCCATAATTACACCATTGAAAATTATATTATAGTAAATATTTTGGGTAATAGTTGTGGGATTGTGCTGTCTTTGCTGCTGCTTATGACTTTTCACGATCGAGGAATTAAAGAGGAAGGGCAATATTATCATTTATCTCACTGCATCAAAATGTCACGTGACTGATGTGAGTATTTTGTCGGAACATTGCGTGTTGGTATCTCCGCGCCCACTGAGTCAATGTTTGTGTCGGATCGTAATGTGTATTTATAGTGCGCTGCAGCAGATGGAAAGCAGCAGGAGTGACATCAAACTGCAGTGAGAACGGTTTTGAGATTAAATAAACTAAACCCAACATAGATCTGGACAACACTGATGAAGACTAGATCTGGGGACGAAGATATAAGATGAACAGATCCTTTATTTGTCCCACCGTGGGGAAATTTCAGTGTTGAATCACCAGTTGGGAAGCACACAACACAAGATAAATTAACAATAACTATACTAAAATAAATAAAATCTGTAATTTTAGCATAAAATATAAGCAAGTCATTTCTAGCGTTAGCATAAAGAAGCAATATAAAATCTCCAACTTTAGCCTAATGAAGAAGCAAGTACAAAATGCTGTATAGAAATATATAGTTGAAAAAAGCTGCACTGCTATTACCACTCTCTTTTACTGCCACCTTTTTCTTATTGTACATTATATCCTACACAGCCAATATTTTTAACCTTTAGCATGTTCACTTCTGAACATTGATTCTATCCATGCTAAATGTGACATGTCCATTTCTCCAGTGTGAGATCAATAAAGCGTATCTTATCTTGTTTGTATACATCTGAACATGTTAGCATAGCCTTGTGTGGGATAATTCATACTCACATCTTCCCACATTTCTCCCTTTTTCCAGAGCGACAACGATTTGGAGAAGTCGGCCTCGTCCTCCCCCAAAAGGATCGACTTTGTTCCCGTCTCTCCGGCCCCTTCCCCCACGCGAGGCATCGGGAAGAAGGTGCGTTTTGTCTTCTTGACCCGGCTGATTGACTTAAAGCGGCTAATTAAGAAAGCACGCAATTTGATTTAGAAAGAGAAGGAAGAGGAGCAGTCCGCCGAAACGAATCCATGTCGTTAGGAATGTGTGCGCTGGAGATTTAGGGCGTACAATGTATATGTTCTTTTAGAGTTTAAGTCCAGTTAAGGTCCAATTATCACTGGTTAAATCTGGCTCTGGTCCTGGTGCTTTGTGTGACGGTGCTAGAACATAAGAGCAGAATGAGAAGCTTCTTGGATCTTTGTTAATCATTGTCATTGTCCAGGATAAGACAAACTCATCACATAAAAACACTGTAGCGTCCAGTGGAGTGTGCGGTTGAAGCCAAAACTGATGGTTAAAATGACCTTTATTTTGTCCTTTCCATATAGTCATTAAACCAACGTAAAGCTCGAACAGAAATCACCTTACAATTATGTGTATTTACTATCTAGCATTGATTACATTGTTAACCGTTATATTACAATTATTTTACACATTTAGACAAACTTTACGATTGTTACACATATCCAATCAATCCATGCCTCATTCTCTCTACCTCAACTGTAGCTAGACTCTGTTCTTGTTTCTTTTATACCATTGTAGTGCTGTTATCTACTGTATTTAGACCATTGACTATTAGCCCGTAGCTGTTTGTTTGTGACGTCTCTCTGTCTGATTTCCGGCTGAGACAGGAAGTGCCAATATAAAACATTTTAATTCTAATAATACTAATAAACTAATTACTAACTACATTTACAAACACAACATATATAATCACGGCAATAAGCCTCACTTCTCAGAGTAAACGGCAAACATCTGACTTTTCTGAAATTTCTCCACTGTGAGACTAATCTGATCTTTTTCCGCATGGCACCAAATCAAATATCATCAATCACCCTATCACCCAATCATCAAATATAATGGCTGCCTCAAATGCCCTAATTCCAGCTGACACAAACAAAGTACGTGCACTTTTTCCCATCTTGGCCTTTTTAATGATGTGTTTTTGTCCTTTTTTCTCTTTTGAGCAGCAGTGTTTTTCTCCGTCACTACAAATCCTCGTGAGCAGCAACGGTCTGACGCCGAGCCCCGTCCCCAGCCCCACCAGACGATTCAGGTAACACACAGACTAACGCTTAAAGTAGCAACAGGAGTAACACAAATCCATTCGACCCAATGAGTAATAACAGAAGGTTGCTACATGTACAGGAGTCATTGTAATTAACTGCTCATTTGATATTCCAAAGAGCCTGTAGTTTCACATTGTGGTGGAGGGAAGCTGAGAAATATACAAAAATATACTAGGAGAAATTGTAAAAACTCAGACATTTTGAGTTTTGAGATAATTTCTCTTTGATCCTGGGCCAATCCACGTGAAACTCAACTATCACCAAGTTCCACATCCTCTTTGTCTGGACTTGTCAATGATCATTCTTTTATCATAAACGGGTCTAGAGGTGGTGTCAATATTCAAGAGCAGCACTAATCTCGGAAAACATTTGGACTATTTTTTTCTTTTCTTTCTAAGTAGCTGCTTTTATTTAGTTATTTTGGCATCTGCTCTATAACTGAGTATTCTACAATATGAACACAACCCATTGGATAATTATTCTTTTGATTTACTTGTGGCATTTTATTTATACATTTGATTGAAACCAAGCTAAAGAACCAGCTGTAACTATTTTGTTTTTCACATTACCAATTCAATTCTGCAGTAATTCAATACCTCTCTGTATCTTTCATGATTGCGGTTTTTCTTTTAACCATTATATTGTCTATGTACGGATCAAACAAGTAATCAATAACAACTCCGGTAATCATCCTAAGGGTCAGTTCCAGTCCGCAAACAATATAGTTTGTATTGAATGTAATTAATACTAAACTTATTTTTTCCCTCTTTAAAAAATGAACCTTCTCTTCAGTGTTTCTGTGGTGAATGCACATGAACCTGAATTGTTTTTGTTTTCAGTCGAAGAAGCCAAAGTCCAATAAACTGCATCAGACAGAGCATTCTGGGGCCCTTAAAACGCAAAGGTAGGAGTTTGAAACACTATGGATTCAATAATGTTGGATTTATTTTAGCGCTACAGTTATTTGGACTTTCGCTTTTCTGTTAAATGTTTTTTGATGGTTGTGAAATCTGTGTTCAGGGGAAATGGAGACCGAGAGCCAACCCAAGAGACTGTTCCAGGGCACGACCACAATGCTCTCTTCAGACATGTCCGACCTCAGCTCCTGGTAAAAACACAGCTTATGATCCAAACTCTCACTCTGCAAAGATCCTGACCCCCCTGACAACCCACTAATGTAGTCGTGATGGCTGACTGTATAACTGGAAAGAAAGAAAGTGGAGCCATTTTTCAAATTAAAATACAGACTTACTGTTGTTTGAAAAGACTCTACATGAAAAGGAGAGTGACTGTACTGATGCTGAATGGAATGTCCAGAACACTGTGGTGGGTCGGTTAGAACCCAATGATGAGTCAGGGAGTTGAATATGATGATTTATTGAAGCTTGAGCGTATGGATGTGTGTGTGTGTGTGTGTGGTCCTAAAACAGAAACAATAAACATAATATTAGATAATTGGCTACATCTCTTAATACAGTATCTAAATTATATTCACATCCTCACAATAACACACTGAACTTACTATACAATAATTATATATTAGTGGAAAGACTAACAACTCACACTAACATATTACATCCACATCTACAAACATGTAATAGTGCAGCGCCGCGCTCATCGCTCTAAACAGAGGAGCCACGTGATGGCCATGTGATGGGCGCATGCATCAATTAGCAGTAAAAACACTGATAACTATGAAACTACACTTAACTAAACATTTCCATACACAGTACTTACTTTTATAACGCACACCTTTGACTTAAACACACAAACTACTGCAAACTTTAACTTAAACTTATGAAAACACTCAGACACGGCAAAGTAAGATGTGCTCGCTCCACTCCTCTCTCTCGCTCTGTGCATGCAGGGCGCACGCAGGTCTCCGGTGGTCCAAGCTCCGCCCCCTTTAAAGGGCCAGCGTGACAGTCTCTAAGGCAGCCTTTTTAACAGCCGCCCCCGGATTCACCTGTGAATACGAACATCTAAAAGGCTGAAGTGTCAATCGTCCTTTGGTAGAGCAGGGAGACTGACGAGCCTCGCCACTGGCCGGACGTAGGTTCTTCCTTTAACTGTGACTTCTGCGGATCTGATCCTGTCGTCGGGTCCAGGGAAGACTTGTGATACTGTACCTACAGGCCAGAGGGCCCGGGGTAATTGTGGGTCAACAATCATGGCCACTTCCCCCACTTGCAGATTCACTGATTCAGTCCGCCACTTCTGGCGAGCTTGGAGCCCTGGCAAGTAGTGCCTTAGGAAATGCTGCCAGAAATGGTCGGCTAGGATCTGGCTATGCCTCCATCTTCTTCGCCCAAGGGTCTCTGGCCCTTCATAAACAACCTGTGGCAGTGAGGCATCCCGCCGCCCCATGAGAAGGCAGTTGGGGGTGACAGGGTCTGGATCTGCCACTTCGGATGAGGTGTAGCCGAGGGGCTTGGAATTGAGCATCCCCTCAACTTCAATCAAAACGGTGCGTAGTACTTCCTCTGTGACTGATTGAGCTCCCAGGGTGACGCGAAGAGCGGCCTTGAGGGAACGGATCTCACGCTCCTAGCATCCGCCGAAATGCGGTGCTCCAGGGGGGTTGAAGGCAAAGGTGATCTGCTGACAGGCCAACTGATCTTGAAGGTCAGGATGAAGAGACTGGAACGCCTCTCGCAACTCACGGTCTCCTCCGCGAAAGTTAGTTCCCTGGTCACAGAGAATCTCTTTGGGCTTGCCTCGTCTGGCGATGAATCGTCTCAGGGCCATAAGGAAAGCGTCAGTGTCTATACTGGGAATCAAATCGAGATGCACTGCTCTTGTAGTCAAACATTTAAACAGTATCCCCCACCTCTTCTCATTCCGGCGCCCGATCTTGACGGTGTATGGCCCGAAACAATCTACGCCCGTGGAGTAGAAAACAGGCTTGAAAAGGCGAAGTCTGGCTGGAGGGAGGTCAGCCATGCGTGGGGGATGTGGTCGACCTTTCCACTTCTTGCACTCCGCGCAGCCTCTCTGGTGGCGACGCACTGCTTCACGTCCACGTAACACCCAGTACCTCCTTCTGATCTCAGCAAACACCCTCTCTGGCCCTGGGTGCTGGAGCTTTTCGTCATAATCTTGTATGATGAGACGGGTTAGTGGGTGTCGGGGGTCCAGGACGATGGGGTGCACCTCATCTACTGCCAGGTCTGGATTGCGGCGTAGGCGGCCTCCTACTCTGATGAGCCCGGTCGCCTCATCAAACTCTGGAGCGAGCAGAAGAATGCGGCTGGACCTGGATACTGGTTTACCGGCTTCCAACTGCGAAACCTCCTCTGGAAACGACTCTCTCTGGGCTTGGCGTAGAATCTCGAGCTCAGCCGTGGTATAGGAATCAGCTGTCGGAGTGTCACTGGAACCGGCCGCCCCGTGCAGCTGACGCGCAGTGGCCTCCAGGTAGCTGCCCAGCGTCTGGTACTGGAGCGGATCTGGAACAGTAGAAGCTGACATGTTTAAAACAGTGTGTTTCAGCTCACCTTCAGGTTCACTCTGGACTGCGGGCAGGGGTTCAGGCCAGTCACTTGAAGCTTGCTTCAGAAATGGAGGACCTCCTGTCCATCTGTTGCCTCTGCCAATGTCTCTGAGAGTGAGGCCACGGGTGATGTCATCTGCTGGGTTGTCTTTCGAAGGCACATATCTCCAAGTGGCGGCTTCGGTCAGCTCTTGTATTTCGGCCACACGGGTGCCCACGAAGACTTTGTAGCGGCATGAATCTGAGCTCATCCAGGTTAGGACAGTGGCTGAGTCAGACCATAGAGTGCAGCTGCGGATGGAGAGGGTTAACTCTGCTGATGACTTTGCAGAGTTGAGCACCAGTAAGGGCAGCGCACAGCTCCAGGCGGGGTATGGACTGCTGCTTCTTGGGGGCAACACGTGAGCGCGCTGCCAGGAAAGCAATCTCCACTTCTCCATTGGTATTCTGGGTCCTCAAGTATGCCACAGCTCCATATGCTTGTTCTGAGGCGTCGCAAAATACATGAATGTCTCTGATACTTGTGGGCTGGTCCATGCAGCGGGTGGTGTAACACCTGGGCAGGGTGATCTTGGGTAGGTGTGCTAGCTCTTCTTCCCACGCATGCCATTTCTCCAGGAGCTCTTTGGGAAGCTGCGGATCATCCCAATCCCTCTTCTTCTCCCACAGGTGCCGAACAATGACTCTGGCCCGAGTGGTGAAGGGCACTATGTAGCCAAGAGGATCATACTGGCTGGCTAACACTCTGTATATGTTCCTCATGGTAGCCACTGGGCAGTCAATGACTCTGTGTTTGTAGGTGAGCGTGTCAGACTCACAGTTCCAATGCAGGCCTAGTGCGGGCTCTGGGACATCGAGCTGACCTTGACTGAGCCACAGATCACAACTGGATGATCTTAGGTCTGGCGGGAGGTGACGAACAACGCTTGGATCATTACTAGCCCACTGTCTGAGCTCGAATCCGCCGCTGGTTAGGAGATGGCGTAGCTTGTTTACAAGAGCCTTGGCAGCGTTTGGTGAGGCGAGACTCTGCATGCAATTGTCCACATAAAAGGACTTGTTGATAGCAACATGAACATCGTCGTGTGGCTGGCTGTGATCAAAGACGTGTTTCTGCAGAGCAAATGTTGCACAGCACGGACTGCACGTAGTTCCAAACGGCAGTACCTGCCACTCATAAACCTCAGGCGGACTGTCTCGCTTCATGTCCCTCCATATAAAGCGCAGCAGTGGTCGGTCTTCAGGGAGGAGCCTAACCTGGTGGAACATACCACGGATATCACTGCTGAAGGCAATGGCGTGCTCTCTGAAGCGTAGCAGTACAGCTAACAAAGCTGGGCCAAGAGTGGGACCTGGTAATAGGAGCTGGTTTAGGTTGTGACCTTGGTGCTGGAATGAGCAGTTATACACCACACGATTCTTCCCATTATGTTGGACCATATGGTGGGGTATATACCAAGTTTCTGGGCTGCTCTCCACTTGACTGGGTGTTAGCTTCACCACATACCCGGCCTCTACCAGCTTCTCAATCTCTCTCTGATAGGCAACAGCTTGTTCTGGGGCTCGAGCTAAGCGCTTCTCTGTACCTCTCAGGAGTGGCAGAACAGCTTCTGGAGTGGTTTTGAGGGAGGGCATGTCTTTTACTCGGAGGAGGGGTGTGGCATATCGCTCTGTGCCATTAATGTTGACTCTCACTGTCTGCTCTTGTAGGAGTTTGACTGCCTCTTGGTCTTGTCTTGATCTCACGACCAGCTTCTCACTGCGGTACGGAAGGACGTCCATCTGCCACAGCTTCTCCACACATGCAAACAGCTCAGAAGGTGAGGGGACAGATGTAAAGAGGCAGTTACTCACGTTAGGCCCGGACTGGACATCCCGAGCTGGCCCCTGCAGTGTCCATCCAAGGAGAGTCTTCACTGCAGCTGGACCACCACGGGGTCCCCATCGAACAGGCTCTATCGGTGTGATAAGGTGCGTGTAGTCTGCACCAATCAGCAGCATGGGATGGGCTCTGTTCAGCGTGGGGAGGGGCAAACCTGATAGATGTTTGTACTTTTGCTGGAGCACAGCGACTGGATGGGAGTGCTCTGCTAAACTCAGCGGCTCTGCTGTAAATGCGTTGTGGATTTCGTACACCTTCTCTGGGTTGCCAGCTGGAGAAATAGAGAAGGACACTGATGCTCCGTGAAGCCTCTCCACCTCTTGTTTGACGGTGCGGAGGGCTAACACTTCTTTACTGCCTTTGAGGCCCAACTGTTTAGCTGCCGAATGGAGGAGAATGGTTCGCTCAGAGCCGTCGTCCAATACAGCGTATGTTTCCAAGCACTGGTCTCCATTTCTCAGAACCACCTTACTTATTTTCAGCAGCACTTTACAGTTGTATACTGGGCGATCAACGTACATAACTTTATTGGTGGTGTTTACAAGACAGCTCTCTGTGGGGGGTGTAGCGGGTACCCGTTCCTCCTCTGACCTCTCATTGACCTCATGCAGCACTAACAGGTGTCTCCGATTGCATGTTTTACATGGGGCTTTGAGTGTGCACTTTGCAGCCTGGTGATTACGACCACAGCGCCAGCACTTATTGTTAACTTTGATCCATGCCACCTTTTGCTCTTTGCTCAGGCCTTTAAAGTTGGCACAATTATTCAAAAAGTGCTTGTCATGGTCGCAGTAGGGACAATAAGCTCTCATCTTATCTGCACTCTTTGGTTGGTTGGCTGTGTGGTCTGGTGCAGGGGTTAAGGCTGACTGTGGTGCTGGGGCTTTCTCTGTGCTCAGAAGGACTGATGCAGACTTAGTGGAGGATTTATGAGGGCGCTTGGTCTCTGCTTTCTTATTGGACCAATCCTCTCTCTTCGTGGGCTTAATGCAGTCTTCCTGTACCTCCAACTCATATTCGAGCCAATCCGCGAAATCAACTAGGGTGGGAATGGCAACTCTGAGTGGGTGAATGAACCTCTTGAAGTTAGCATTAAGGTCATGCGGGAGTTTACTCAGTAAGCGTGACACATGTGAGCCACATATTAGCTCTATCTGGCCTCTCTGCCCCAGCTGCTGTAACATGCCAACTAAAGACCGCACAGTGAGCGCAAAGAGACGGAAGCTACTCACATCCCCACTGCGGATATTGGGAGCATCCATGAGCTCTGCGATGCGCTGCACAGCCAGTTTGTGGGGCTGTCCATACATTTTGGTTAGAGCCTGCATGGTGTCTGTGTATGGCTGCATAGAGTTACAGTACGAATCGGCCACGAGTGAGGCTTCCTCACACTTAAGGTGGTCTGTGAGGATCTGGTATTTGTACCGCTCTGTGGCGTCTTCCGGTAGGAGGTTCTCTAGTGCCACTTTCATCCTGGAGAACTCTCTGGGGTTTGGTGCAGTGAGGCATGGGATTGTGGGCTTTGGTCCCCTATATGTGCGCTCTCTCTGTGGGTTATGCGCATAGGCATTCTGAGTGTATGAGGGGTAACTGCCTGTATATGGAGTGCCGTTCTGTGCATCACTTACTTGGTTGTAAGAGTGAGCTTGAGATCTCTGCCCATACAGGTCTGCACGGGGAACACTTTGCTGGGGAGTGGCTGCATAGTATGGGGGGTTAGGCAGAGCTCCAGGCACTTGGGAGACGTCCAATCTGGAGAAAACTTGTGCTATGTTATCCCGGGGGCTGGAATAATATAGTGGTTGGCAGGCTGGAGCATTAACTTGGGGTTGGAGCTGAGAGCGTTGTACATAGTTACCACAATCTGCACTGCGAGGTAACTGGGAAAGAGGCTGGTGGACTGCGGACTGGGCTTGGAATGCAGTCATCAGGCTCTGGAACTGGGTACGGAGCTCAGCATTGTCCCGACGCATCTCTATGAGGGCAGCACTTAACTCTGGGATGCAGGTGGTCTCCTGTCCTCCTGTGGCTCGAGCTGGAGAACTGGAGAGCTCTGGCTCCTGTACTTCATCAATACCTTCAAAGTTCTGACTGATAGGAGATATGGATCTTGGCATATGCTCTCTCTGTGGAAGACCCGTGGCTCTGGATGCTGACTTGAACTGGCTCTGGGCCCCTGGTCCACTGAGATCATACTCTGCCAGGTGAGCGGGCACTGAAGTCCGTCTTACAGGTCGGAGGTTACTTGCTTCTGACTCAGGGTTTTGCATCTTCACAGCAATCTGGAATCCGGCTCGAAGGACCAATTGAAAAGGAGAGTGACTGTACTGATGCTGAATGGAATGTCCAGAACACTGTGGTGGGTCGGTTAGAACCCAATGATGAGTCAGGGAGTTGAATATGATGATTTATTGAAGCTTGAGCGTATGGATGTGTGTGTGTGTGTGTGTGTGTGGTCCTAAAACAGAAACAATAAACATAATATTAGATAATTGGCTACATCTCTTAATACAGTATCTAAATTATATTCACATCTTCACAATAACACACTGAACTTACTATACAATAATTATATATTAGTGGAAAGACTAACAACTCACACTAACATATTACATCCACATCTACAAACATGTAATAGTGCAGCGCCGCGCTCATCGCTCTAAACAGAGGAGCCACGTGATGGCCATGTGATGGGCGCATGCATCAATTAGCAGTAAAAACACTGATAACTATGAAACTACACTTAACTAAACATTTCCATACACAGTGCTTACTTTTATAACGCACACCTTTGACTTAAACACACAAACTACTGCAAACTTTAACTTAAACTTATGAAAACACTCAGACACGGCAAAGTAAGATGTGCTCGCTCCACTCCTCTCTCTCGCTCTGTGCATGCAGGGCGCACGCAGGTCTCCGGTGGTCCAAGCTCCGCCCCCTTTAAAGGGCCAGCGTGACAGTCTCTAAGGCAGCCTTTTTAACACTACACTTTAAAGCTGGAGCATCAAACTTTGAAGCCACAAAAATGAACAATCTTATAAAAGCATGTCTCTAGTTCCTCACTTAAAACTGTTTGGTTCTCTCACTAGTTTACACTTATTTGCATTTTTGAATCAGAACTCTTGTATTGCTATTGTAAGTAACAGGACTAACTAGGAATGTGCTTTGGCTCATGACGTAAATAAGTTATAAAGGTAAAAATTCTATTAAGATGAAAACGAGCAGGTTGTGGTCTGATTTGTTCACAACTTGTTACTTAGACAGGTTTTCTTTTGGGACAATCAGTATTTATGAGGCCAAAAAGTTAGGTTCTCCAGCTGTAAATTTGTGGAATCATTTGGATATGAATGAGAGAATTTTGTTGAGACAATTGAGTTACACGCAAATGGCAATAAATTCCAAAAGTTAATGTAATGTGCACTGTTGTTTTTTTTTAGTTTGTTAGAGCGTTACAGTTTATGGTTAGAACATATATACGATAATAGATCCTTTATTCGTCCCACAGTGGGGAAATTTCAGTGTTGCAGCGCACATACAGGACAGTAGTAAGAGCACACAGGGAGCACACAAAATAGACAAAATAAGTGAGTCGCCGCTATGCTTCTAGCTAGCTGTAAACGCTTCCATACCAGTCTTTCAAAATCTATCTGTGGATCTATCTGTGGATCTATCTGTGGATCTATCTGTGGATCTATCTGTGGATCTATCTGTGGATCTATCTGTGGATCTATCTGTGGATCTATCTGTGGATCTATCTGTGGATCTATCTGTGGATCTATCTGTGGATCTATCTGTGGATCTATCTGTGGATCTATCTGTGGATCTATCTGTGGATCTATCTGTGGATCTATCTGTGGATCTATCTGTGGATCTATCTGTGGATCTATCTGTGGATCTATCTGTGGATCTATCTGTGGATCTATCTGTGGATCTATCTGTGGATCTATCTGTGGATCTATCTGTGGATCTATCTGTGGATCTATCTGTGGATCTATCTGTGGATCTATCTGTGGATCTATCTGTGGATCTATCTGTGGATCTATCTGTGGATCTATCTGTGGATCTATCTGTGGATCTATCTGTGGATCTATCTGTGGATCTATCTGTGGATCTATCTGTGGATCTATCTGTGGATCTATCTGTGGATCTATCTGTGGATCTATCTGTGGATCTATCTGTGGATCTACTGGATCTATCTGTGGATCTATCTGTGGATCTATCTGTGGATCTATCTGTGGATCTATCTGTGGATCTATCTGTGGATCTATCTGTGGATCTATCTGTGGATCTATCTGTGGATCTATCTGTGGATCTATCTGTGGATCTAGTTTATCATCCGTCTAACATGTTTCTCCTCCGTCTGTCTCAGCCACTCCCTGGACCTTCTGGACGGCAGCCTGAGCAGCATGAGCTCGTCCACCGACTCACCGGGAAAAATGGAAGGCGTCTCCCCCTCCTCCTCCAGCAACTCCCCCTTCGCCTCGCACCAGGACCTGTCCCCCAAATGACCCCCCCACTGTCACCGAAGCCCACAAAAGACTCGCTTCAAGTAGATTTAGGGCCATCACTCTGGCTTTTTTTTGAGGAGTCTAGAAATGCCTTTGCGGATCGTTGTTCAAATGTTGCTTGGACAAAACACTGTGTGCACCAGCTGCTATTCTGAAATACTCTTTTCTTGACGGTGCTAGTTTGGATATTTCAAACTAAAATGGGGGAAAAAATGAGAGAGGGGAAAATGCAAGCACTGGACAATTTGAAAAATGGATTATTGTACATTGTTGCTGTTTTTTTCTTTTGCAATTTGTAAGAAAAGATTTAACTTATTGTTTCGTCGCCATGTTTGTAATTATGTACATAGATATATAAAGTTAGTTTTATGTTTTGTGTGGTGAAAGTGGGCCCCGGTCTGCTGCTACTATGCTACTATTACTGCTTCTACTACTATGGATGTGTCCCTAGTGTTTTACTGTGTTCGAGAAATGGCTGTAAACTGTGGTTCAACTTGCTTTTAACTCGCTGCAGATGTAACGTCGCTGAAAAGTTACAGTAAGCAGTGAGGCAAAAGTTCAATATTAAGCTAGAAAAGTGCTGAAAAAATCAAAAAGTCCTTAGTAAATTGGCATTTTCCATTTTGATTGTGTCGTCTGAGCGTTTTTATATACCTGCATTTTCATAAACCTGAGTTTTTGTATACCGTCCTGCCGTATCGCTCTGTGCTCTGCCACTTTTATGTGACGTCAGTGGAAATGGAACTACCAAGTTTAAGTTTCCAGAAGTAAAATTCTCTATTCAAAGTAGTTCTTATAAAAGACTGAAATCTTAACCAGGGCTGATCCATTGATGATTAATATGATATAAAAAATCTACATTTAACATTTTTCAAACATTAAAAATGACAAATTTAAGCAAAAGGTTATGTTTGAACTGTGTTTTCTTTCAGCTAAAACACCGCACTGTGGTTAGTAGTTATCAGGTAGCAAGTTAGCCTTTGTGTCTTCAAACTATTATTATCTATTTAACTTCTGGCAGCTCCATGTGGCCACATCAATGTCCCCGATGTTACCTCAACGCAAATGTACTTTCTCAACGCTGCTGAATCATCCTTGTATCCCAAATTCAGTTAAATTCGGTCAGCCATCACCAAATAACACCTTATTAGAAGAGGGTCCTTTATTCATCCCCCAATGGAGAAATTTCAGTTTGATGCATGCATATACACATCAAGGTAAGCAGCAAACATGACTTCCACGCTCCTTAAAGGCAAAGTGGGTTAAGTGTCTTGCCCAAGGACACAACGACAGCAAACATCAGTGGGAGTCGTTGGAGAAGGTCTCGTGGTGGGCTCTTAACCACGACCTACAGGCTCAAAGGCCAATGCTTTACCAACTGAGCCACTGTACAGTTAGTGATTGATCAACGCTTATTAGTTCAGTATTCTACTACTAACTAATAGCTGTTAATTAGTGAGGGCTATAATCTTAAGTGTTACCCAACTAATAAACTGGACATTTTGTGGCAGTGGTCAGGAGCCATTGGGAGCAGTGACTTCTGGTGTAGAAGAATGACTTACTTATCCGTACATGAATCGCTAACTTGTGAGTGTGGTATTGTCTCCTTTAAACACATCTGGAAGCCCCTGTTTAAGGTGGTACTGTAAACCAATTAGATTTAATTTAACTTCAAGATTCGAAGCGCCTGTAGGGATTTCCGTGTGATTGATTTAAGCTTTTTATGCCTGACAAAGCATTGTTTACTTTACAAAGATAAGTAAATAATAGGATTTCGATTAAGCTCCGGAAAAGGTAATGTTTGGCTTCATATGTTTTCTTTGGATTTCACATTTTGCTTGTTCTTCTTATCACAGTATTCATGCCTAAAACCACACACGATCTGGAAATGGAAACATCTTGAACTTGACTCACTGCACTAACATTTGGTGTTGTAGCCTTTCTCGCCTCATTCACAACCAATAACAATTCAACTCATTCTTGTATAGCCCTAAATCACAACAGTAGTTATCGGAGTAGTAAAAATCTCAGAGGACTTTACACAACCTTGGAAAAACCCAACAAGTGGGAAAAAGAGAATTCAGATGGCACACATCAAAACAGGATCTATTATCTAAGAATATAGATAATACAGTTAAAATAATGATATGATAATAAAAAAATAAAACTCTGGAGCTATAATTGCACTTGGTTCAGAGGTATTTACAGATGTGTGTAATGTACTTTAGCAGCAGAGAATTTGACCAGAATAATCAATAACAGAAAACACATTGGGTTTGGTCCATAAGGGGCAGATGACCGATATCCATAAGTGTTGTTAAATGTCTACATGTTTTATGTTGAGTGTCCTTTAACATCATGTACAGACAAGAGACTGTTTTGAGGTTTGAGTTGTGGCCATTGGAGAGGATGAATCTCATGAGATGAAGAAAGGCAAGGCAAGTTTATTTGTATAGCCCAATTCATACACAAGGCAACTCAAAGTGCTGAACAAAACAAGAAAGCATAAATAATCACAGAACATTAAAAAGAAAGATAAAAATATAAAATCCCTCAGTTGTATGCACAGCTAAACAGAACTGTCTTTAACCTTGTTTTAAATATTGTCAGAGAGGAGGCCTGTCTCACATCTTCAGGAAGATTGTTCCAGATTTTAGCAGCATGAATCTGAAAAGCAGCCTCCCCATGTTTAGTCCTGACTCTGGGCACTAACAGGAGTCCAGTCCCTGTGCTCCTCAGAGTCCGGGCTGGTTCATATGGGACTAACATGTCACTAATATATTTTGGTGCGAGGCCATGGAGAGACTTGTACACAAGCAAAGCTGTTTTAAAGTCTATTCTCTGAGCCACAGGAAGCCAGTGCAGAGACCTGAGGACTGGACTAATATGGTCGTACTTCCTGGTTCTAGTCAGGACTCGAGCTGCTGCATTTTGAATGTACTGCAGCTGTTTTACAGCCTGTTTGGACAGACCTGTGAGCAGGCCATTGCAGTAGTCTAACCTACTGGAGACAAATGCATGGATAAGAATCTCCAGGTCTGCTTTAGACACTGTTTTTGATCCTGGCAAAGGTCAGGGCCATATGATCTGAGACACAGTTTCCAATCTCCACAAAGTACTTCCTGTCTTCAAGGTAAGACCTAAACCAACTTAGGGCGGTGCCAGCGACTCCAACCCAGTCCTCTAGTCTCTGTAAGAGGATCTCATGGTCGACAGTGTCAAAGGCAGCACTTAGATCTAACAGGATTAGGATTGAGACTTTGCCTGCGTCAGTGTTCAGCCGGATATCGTTTGTAACCTTGACGAGAGCAGTCTCAGTGCTGTGGTGAGGTCTAAAGCCGGACTGAAACATATCAAATGAGTTGTTGATTACTTAGAAATAGAGTATACTGTATTTTTTCAGAAATGAATAAATGAAGATAGAAGTCAATACAGCTCAAACTATTCCTGAGTAACAGACCATCTTTGTAGGAGAACTTAGGGCTACGGAACCCAACTTTCAAACGACCCAAGAAAATAGACCTATAATAAAATCTTGCCCCTTCCTTGATCTCAAAACAGTAGCTTCCATCACTGGTTTTCACAGCAATTTCTGGTCCTCCTTAAATCAGACAGAAAAGGGGAAAAGATCTCAGACCACCCTCAATCAACCAATCGTCTCAGTCCAAAGTGTCAAAAAGTGACTCTATAATGATCTTTCTTAAAAGTATGAAAAGGTTTACATGTGGTCTAATATGTGTACAACATTATTCATTGCGTTTTCTGTTGTAGTTATAAAAAAATAGTGGGCGGCACGGTGGCTGAGTGGATAGCACTCTCGCCTCTCAGCAAGAAGGTCCTGGGTTCGAATCCCGGTCGGACCAGGGCCTTTCTGAGTGGAGTTTGCATGTTCTCCCCGTGTCTGCGTAGGTTTCCTCCGGGTACTCCGGTTTCCCCTACCACTAAAAAATATGTCCAATAGTTCTAGCATGCGCCTCCTGTACCGGCGACCCCGCTCCCATCTCTGTGTGGAGTGAAAGATAAATGCCCATAATTAACAATTGTAAACCGCTTTGAGACTCAGATCTGTAGTGAAAAGGCGGTATAAATAAATCGGTATAAATAAATAAATAAAGTTATAGGTGCCCGAGCTTCACTCAGACCTGAAGCGGTGGACTGAACTAAACGAGGAGCAGTGTCTACAATCCACCACCGAACGTATTCCTAAAAGTAGAGAAAAGCATGTGCTGTGAAAGTGAAAGAAGTGAAACGTTTGGCAAACTTTGAGACTTTATTGAACATTTGATGAAAGGTGATATGGCATACAGACACTTGTCTCGAGAGAAAGACTTTGGTGAAACGTTGATAAGAAACAGATAAGACACAAACTCATTCAGATTCACACATGCAAACTCTGCACTTAGTCAAAAATAACAAATAAAAATCATGTACAGCAAAGCCCAAATGTAGACCAGGCCCTGGACCAGAGACTAGTCCAAAAGCTAAACCAAGAGATAGACGACAGCTGAGTCCAGACATCAGCCACGCCATTACGAACATATAACAGCAGCTCTGTTTCAAAATGATGAAAAATATACTTTTAAAATACATCTGTAGAAATATTGTGTGATAATTATCGTTGGTGAGGCTGGCACAGAACGGCAGCCACATCTCTGTCAGTCGGCCTCACGGCAGCAGTGGTCACAACAGTCACTTATTCCCACATTCTTAGTTTGATTGTAAAAACCACAGAACCCTATTTCCCATATTTACTGCACATACGGACGTAAGAAGATTAATAACATATCAACGAGTCCATATTTAGGTTGTTTTATGTATTTTTGTGTGTAATTGTAATGTGTAATGCATAGTAACTTGTAATTGACCATCTATGCTCAAAACGCAGCCTGGAGTGGGTCTCTTACGCCCTCTCCTGGACACTGCAGGTTATAACACATATAAAATCAGTCTCGTGTAGCTCTAAAAGTGGACGTTAAAAACAAAAAACAGTTAATAAAACAGTTTTGGGCTTGGTTGTACACACACACTTTGCATTGAAACGCCACTGCTCCTCACTTTTACATGATGGCAAAAGAAATACACTCTCCTCTTCACGGCAGCCTCCGTCCAGACCCGGGGCCAGTTCCGTCAGCACCAGAGCACTACACTGGAGAATACATCGTCACATCATCACGGCGTCGTTTTATATCGAGACACGAGTTTGTTTCGAACATTTAATGCATTTTTTTCCACAGTGGGTTTTGCCTCTGGTGCCGAGTCAGGGCTTTCATCGCAGCCTTGTCATGTGCGAAGGATCACCATCGTGAGAAGACCTGGCAAAAGAAATGGAAAATAAGCATTAGCTACAGCCTACTTTAGCTTCTGTCTGTCGGATGTAAGGTTAGCGCTCTGAAAATGTGTAAATGTGAAAGTGACCAAAATAAAACTTCATACAAATGTTTTACAGTCATCTTCTGTGGAGGTGGAATCATTTTAAGACCTTGTATAGTATAAACAATAAACATTTAGACCAACTTACGACGAAAGAAGGATTTTTACAGGACCACAATAAAACCAGGGACTGAATGATGCTTTCGTTAGCGCCGCAGTGAGGAAATTAGAGTTTTTTTTAAATATCTGGAATCTCGATCGGGTTTAATCCGTCAGTTTTGAAGTCTCACAGATGGGATTTAAAATGTTTTATAGATTTTATTTGAATCAATGGAAGTTACGTCTTTGAAACTCATTTTGTTAAACTTTAGCTCCACCAATACACACATGTTGTACCTAATTTTGAAGCTCTCGGCCTGATTACTTCAGCTGTTGTTTTATAATCCTTGTATCTATAATTAATAATTGTAAAAATATAACTGTAACCTCTGGACTACTGGAAACTAGCTGCATACAGACAATACTGAAACTTTTAGAGTAATGTGGATTGATGTGTACTGTCCTTCAAATAAACAAATAACCGAAAATTAAAAAGTCTGTATCAACACAGGTTCACAATGTCAACCAACCAACTTCAGCTCTGATAATATCAATATGATGTCTATCTTTTTCAAATGAATATTCAGTGGCCAAGGCAGGACACAAAGGCAGACAGATATACATTATTTTGCCTAAATATGGTCATAACTTTTGTCTGTGTGTGTTGTCGGTTGTCGGTGTGTGTCTTGAACTCACCGAGGACGTAAGCTGCTACTAGTTTCTTGTTAACACTTAAGTGGAGGTAGAGAGGCACAGAAGACTCGTTTTCGCCCAGAGTCGGCAGCATGAGGGCGGCCATACAGACCAGGCCCAGCAGCACGGTCAGCAGACTGGGACCTCCGGCTGAAGGACGGGGCTCTGAGGAAAACCACAACACCAACAAAATATATCGTTTTAGTCAATGGCATATCTCCAGGCAACTAAACTAAACTAAATCTAGATAAAAAACCATAGACCAGATTCCAAATGAAAAACCCATTCAGAGGAATGAAAAACCCATTCTGAAGAAAATATTATGTTTTAATTTTAACTCCATCCATCCATCCATTTTCTACCCTTTAGTCCATTTCTGGGTCAGGGGGGTGTCAATCAGAGATGCCACCCAAGTCTCATAGCACCAGCCCCTCACTGACCCTCTGCAGGTGGTGAGTCCTGCTCACCACCACACCTGCCTTCCCCTTTTTTGGTTTTCTTTGTGTTATCTCCCTAGACTTTTGTTTCTGTTAATAAATTATATTAACTTTTAGTTGCCTGTTGTCCTTTATGTTGCACCTGTAGAGCCAGGGTGTAACATATTGGGGGCTCGTCTCTTGGTTGAACCTTGTAAGTTTTTGTTCATCCATCTCAGTTGATTCAGTTTGGGGTAAATTTGTGTGGAAGGGCTGCTTTAGTTGTGCCAGATTAGGCTCTCCTTTTTGTTGCTGAGTGGTTAGTTGGTCTCCCTGGTTAGACTAAGGAGGGATTCTTCAATCTAAGTTTTTTTTATTTTCGAGGAAATCCTGGGTGGGGAATCCGTCCCTGTCAGGGGTAAGCAAGTCAGGGCCAAGCCTGGTCACTGATGTTCTGCTTTTAAAGCCACCTCTAGCCCGGCACTCCTCAGAAGATACTCAGACTTTAGTTCTTCTTTGGTAGGTACCAGGGAGCCATTTTGTGTGTGGTGCACTCAGCTTTGTTGCGTGGAGAGCATTGTGTTAAGTTAGGTGAGTTATGGTGAGCTTAGTTTGTGTCCTTGATCCTAACTTGTGTGCAGCTTTTGTTTTGTCAAGTTTAGTGTGTTTCTTGACGTTTTGTAGGTTTGATGGAGTCTAGCAGTTTGGTACTGACTGAGTGGATCCATTTGTTGCTACTTTTGTGGCTTAGTTGTGTGAACCTACTTGTGTGATGAGAGAGCATTCGTGTCAGCTGCTTTTGTGTTTTTTGGGACACTTCGTTGTGCATTTAATGCACATTGAGATTTTTTTGTTTTTTTGCCCAGTGATTTTGAGACCGTAACTATGGCTTCTGTGTCAGATTTTGTTCAGTCACCCTCGGTGCAGCTATTTGAAAAAATCACAGAAGAACAATGTTGAATTTAGCTGCATTTTATGATCTTGACACCACTGGTTGGAACCAATATTTGAAGGAACATGTTAGGGACAAGGTGAGAGCTGTTTTAGTTGAGAGAGGCCTGCTTCAACCCTCTGCAGACCGGCCGGCCTCCCCTGTTCCTGACCGAGTGACTGTTCCTGATCTGGATCCTGCTCCTTCATCTGCTCTGGTCTCTTCAGACATTGAGTTTTTTCCAGTTTATCTGTGGTTGCTGTGGCCTGTTTCTGACCAATCCACTCATCATCCTGGGTCCAAGATGTGGTGTCTCTCTGGACCGCTGCGTTATTGGAGGATTGGAGCCTTCAGTTTGCATGTTGATTTGAGATCAACTTGCTTATGGATGGGGGTGTTATGTGGAGCTGCCATGCAGACCTGTTCCAGTTCCAGGATCCACTTCCAGGATTTCCAGCCTGCATCAGGTTCCCTGCTGGGAGTCTATAAGACCACACCCTGACTCCACCCATCGCTCTCTCTCTGTCCTGGCAGCAGCAGCCCTGCTCACCACCCACACCTGCCTTCCCCTTTTTTGGTTTTCTTTGTGTTATCTCCCTAGACTTTTGTTTCTGTTAATAAATTATATTAACTTTTAGTTGCCTGTTGTCCTTTATGTTGCACCTGTAGAGCCAGGGTGTAACAGTCAGGGGGGTGGCAATCAGAGATGCCACCCAAGTCTCATAGCACCAGCCCCTCACTGACCCTCTGCAGGTGGTGAGTCCACAGGAGGACGGCTGCTCTCTGAGTGTGAGCACAGCCTTGATCTTTCAGTGGGGGCTTTGGGCAAAGTGGGGTTAAGTGTCTTGCCCAAGGACACAACGACAGCAGTCATCAGTGGGAGTCGATGGAGAAGGTGCAGAGGTGGGAATTGAACCCACGACCTTCAGGCCTGAAGGCCAATGCTCTACCAACTGAGCTACTGTCGCCCTGTTTTAACTAATTTTAACTATTATAGCAAATTACAAAAGTAACTATATTAAACAAATGCATATTAAAACATCGATATTTGATTTGTATATTTTCATGCTATCACTGTAACTAAATATGTGTAGATTTGAATGATTTCTCAATTTTTGTGTTGACATCTTGATGGGAGGGCCTCAACATTTTGAGGCCCTCCCTGGCGTACCTCTGAGGACCCCACAGTGGGCCCCGCACCCTACGTTGAGAAGCACTGCCATTGACAGTAGAAGAAGGTGCAGATCGTAGAGGAGTGCAAGTTTCTGGGTTTAACTCTGTCTAACGACCTGAAATGGGTTAAAAACACTGACCGGGTCGTTAAGAAAGCTCGTCAGCGTCTCTACTTTCTGCGTAAACTTAGAGAATTTACCACTAACTCTAAGATTCTGCTTAACTTTTATTGCTGCACCATTGAGAGTTTACTTGTTGGTTCTGTGTCTGTGTGGTTTGGAAACATCACAGATAAAGAAAAAAGAGCTTTAAACAAGGTGCTCCGCTCTGCAAAGAGGACCGTGGGCTGTGAGCTTCCTGTTCTGGAGGTTCTTTATAAATCCAGACTTTTAAACAAAGCTCTTAGGATTGTTAATGACTCTTCTGGCCACCCTGGAAAAGCCATGTTCCAGCTTCTTCCCTCTGGCAGAAGATATCGCTCTCTGAGATGCAGGACATCTCGTTACGCTAACAGTTTTTTTCCACAGGCTGTTATCAGTGTGAACAGAGCACTTTAATGATTTGCACTTGTTTTGAAACTGTTTTAGTCGATCGATTTCACAGTGACATTTGTTTACTGTTTTATTTGTTTTATTTTTGTCTTTTAATGTTGTTTTATGTCTGTATTTGTCTGTGCACACTGGAGACTTTAATGTATTCCAATGTGTTTTTTTTTACTGCATATGGCAAATAAACTGAATCTGAATCTGAAGTGGACAGAGTAATAAGTAGGAACCGGTTTGGCAGCATCCGAGTTCATAAAATACACCTCCTCCCATCGGCTTTATGCTGTTCTTAGTGGGATAACATTCTAGCTAAGTGGTATTAAATGGTTTTAAAAAGGTCTGGGAATTCACATGATCCAACCTGGAGTGTTATGACTTAGAAAACGTAAACAAGAAGTATTTTGTATACATTTGGATGCATGCTCTGGCTAAGTTTGGGCAAAAATGCTTCATTTGCTGATGTAACACAATTGAACAATGCGTGCACTAGTCAGGTTTGAAATAGACAGATCTTAGAAGATATTTTCCACAAGTGAACCAGACTTGGTCCTGTTAAAGTGAACCAGTCCAACAAATGTGAACCGCTGTGGTCTTGTATCTAATCAAGAAGTGAAGGGTTCTTTCCTATTTGTCTGAACATCCCTCTTATGGCCACCTTTACCTATACGACAACAAAAAACCCACATGTGATTGATCGCATCTTTCTCTTTAGACCACAATGCTGGATTTTGGGAACACGTTTATCTTCTCTTGATGATTAACTTCCTTTTGGAGATTCGCCGGTCGTCCATAGACTCACAGATCGTGGGGGAGGTCGCACTGCTGCACATGCTTGGAAGGATCTTTTGTCACAGAATGAGGCTAAAGGCAAATGGATAATTGACAGCAGGCATTGTTGAGGCCTACTGACGTAAATTAGCAGCCATCTTGTAGCTGCTTGGTTTGGACAAAGCTGCAAAGATGGCATGTGCTTGCAAAACTTACAGGCAATATATACAGTAAATAACCTTTTAACATGGATTTACTGACAACCTTCAAGACCTACATAGTTCATTTTTAAGAACAACCATGCTACATTTCAGACAAAGCCTCAAACGTCTCGAAACCAAGGCTCATTGATTTCATGAATCAGTTAATGGCATTCCAATCGACCAGAATTTGCATTAGTGAAAATTCCAGACTATAAGCTGATATTTTTTTGTGTTCACTTTATTTGTGTAAACATCTCCATATGATAAATAGTTTTTGGGTTCTTTGTAAAGACAAGAAAGTGAAAAGAGACCAGTAGATGTTGCTTCTTAGTTTTCTGCGTCAAAGAAGATTCTGGAAGATTCAGAACAGTTTGTGACTCACTTCTTACTCTGATTACTCTAAATACTAGTTCTTCTGATGCCGTAAAAACACTGATAAAACTTCAGAATGTGTCCTGTTGATCTGATTTTTCTGATCTTTTGACAGGCCCAGTTCTACTCAATAAGACAATTAAACTGTTACTTAGGGCCTCAAAGCCATCAGTGGGTGTCCAAGTGCAGCTAAAATCAATATTATACAATTTTGGCTTTATACTTTACGTATTTGTCTATTTGAACGGGACAGTGTTATGTTATGCGTTTCATCTGCAGTCCCAGGGCAGGTTGATGTCACAGCCAACAACAAAAATACACTTATCAAAGGCCGCATACACACATAAAAAGCAGGTTAGTAAAAGCAGCAGGATAAAATTTATACAACTGTCAGACATTAAAATCCACCAAAGCATTTCACAATTTATCTTTGATGTTGGCAGATATTTCAGCTGCGTATTCATATTCAGTAGCAAGGCAAAGGCCCCTGACATTAATTATTACATACAGCTTCAAAAAAGGCTTGGCTTTTAACAACCCCATTGTATATTTGTTTTGTTTCTAGTGATTTAGTTAAAAGTCTGTGGGTCTGAGAGTTTTGGAAGCTTTTTAAAAATCTAGAAGGTTTGGAGCAAATTAGAAGTGTATGATTTATTAATAGTAGTGTTTTAACAACACTAAAATAACCCAATACCAATTTGGAATAACCATTTTTGACACATAGAAATGAATATGTTTCATGGTACAAGAAAGTTTAATTCTATCCAGCAAAAAGTGACAAAATGTAACAAAATATTTATAATTTGTGCACTTTTTGATGGCCTTTAAACAAGATTGGTCAACGGGACAAGCAACATTTTCTTGGTTTAAAAATATACAAGAAATGTCTCCCTCGGGTTGTGAGAAAAAAGCTTCAAAACAGTCCGAATGTACTCAAATTAAAATAAAAAAACACTGGACTGTGGCTTGGTGTTTTTGGCCAGTGCCTCTCACCTGCATGATAGGTCTGCTCATAAAACTCGGAGTCGGCTGAATGCTCTTTCCTGCGCTCCTCGTCGGGGGGTCTGGGAGTGGGCGGGTCGTGTGCGGAGGAAGGCCGTAGAGTCGCGGTCACCTCCTTCCGACCGAGCGCTTTCCTCTGGCTCTGCTCCGACACCTGCAGCCGGAACTTATCGTAGACCCCGAAGTGACAGGAGCGGACATCTCTGTGGCGGATCACTCTGCACGAGAACAGAGAGGGGAGTTTAGGGAGACCGAGAGGGAACGGAAAGACAAAACAAAAGTAGCAGAGAATATGAAGTGAGACCGACACACCCAGTTTGACAATAACAGAATCCAAAATACTGCAAATGTCAACCTCAAAAATAACTAATGGTTTTGAGAAAATATACGGCGTTTTATCCGGCTCTCATTTACTGCTAAAACCGCTAAAAGCAATAGTACAGACGTGAATTAAATCCTTTTCTCCTTGATTCAAGTATATTATGATTGCTTAAAAACAAGATTTGACAATGGGACAAACATTTTCCGTCACTCCTGGTAAGAATTTGCTTGCTTTGCTTGTCCCATTGGGGAATCTTGTGTTAAGACTGACAAAATGTGCTAAAATCTAGATACATTTAACCAAATTCAAGCCATTTTTTAAACTATTGTGCAGTGCAGTCGTTACTTTTGGCTGGGTAATGTTTGTTTTTACCTGGTTAGAACTATGGCGTGTGGTTGTGGCACTCTAGTCCAGGAGAAATAAGTGTTGTGCACATAGGGATTGAGCCTCATTGGTACCAGACTCTGTACAAACTGTATACATATAGACAGCTCTAACTCAATGAATTTCAAGAGGGAAGTGCTCATGGAGATAGTTTTGCACCTTATCATGTCTCATAAATTGAAACATAAACATCTGTAGCCCTGTAACCGTTTGTGTCACACTCACCATGGTCATTCAAATCTGTGTTTTAGCGCTCTCTAAAACCCTGGTGTTTGGTATTTGGATAATGTCTTTATAAATTTAGAAATGAATCCTAACAACTGACCAATCAGGTACCTTCTGTCCCCTGACTTTGACTATATAGCTAGCAAATAGCGCTTTGAAATAATTTGGCACCATATAGTTACTGCAAGCGTGTTCCAGTTAGCTCTTATCTGCTTCTTCCGCTACAAGGCAAACACTACCAGTGACGTCAGCACTGAGTTAGTCCAATAATTTACAGTCTAATATTTACAGTTTATGGGCAGTCCACTCCTTTTATGGTCTATGGTAAAAACAGACAGCCGGTCTGGATCTCATAGTTCACACTAGGGCCCTGGAAAAAGACTGTGGCTCCTGTTTTGGGCCTTCACTTTCAGTTGTTGAAGCCACTTTTCTGTTTTGACTCCAGCTGGTCCTGACAATTGCACAAAAGGCTTAAAAAGTGTGTTGCCTCTCAGCTGTTTCTCAAGTAGACGCTTTGAAAAACAATGGCGTTTGGACCAAGCCACTGTAGCAGTTGTTAGGTACCAATTAGGGCCAGGGCGGCATTTGTAAAAGTAACATAAGTAGTATATTATTTTACTCTTTACGCTGTATTTAAAAGTAAGAACCAATTTCAGTATTTACATGATAAAGGGGCAGCTCCAGGTTTAATACCAAGTCAATTTCAATACCTTTCCCCGACCATGTTCATTTAATGTAGAGAAAATTACTTAACAATGAAGAAATGAGACAATTTTTACAACGTTGGCTTGGGTAGTGGTGCTATAAGATCCAGAAATAGCAAATACATGTATCATTTTGAATGGATTTTGAAATATAAAACCCCTTATCTGAAATGTACTGCTTTTAAGGCTTTGGTTTTGGCTTTATCAAAGAACAACGCAGATGTCCAGAATAGAGCTAAGGTAAGAAAGATGACTCACATGTCGACACAACATTGTGGTTTGACGGCTCCAGTTGCGTCCACCACATTGTATTTGTTTGGAGCTGTGCATAAAACTGGAAAAACAAAGCAAGAAAAACACATCACCAACACATTTACTGAGACCTCTGCAGTTAAATTCATTTCCCGTATTCCACTTTGTCCTTATGGAGCAAACGCTGAAGCCCCGCTCACCAGACGCGCATTCTCTAGTTTTCATACGCAGAGGACTTCACACCAGAACCTGATCCGGTCTGAACGCGGCATGGAGGGCTACCAAGAGTATCAAAAGTCAGATATTAATTACTAAAGTTAAAAATGGGATAGAAACGAAACACGATACTCATTTGTAAAGTATCTTTGAGTGTCCAAAAAAGCTCTATATCTGCATGATGTATGAAGTTATTAAATACTACAGATGATGGGTGAGAAACCTTCCTTTGCTTTGACTAATCCCTGTGAGACTAAGAGTTTACACAAAATTATAATCACAATCATAATCGGAATATTTGTCCTATATTATGCCATAGACATTACTGCGTTAGTCCAAATATATCTATGCATGGAGTTATAGATGTTAGTGTATGAAGATATGAAAGGCCTGGGTGAAGCTGAGTGCGGTGGTACTTTGGAGACAGCAGCTTCCTGTCTGTCACGTGTCCTCTTTATGTTGTAGATTCTATTCACACCTCGTTCACTTTGAAGATAAGCAGCTGGAAACCACCGGTGACTGTACATGTGGCCTATTCACAACTTGGGCCTCGGTAACTCTTCTGCTCTGAAATAGTCCTGGGATAGGCATGGGGTTTTATATTGTAGTATGTCTAAAATCTACTTATATCTGGCTTACTTCCATGTGCTGGCCACGGATCACATTTTTGATCATTTTCCCCTGCTTGACCAGCCCTGGATCATTTGGACCATTTTAGACCCTACTTTACGGTATTTGTCATCTACTTTTAATCATCTGTAGCGGGTTATTACGACCTGAGGATACCAGGAAGGGTTAATGCTCACACCACAAAAACTATACAATAAAGTTCATATCGCTCAAAACAGAAAAGTGAAAAGAAATGACCACTCTTTCTTAGAGTTAGCTAATCTGATTAGCTAATCAGATCCCAGCCCCAAGAATATTGACTCTTCTTTCTTATATAGAATATATAAAACATTAGTAGACAGTCTATTGTTGTCTGATTTGTTTGTCTTAAAAACGTACTGTGATTTGTGAAAATGCTATGTCACTGCCTTTATTGTTATAGACTGAAAGTGAATTTACAATCTGAATTTGTATGGACCTGAAACCATGACAACAAAAGCATTTAAACACAATGGTCAATACTAAAGCTGTGGTATCCAACCTCACCCCTGAGATTTACATTTACAAAACAATAGGACTGAGATCTACTGCTGAGCTATAAAATGTAAGTCTATTTGGGAGCTTAAGATACCATGTTTACAAATATACTAATAGCAAAACATTAGAATTACTCAGCCTGATACTATAACATTTCTTTCTACCGGAAGGGGCAAACATCTGCTAATAACCACAGCACATGGAGGCAATGTGAGATTTTTAAATTCAAATCTAATCCATGTTTCAAATAATGAAAATGTATGTATATAGTCCCTGTTTTTCTATATACACCGCCACACAAATTCTGCTTGTTCTAGTTGTTTGTACTGTACAGAGTCTAAAACGCAATATGATAAAGTTGTAGAAACCTTTAAATTTGAGGGCAAACTCATAGGGGTTGTAGAGGGTGAGCACTTGTTTGTGGGAGCTCTGGTCATCTGCGTAAAAGACGAGTTCTGTGGGGAAAACGAATACGGGAAGGCTGCCCTCCACGAGATCAGGCTGACGATGCTGCTGCTGCATTGGCCCCGCACTGCTCTGCCGTCCTGCCGCAGCTGCCCCACTCTGCTCGCCGTCACTCTGTCTGGATCACTGTCCTCTAGGACGGACACGGCTCATCCAGCTCTCAGCTTCTGTAGACCATCACGATCCTGAGGGTAAACATTATAAGTATTAGAGAATAAAGGGTTACAATGAGTGAGTAAGTAAGTTAAGCAGTGAAGTGTAGTATGGGATTTTGTATTGATTAGCCACACCAGAAAACTATAGACTCAATTCTTTAAATTCTATTCATTAATATTTGTAATGATAATGAAGGCGACAGTAGCTCAGTTGGTAGAGCATTGGCCTTTGGGCCTAGAGGTCGTGAGTTCGATTCCCACCATGGGACCTACTCCAACGGTTCCCACTGATGACTGCTGTCGTGAGGGGTTGAAAATGAGATGAGATGAAGGAGACCTCAGGTAGAATAGCTCCTGCAATAAGTCAGGAGCTAATGGGGCTCTCAATAAAATGAAATGGAATTCAAGGCCAGTGATGGTCAGTCCACCAACCCCTTTGCAAAAACCAAAAATAAATGTCTTTATAAACTAGTCTTCAGTTCATAGTTCTGTCAGGTCTATTGTGTGCTGTACTTGTCTTCAGTGTGTACTTAGTGTGCACTTGTTAGTAGTAATTTTAAGAAATGTAATGTAACTGCTATGTCACACTCAGCAAACGTAGCTTGAAAGTCTGACCCAAGAATCAGATTCACATTATTCAGAGAAATGGAAAACGTGCAATTCTTTCAAATGGATAATGTTGCTAAAGTGGTGTGACGGGACACCAAAGTTCAACATATACGGACGATCTGAAGGAGCCATCCATTTTGACTTGATGTAGTTTATATTTTCTGATGCAAGATTTTTAGGAGCGCCCCAGTCTGGGAAAACCCCTGCTGATGAGTATTAAATGTCCACGATATAAACACATTGATAAACAGATCCCATGCTCTAAATCACACAACATGCCACATATTAAACAGACTTCAGAACAGATTAGCTTATAGAACGTGGTTGAGGCCATGTGGAGATCACGTGGTCACCATTGTTTACATACGTTGAGCAGAAGCAGCAGGCGATTTCGTAACACCTTTACACTGTTTCCCCCTATTTACGAGTAAAGCAAACGGGCATTTACGACCAGGGTTAATAATCACACTTAAAAAGACATCAAAAACATTTAATTTAATTTTACATAAATGTATTAAGTAAATAGATAATACTTCGTAATATGGTTAGCTGCCTCGTTCACTTTTTCCCCAACGCACTCAAATGAACAAAGAAAGGAAATCATTTGTGGTAAATATTTAATGATAATTGCCAAGGCGCTATTACCATGGTACTACAAGCTTAGCTATACATAAATTACTTTCGTCCATATCGTCTAAAACGCAATTCCCTTTTAAGCCAAAGTTCGAATCAGTGTGTCATTTTCTGAGAGACTGGGCTTCACAGTGATTCGTAAAGATGGTTTTGGCCTAGTTTCGTCCAAGCACACACAGTGATAGCCAGGCTGATACAGTATTACAACAACAAAACATAACACATCATGCTAGCTGGCATTAGCAGGCGTAGAAATTGTGATACATTCTACGTAACGCCGGTAGCCAGACGTGGCATCTTAAATTACGCACAGAATACTCCGTTATTAAAAGCATACATAATGTGTACCTTATGCCCGGGGCTGGGACAGGTCCAGAGATGCAGAGATCAACAGTGTTTTGCTTCTGCTCCCTCCCTGTTGTTGTTTTTGTCGCTGTTCTTTTGTCGTTTCTGCAGGAGCCCTCTCGCGGTGCATTGTGGCCCGGAGGGGAGAGGGGGGGTTGCCAAGTCCGCTGCTTTATAGCGACTTTGAGCTTCTATTTTTAGAAACTTTTTTTGCAGAGATTATAAAACAGAAAGGAAAGAAATCAAAATGGAGATCAGGGATGAGTGAGCAGAGGCGCCACGAGTATAATTAAGTACTCAACTAATGCACACAAATATTTAGGTAGTTGTTTTGATAAAAGGTGTGTGTTTTTGGTGTGGGAAAAGTAAAAGTAGTTTTGAAGTGTTTCATACAGCAGTAGAATAAATGCTGTTATGTAACTGAATTTAGCTTGAACTGGCAATAACTTCTGGGTAACTTCTAATCTGTAATAATTTACATAGAAGCATAGCTAACCACTTCCAATCTGTATTAATGAACATAGAAGCATAGCTAACCACTTCCAATCTGTATTAATGAACATGGAAGCATGGCTAACCACTTCCATTTTGTAATAATAAACTTAGAAGCATGGCTAACCACTTTATCCCCTATAACAATGAAGTTGAAGGCATAGCTAACCACTTCCAAACTGTTATAATAAACTTAGAAGCATGACTAACCGTTTCACTCTAGTGTTTTGTTTAAAAGCAATAATACATAATAATACATTATATTTAGGAATCTTACATTTCAAAGATACCTCAAAGTGCATTGAACTTAAAAGGACTTCAACCATGTAACATTGAATGTAGAAGCATAGCTAACCACTTCACTCCAGTGTTTTGTTTAAAAGCAACTACCCCATTTTAGCAAGTAAGGAATAGAGAGGTCAGACATGTCTTTAGAAGAGTAACAATATATAGCCTTGACCAAACAAAACATAATTTCTATAAAAAAAGGATTAATTGGTATTATTTCCTAGTTTATTCAAAGAAAATTAAAAGTTTAAAAGTGTAAAAAATAAATTGTGTGTCTCTTTTTATAATACCGGTGACTGATTCATGTTCTAGTGCTTTCTCGAGTTATTCGACTGTAATACAATAGTAATGACCGACCAGCAAAAGGTTTGATTATTACACATAATAAGAATGGGGAAATGTCAGTGTTGCATCACAAGTTACAGAAGTGTAGGAATGAGGAGCACACAAACATTAGATAAGTGATTATAGCGTGTAGTAAAGCAAACAAATAAAACTAAATCTCCAGCTGTTGCTTAATAAAGAAACACATTAAATAAAAGTATGAGCATATATTGTATTTAAAACTACATTTAATTCTAGTTCAGAAAATATATAGCGTCATTTTTGTTTTTTTGTGGGGCCAGGTTATAATATATGTTTATGTTTTTTTCTTTGTTTTCAGAGGCTTGGTCCCTTTTTGTTTTCTCAAACCTGGCAACCCTGCGTCGGGCCTTTACGTCAATCCCCACGCTACTACTGAACAGTAAAATGTGTCCAAATGTTTTTTTACTGCATTATTATGGCCATGAATCGCGTACATCTAGTATTTCATAGTAAGATACTATTGAACGACTGTAATTCAACTTGTAATATCTGCTTTTAACCAGCTATGAGTCTTTACAACTACTTAGCACAGCACTTTCTCACGACTGTCTGTGGCTTTAGCCTAGTGCTGCATAGATAAATGACAAATGTCCTCCTACTGCATAGATATATGTCATAGTACCTACTTCTGCAGATGTAATTACCTACTACTACTGCATAGGCATATTACAGATTTCTTACTACTGCATAGATGTAAGGCAGAAATCTATACTGTGGACTCGACACTGTAAACACCTATGTCTTTGTGTATGGGAAGTCTATGCTAAAATGTTCCAGCAGCTTTTGTCCTATGCTACACGAGGTCATGGGAGATGGGGCAGCCTGGAAACACACTCAATAATTGTTTCATAAATCTCACCAGCCACGGGATCGTATTACACAGTCATGATGCCAAAGCTTTGTAAAGACATTTTATGCATCGTTGTTGTTTTTCATATAAATACTCCAGAAAGACATGCGTTTGTGAGGACAATGCAGGCCTAGTAGTAGATGCATAATAACACGAATCCATTTGATGTTTTGGTGAAGATTTATTTGTTATTCATGAAGCAAAGGTATACATAACAGCATGAGAGCTTACAGTAGGGCTCTATAGTGAAAACGAACACGTCCAAGTAAATCAGTAGCAAAAACGCATTATAAACGATAGAAAGCGCAACGCAAGAGCAAAAATAAGAAAATTACTTGTTTTGAAGGACATACTTGTGGAGAGAACTGACACAGAGGGTGCTGCACCTTGTGGATCTCCTCCACACAATGGTTTTAACCGCGGCTTACACGTCTTTTTATATAACGGGGGTTCTTTAGGCAGCCAATCCGGGCAGTGCTGGGCCAAACGAGGCGGTGCTTTCCGTGAGGAGCAGCACAAGAGTTGAACACAGAGATCCCGAAGCAAGCTCAGTCAGAGAGGGGCAGACAAGACAGCGACAGGGTGCATGATCCAGGGCGGCCCTTTGCTGCTGCTGGGGGGGCTTCTTATCATAAATACACATGTGGAAACTGTATAGCCGCATCATAGGTCATGTCTAGATAACAGATATTTTAGAAAAGCAGCATACAAGCTCGGCTCTGCTATTACCAAAATGCCTATTTTACTTTTCCTGTTAGACACGTCCGCCTCTATGAATCAGCGCACTTATTTGGGTACGACGTATCTGGACATTGCTAAAGGCGCGGTTGAGGTCTTTATGAAGGTAAAGAACGATTTTTTCCCGGATATTTTTTTTTTTGTAAATTCCAGCAAGAATACACCTCTTGGAAGATTAGGGTTCCTTGGGTCGAGATTAATATGTATTTTTGGTTTTCTTTTTTGACAGCTGCGCGCTCGAGACCCGGCTAGTAGAGGCGACAGGTACATGCTAGTTACATTCGATGATCCGCCGTATGGAGTCAAGGTAACCTAGCAACTCATTCATGTTTTCTTTGGACAGTCCGTAGCTGTTTTTCAACTTGTTAGACTTTATTATCCGTGTCTCCAGTGGACAAACGGCCTCCCGGTGGTGGAAAAATAGGGTATTTCTCGCCCGAGCAGCGCAGCCTCCGTGCACACAGCGGACATTTTGCTTTTGTGTGGAGGCAAACTGTCGGGCGTTGAGATGGAGGCGGGGAAACGCGTCAACATACACGTTTTTTCCATCAGCTCGCATTTCCATTGGCTAGGCCTTACGTCAATCACTTCTCACCCCGCCCTCTTCGGCATCCCCGTGTTGTCATTGGTCAAAACACGCTGAATGTTACTTATCCTCTTTTTTTTTATCGTGGGATTTTTTTATTTTTTCATTTTGACATAAGTTTGCTTGAAAAAAAAGTGATGTTATTTATATGGTAATCATCAGCCATAGCGATACCATTGAGCTTTATAGGGCAGGATATTAAAGATACCCCTGCATCTTTGGCTCAATGAATATAAAAATGCCATTCACTGCAAATCACCGCCCTAACCACTAATCTATTAACTTGTTTTACGACTGTGCTGGCACAGGTCTCAATCCTTCTACTTCCCAAGCACAATAAAACACAGTCCCAAAGAGCCCACATGATCCTCCCTCATGTCCCTGTTTCTAGGGGAGCAGGTTGTAATGAAAACACTGCTTGTTGTGGCAGAGATTATAAGACACTACATGTTTCAGACTGTTGCATTTCACACATATTACCCTGCTTACGAGAACACAATCATTAACTACTGTATGAATGCACTTTTATCGGGTCTGCATTGTAACCGTCGTTTAGTGTCGACTACCAAGATGCAATCATGCATGGATTATTTTATGAAAAAACAATAATATGGGGGCGTTCTGTATTTTCTCAAGAGTCTGCCCTCTATCGGTTAGATCCTATCAGTGCATCTGTAGCTATAAAAAAAGCACTAATCCAGTTCTAGTCCTGTGCTTGACACATCCCAGATCCTACAACTTGAAATGTCCAGTTCTTAAATTATACAGACCCTTTTGTCTGGTGATTCATTGTTAGCAACATGAAATGTAACTTTATACAAAGGAAGTTGCAAGCTGATTTGCATAGATGTTTGAAAGCCACTTCTGGTGTGAGAATATGAAACCGTGTGTCAGCAATAGTAATTGTATTGTCTTATAAAGTAAGGCAAGCTAGAGTGGCCTCTCTTGTGTTAAGTGGAAATGGTCTGATTCATGGATTTTGTTGAGTCAGAAATGGACTGCAGCAGCACAGAGCCTCCATAGTGTCTAATCTGCCAGTAGTTTCAAGTACATCTCTAAAAGAGACAGTACATAGTTGAGGGAATAGTTCAAAACGGATTTGTTAACATAGTGTGCGTACTTAACATTTATTACAGCAGATTTTTTGTCAGAATCAGAATCATTTTTATTGCCACGTAAGTAACAGGAGGTCACAGACTTGGAAATTGCTTTGGCTCAGTGCAACAGTCAGAAAGAGATAATAAAAATAAGAATAAAAAACACTTCTAAAGAATAAATTTAAATTTAAAATAGAGTTACAGTTACTATTTACAATATACAAGTGCACATGGTGCACATGGTGCATAGTTTTTGTTCATATATATCATTGTATACTCTCCACAAATATGTGAATAAGGCTATATCATTAGAACAATTATTTTAATTAAATTTAGCATTTATATTTGACTATTATTGGATTTTTTTCCAGTCCGCATTTTTAACACCAGATAAAACAAGCACTGACATGGACTGGAAAACAAACTTAGTTCACACTTGTTGGTCTGGTTCACTGTAAATGTGGATGCTGAACCACCAAACAAACTGTCACGAGTCACTTGAGTCACTATGATGAAACAGAACTAGACTTAGACTTTATTGATCCACAAGGGAAAGTAGTTTGCCATCCCTTTCCAAGTAGCTCCCCAAAGGATTGAGAATTGACAAATATGCTGAATGATTTTACGTTATATGACAATCGGTTGAGGTTGGAGACCCCTGCTCTAGTGAAATCACTTGTCTTCAATGTTGGAAGGTTTAATGCCATACAGTGGAACATCCAGCCCAAAAGTATCAACATTTAGATGGACCAAAGTAAAAAGCAGAGCAATTCAGCTTGTTTACTTGGTGATGTTCAAAAGCTACAAAATGACTCATGTGGTCTTCACTGAAAAAACCAATAACATTATCAAGTCTAATGTGTACAATATATCTGTGGCTACGCTTTGCTCATTGAAATGGCCTTTGCATTTCTGAGATGACTCACATTTTCTCAGCTGATGTTTGTCATTCTGAGCCAGTGAGGTCAACTTCTAACCGTCATTCACATACCAACAAGACAGAAACGTTCAAAGACTTTTCTAGTTCTTCTAAATCTCTGGGCCTTTAATATTGTGTGTTTATCTTCAAGGCAATAGTCCGACAATATAGACACTGCTGCCTATTTTGTTTAGTACTTTTAATCAGCTCTCTTTGCTGCTTTATGATTCATTTTTATTGGATTTACTTGGTAATTTGATTTAGCGTCTATTCATAGCAATAATCTCATATTATTGCTTTATTCCCAAATTGTCTACTGCACCCTTTCCGTGCTTTTTCCATTAACCTTGTAATATTGAACCCAGCTATTTCCAAACATGGCCTGTCACAATCCCGGCGTTTTGAAATAGCGTCCATATTAGAATAATCATTTTGATGTGTCTGTTGTGGCTTTGTGTGGATTACGGCGAGAGACAAAAGTGAGCGGAGCAGCTCTGATTGCTGTTTCAGTGTAATAAATTGTTGATGCAGTGGAAGAGAGAGACAGAAGGTGGGAAAAGGTGAGGGGGGGGGAGACGGAGCGGTAGAGAGAGGATGGAGGAGAAAGGATAATGTGTGTGAAGAAAAATGGGATGAAAGACGATAGGCCTGTCATACTTTATCTACACCACGTTCAATAGGTGATAGTTTTATGTTTTTAGGGTTCAGTACATTTCCATTGCAGTAATGGAGAGATGTTTGTTATATTCATTTTTTAAAAAATATATAGAAGATAGATAGAAAGATGGGTAGATAGGTAGATAGGTGGATCAAGATGAGAAGTCAAAACGAAACAGTAGGGCTGAAAGGAGTCATTGAATCAAATTACTTTAGATTAAGAGAACCTTTTTTCGGAAATGTCAGATAGGAATGAGGAACAAACAAGTACAAATACAAGAATATTAAGTACAGCACAACTGTAAGTCATAGGAAGTTAACTCTGAGTTAGAACTGAGGTATGAATCTATAGGTCATTAGCTCTGTGGGTTAACTATGATACTACTGTACATGTTAGCAGCATGAGGGTGATACTACTGTACATGTTAGCAGCATGAGGGTGATACTACTGTACATGTTAGCAGCATGAGGGTGATACTACTGTACATGTTAGCAGCATGAGGGTGATACTACTGTACATGTTAGCAGCATGAGGGTGATACTGCTGTACATGTTAGCAGCATGAGGGTGATACTACTGTACATGTTAGCAGCATGAGGGTGATACTACTGTACATGTTAGCAGCATGAGGGTGATACTACTGTACATGTTAGCAGCATGAGGGTGATACTGCTGTACATGTTAGCAGCACGAGGGTGTGGGCTCAAAGTGACAGTGGACCCATATTACAGAGAAGCTCAGATTACATTTCTTTTGACTTTTTTTCTTAAACTGTTGTTCACAAATGACACAGAACTAATTGTAGCACTTGTTTTACATAAAAAGGTTTCTGCCTCGTCCTAACTCTGCTCTGAAGACAATCTTTCTGAGTTTGAAAGTGTGGAGAGCAAAGTACCTGAGGACTTACTAAGTGTTAGGACTCTCACTTCTCAGCATATAGGCTCAGGGTTTAATTCCACATCTGGACAGTGACCCTTTCAGTGGAGTTTGCATGTTCTCCCCATGTCTGTGGAGGTTTTCTCTGGGCCCCCCTTTTTCCTCTACCAGTAAAAAACTCGTAATAGTCTCTCAGGGGCCAGGAGAACCCTTTCTTGTTTGCATAATTAGTTGTTTTTGCATGAATCGTCAGTCTTGTAACTATAACATCATCCGTAATAGTTTTGAGAGCTTTTATCACTTCCTTTTTTAACCAACTCGATGATTAACAGCTAGGACTTCTCTTAAATCAGCCAAGAATATATTTTCTTACAGCCTTAAGTTTAACTCATCGTTCAAATATTGTTGTTTTTCTAGCTCTGTATCAACATGACATGCTTTAAAATTGTCAAACATCATAGAAGGAAGAGAAATGCAGGGCTGGAGATAAAGACAGGTAGAAAGAAGGGAGAGAAGGAGCCTGGTAGGAGAGAAGAGGTGGGCGCATATTTGTGTTGGACGAAATAGAAAAATGGTGTTGTGTGAATTATTGAGCGTATGTTGTATCTTTTATGCTTTGACTTTGAAGGCTTTGCTTTAGTTCCACTTCTGCATGTCCTTTATATCACTTTCTGTTACAGCTTTTTGCAACATCTCGCAATATACGGCCGTAAAGCCAACGGTCGCTCTTCTTTTGGGTCAAATCCACAATGCAATAATCATATACAATACTAAAAACACCTCAGAACAGGATTTTTACTGCCAAATATCTTTATTATTTCTTACATGTGTATTCACTGGATATTGAGCAGTAATAGAAACAGAACAGCTGCGCGGGGCATTACAAATACACATGACATTTCTGAATGTTGAGTTCATGGTCTGGAGTAACCAAAAGGACCAGGAAATGCTGTGGAATCCATGCACAGCTTTCAAAAGAGAAATGAGAATGAGGATATACAAGAATAGTTTGTTATACCGACATGTTATTGAGTCTGTATTACAATTGATGGAGAAATTCCCCCTTTTCAAACCAATATTATCACCTAAATTTCAACTTCCAGTATTATTGACTTAATTCTTGCTTCTTCTTTTTGCTAAAGTTGGAGATTTTCTACGTGCTTCCTTACGCTAAAGCTAGTGATTTCATACATGCTTCTTTATCATGCTAAAGTTTAGAGATTTGTTGTTATTATAGTAAAGTTATTGTTCATTTATCTTGTGTTATGTGCTCCTCATTCCTACTGTTCTGTATCAGGTGATGCAACACTGAAATTTCCCCACTGCGGGACGAATCAAGGATCTCTTTATCTTGATCTTAATTTCAAACAAGAAGGATTGTGTGGTTTAAAACTTAATAATACATTTTGTTTGCTCCGAGAGAAAGTGTGAAGCTTTATCGCCCTTTGATTCTATGGGCTTGGGGTGAGGGTGGTTCTCTCTTTTTCACTTTTCGGTCTGAAAAAGCTGATCTAATGATGCGACTCAGGCCAAAAATAAATGCATGTGAAAAACTAGTGATAGGAGCAAACTGTTTTGAGAGCGAGGAAGTAGTTAGACAGACTTTTATGGCATATTTTCCATTTGCTGTGGCTTTAAAGTTAGGTACCACATCTATAATTTACAAGGGAACTGGACGAGTAAAGCGACAGTATTCATGAAGTAAAGATGAGATCCTTAGAGTAGTATTTTGTATTTGCATCTGTGTGTATGTGTGTGTGTGTGCGTGTGTGTGTGTGTGTGGTTGCTGTGTCGGACCACAATGGCACGTCAGACGGTGGAATGTGTTTTGTGTTATTATTCTCCACTCGCCTGCAGTCGGATATTGCTTTTGTGAATCTGACTTGTATCTAATTATAAAATGGCCTTGAGATGTTTTGTTTTCCTCGCTCTTTTCTTGATCTCAGAATTTGTCGGATTATTGTCTCAGGCTCAGATTATGAGGATGATGATGATTTTGGGAAACCATAAAAACATGCTACTGTATTTATCAAACATATTGTGCCAGAAGATAACACTCAAACAAGACAGTGTTTTTTAGACTAAAAAGGAAAAGGACAAAATGTAAACAATAAAAAATTGTAGTTTCAGTCTTGCTCTGTTGGGGGGGAGGGACAGTGATGATGGAGGAGGTCTGTGAGGAGGAGGACCTTGTATTGGATGCGGTATGGAACAGGAAGCCAGTGGAAAAAAACATACTTTTTAAAATAGAGTTTTTATTAACCAAAGAATGTATTCAATGGGATTTTAAAAAATGTATTAGACATAACATAGTGACTAAAAATTATTGTCAACTTTTTCCTTTATTATAACAAAAGTTGACAATTTTGACCCATTGAACTAACTGCCATAGAGTGAATATCAAATACCTTTCAAACTGTGAAGAGAGAGAATCTATAAATGCACTTAAATATTCTCTCTCTAGATCCGGCCATGATCAACCCTCTGCTTCCTTCATATTAGCCCTCTCCCCATTGGTTTTACTATTCCTACAGACAATTAGACTGGTTGGCCTTCTACTTATTAACAAAATCATGTAGTATAGTACAGGGTCAGGGAGTAAAACACATGCATCATTTAGAATAAAAAATAAAAAATAAACTTACTGCCATGTTATTGACATCACTGACTGTGAAAGGCACTATAAAGATTTCTTACTTCCTGATAAGTATTATTGATGTTTTGATATACCAGACTTTCTCTGAGCCCAAACAATGTAATACACAGCTCATTAAACAAATAACAAACACTGTGAATAATCAATACATTTACAAATAATTCATACATTTCCATCTGACCTCCCCGTGAAAAAGTTGAATATATTTCTCCCACTCACACCGAGGGATTGTCACTGCACAGGGTTAAAGTCAAAGCCTATGATTTATTTGTAGTTGAAGTCAAACATAAACATCTCGTTCTGTCACTGACCCCTCCCTCCCCCTGAACCTAAGCTCCAGGTCAGATTAACCACTGCTGCTTCTGTAACACATCCGACCTCCACAAAGTCCCATCCTCCTCCAGGACGTCCCTGGACCAGCACTGAAGCATGTCTACAATGCTTGGGATGTTGATCAGTGTGCCGTGAAAATGATCCAATATCACCTGCTTAGCCAAAATCATGTGGAACGAAAATAATGTGAGAGGATCAGAAAGACTTTTTTGTGCTTCTTGGATTTTCTACATAACACACATCGATGAAAATGACTTTGCTTTGTTAATGAATGCTGTAGGTTGGGGAACACTGATTTACTTAGTTAATATGGCTGGATGAATGGTGATTAAATACTAATTGTGACCTGATTTTGGGGACAATGTAGATTTTTAAGAATGTTTTTTATTGTAGTCACAGTTGGTGGTGTGGGGATATTCATAAATGTTCTGTTTTCTTTAGCTCTATGCTCAAACTCAGCCTAGTATAAGACCTCCTGAGTAATTTTATACAGAATATAAATAATACATATACATAGACACATACAGAAATAAATAGACAAAATGCTTATGATTTACCTCTCACAATATGTATTTCTTTGTTTTTGCATATGAATGGACGGTGTGTGTTCGTCAACAGCAGGTGCCATCTTGTCCCACAGTCGCACTCCCAAACACACATTCAAGACTTTCACATACAGGTGGCGCTACATTGTGCAACGTGAGGGTCCGTGGTGATAGAAGGATGGCTCTCAATGTAGTAAAACAGTAGAATGAAGCAGGATTCTTTCAAACAGCAGTCTCTTTATGGTATAATGATATAATTTTCTCTCTATATTTTCTCTCCTCACGTCACGGCCAATCACAATGCATCATCACACCGGTCCTTGCTAAGATATACCTCATTAAAATAACATAACTCTTATAATTGTCTTAAACACATTCATCATTTCATCTTTCATCTATTTTGTTTTGATAAGGCTAGGCAAGTTTCAGATTCAGATTCAGACTACTTTATTTATCCCACAAGGGGCAATTTGTTTGAGCAGCACAGGGCATAAAAAAACCACATGTCAGACAGTTAGCGTTACGATATGTGGAGCCCCATAAAAACATACAAACATGATACAACAACACAAGCTAAATTCATACACAAGTGCTTTTAAAACTTTGACACTTATTTTTGTTATTATTATTTCAAGATACGTATATATACTTTTTATTAGGGCCGCACAATATTGGAAATTGGAGTGTTTAGTATTGCCATAATGATGTTATTGCGACATGTTTTTCTTTCACCAAAAATTGCAATCTGCATTGAAACGCAAGAAACAAAAAAACAAAAACATTAATGACATTCAAATGCATATATTTAAATACTTGTTTGTTGTCTTTAATAATTAAAAAAAACAAACATATTTTTTGTTATGTCGCGCATATTTTTCATAAGGATATAGCACGCACCAATATCGCGATAAGGCCTACTTTTTATACTTGTTATTGATGCCAGAGTTAGAGATTTTGTTTTATTTTAATTAGTGTGCTCCTCTTTCCTACCGTTATTTAACTCGTGATGCAACACTGAAATATCCCAGCTGTGGGACGAGTATAGTATCTCTTAATCTTAATCTTAATAGTACATTAAAAAGAGTAAAGATAGAATTCCTCTGTTGAATGCACAGCTACACAGAACTGCTTTAACCTGGATTTGAACATAGTCAGAGAAGAAGACAGTCTCATATTTTCAGGAAGACTTCCTAGCTGCATGAATCTGAATAAAGTACTTTACATGCATGGGAGAATGTCATGTCATTTTCTTTCCCTTTATTAATCCATTTTTGGGTCCGGGGTTTCTCAAGTCTCAAAGCACCAGCCATTGAGACTGGGAGAATACATTGTGAAACGTGTATGCACACAGTGAGTCTCTCCATTGATCCGACTAATAACTCTGCACCAGTTTTGTACCATCAGGCTTTAGGGATGAAATGAAAACATACAGATTTGTTTAGATGTGTTTGTGTCTGTGGCCTCAGGCGGGGTGGAAGGAGAACCACGCCACGTTCATGTGTGAGCTGAAGAACCTGCAGGCGTCTGGACTCACCACGCTGGGACACGCACTGCGCACCGCCTTCGACCTGCTCAACCTCAACCGCCTCGTGTCCGGCATCGACAACTACGGACAGGTGAAAGCACCGCCTCACAGCAAGAGGGTCCCTAGTCCCAACCTGGTTCTTTAAAGATACCTCATTTTCATAATTAGTTTTATGAGCTAAGTTTTAGTTGAGTTTAAAGCAGGGGACTCGGTAGGGAATCCTCACAAGGTCGAGTCTGGGCTGTATTAAGGGGTATGTTTTTCACGTGTTTGTGTGTGTGCAAAAATGAAGCAAACGCACACGCAGTTATAGAATAAGAACCACTAAAGTCTGTTATTTTGCTTTGCACACGCAGTTTAGCACCAGCATTAATACATATGCACCATATTCTTCAAACATTTCCATCTTCTCATTCTTTAGCAGTTACGGTAGAGAAAGTAAATGCGTGTGCTGGTAGAACAGAGACAAAAACAGATAAACCAGGATTCAAGTTTTATCGCTAATTTTATTTCATCTGTGACTTTTTACAAATAATTACTTTTATTGATTATGAGTTTGGATATATTTTTTGATATACATTTCTATAACAAATTGCGTGCAGCTGCTTGGATTGAAACAAAACGAAACTGGAACAAAGTCAATGAGGCTTTGTTTACTTTGAATTGTTATTTATTGCGTTTAGGGTTCAATGTTTATGATGTAGCACATGACATATTAGCTCAGACTCTCAGAGGGGGCCACGCTTACATGACACTGTCCACTAGGGGGCCACAAAATACCTTTTTGCGGTCTGCATGTTTTAAAGACTTTTTAGGCCAAGTTTATTGCTACCACGGTAAATTTGTGAACGGTCTTAATTTCTTATTCTAATGGTTGCACAGTTTTTCATGATAAGAACTATGGGGTCCTTCTCCCAGTGCATTTAGAGACATCCATCAATGTACTTTGCCGCTGCCCCTAATAATAAAGCAGCCTGTTAAAGCACATGACGGCACAGTGTCTTTGATCACATTTGTTGTTGTGTTCTCAGGGCCGTAACCCGTTCTTCCTGGAGCCGTCCATCATCATCACAATCACAGATGGAAACAAGCTGACCCACAGCTCTGGCGTCCCGGACGAGGTGAGCACGTCCACAATCATCTTTAATGCGGCTCTTTCTCTGCTCTCAATCTGCAGCTCAAGTCCTCTTTATCGTCCCACTTGGGGAAATTGCTTCTGCAGCAGTCAACACGTAGAAAAAAACAGTGATAACAAAACGCAAATATCTGATTATATTGGAGGACAAAAAGAGAGGATTTCACAAAAGCAATTTCTGTCACTCATACAAATACAAACAGTATAAACTTTGTTCTAATAAGACCATATCATTCACGTTGGAATAGACACAGACAGAACACAACCTTTCTATGAAACAGGACCATATCTTCTCTTTGAGTGTGAGCGATAAACACACCCCCTCCTGGTGTAATAATCTTGGTTCTGTGTTGCTTCAGTTGCACCTGCCCCTGAACTCCCCTCTGGCGGGCAGTGAGTTGACCAAAGAGCCTTTCCGATGGGACCAGCGCCTGTTCGCTCTGGTGCTGCGGTTGCCGGGGGCAGCAGCTCCAGACTCTGAGCAGCTCGGGAGCGTGCCCAACGATGACTCTGCCATCACACAAATGTGTGAAGTCACCGGAGGTAGGATCATCAAATACAACACAATACTCATCCATTGAAAAACTGCAGAATTCAAAGCAGCTAATTTGTGGAGATATCAACTCTGTGAATGTATTTTAGAAGCAGGAGAGCGGTATATGTTGAATTCATAATACTAATTTGAGATTTGTGAGTTTTTACCTGAGGGTTTATTTGCCTCTGCTGATTTCCAGGGCGCTCGTACTCTGTTCTCACTCAGAGAATGTTGAACCAGTGTCTGGAGTCTCTGGTGCAGAAGGTTCAGAGTGGAGTCGTCATTAACTTTGAGAAAACTGGACTTGATCCACCTCCGCTCGGAGAAGGTGAAGTTTCCAATTGTTTTTAGTCTTAGTCTGTAGAAGCTATACAAAGTTCATCTATGTAACTTGTCTGGTCTCAGACTAAACAAGTTGCGCTTTGTTTTCAGAAAACTCTGTGGAAAGTAGAAATGCGTCGTCCTTCGCTCCTCAGCCCTGGCACAGCTGCCACAAACTCATCTACGTTCGACCAAACCCTAAAACTGGTGTCCCAGTGGGACACTGGCCCATCCCTGAGTCCTTCTGGCCCGACCAGAACTCTCCGACTTTGGTGAGTGGCCTTTGTTACACATATCATTGACAGACATGTTGATAATGAATGAGAAAATTGAAGTACATGATGTAGATCTCCTGCTGTTTCTTCAGCTTCTCATGACCATCAAGGATTTAACATCTGGCTGTCTACACTCTAACTCTGTTCAATCATAAATGTGTTTTAAAATGAACCGTCCCAGTCATATAAATAAAGAAGTACAAACATAAACAGGATGATCCTTTGTGTCCACAGTGAAACAGAACATCCACAAATAAACTCTGTGTTTTCTTGCTTGTCTTCAGCCTCCGCGCTCGGCTCACCCTGTGGTGCGCTTCTCGTGTGTGGACTGTGAGCCAATGGTGATCGACAAACTGCCCTTCGACAAATATGAGCTGGAGCCTTCGCCTCTGACACAATTTGTCCTGGAGAGGAAGTCCCCACACATGTGCTGGCAGGTCAGGGGGATCATGACATTTATGTCACAGAACAGGGGTCTCCAACCTGTAGCTCGCCACCCCCTTCCAGGTAGCTTGCCAAAAGATTCAGAAATGAGCAAATCAAATAATCCACAATATTCCAGATTGTATTATTCAGTATCATTATTTATTGTTGTAAATGCACTTACTTTGTGCATTAGTAACAAATATGCGATGAAAAATATTGACTGTACCCGATTTCAGACTCGTTCACGCCAGTATATCAGCACGTTTATCCACTGCTTTTATCGTCCCGGGAAAGTAGCTCTCCGTGTTGAAAAAGGTTGGAGACACCTGATGTAGAATAATAACAAACAAAGCACACTTACTTAGTTTGTTTTTACTGGTGGTGCCTCAGAAATGTGATCTGATGTTCCTCCTGCAGGTTTTCGTGGGCAGCAGCAGTAAACAGAGCGACATGGGACATCCCTTTGGTTACCTCAAAGCCAGCACCACTCTTACCTGTGTCAACCTCTTCGTCATGCCTTACAACTACCCCGTCCTGCTCCCTCTGCTGGGTAGGAAAACATCTGTATCAATCACTCCATTTTATTTTTTTGCAGAGCACCTTTTCTACACAGGGCGACACAAAAAGCTTCACAGTCCACATCACATGAGGCACAAATCATCACATAAAAACCCCCAAATCACCATTTAAAACACAATTAAAAATCGTGCAGGTAATTAAAAAAATTTAATTTTAAGAAATTTAAACTATTACAAGCAATTAAAACCAACTGCATTGAGTAGTCCAGCTTAACCTTTTCTAGGGTAGTAGTTAGGGTAGTCTAGGGTAGGTACACTAATATTCACATTTTGGCATTCATATATTGGCCTTCAGCTCATTTTTGGCCATCAGTTCAACAACAACAATAAAAATACTAGAAAATGACTATTAGTTGTTCATTTGAGCAATTTTACAATGTATTTCCACAGGTACATATCATTTCAAGAAACAAATCTCAAAAGGAGAAGGCACAAAGTTCATATGTGTCTTCCCCGATTATCAACTACATCTAGCCATTTCAAACAGATTTTACCATCATCATTAAAATATTGTTGATGTGAACAAAAAACAGCAATTTTCATCTATTCATGTTCTATATTTCACTGCAAAAATAACTGTAAATGTCTTAATCAGACTCTTGAAATGCTTTTTGTCTTTTCGAATACATTTCTTTTAATAAGTGACAAATTGCATTTAGTATCAGTTTGAGTGTATCTCTTCTGCCTTTAAATGCAACTTGCCAATGAAACCACTATGTATTTAAAAAGTCCGTCTTGAAATTAGAAATAAGCTTAAACCAATGAGCTTTAATGCTTGTTTCATTCGTAAGTTTCAAGAAAAAATCTTCAAAATTCAACTCTTTACTTTCAACTGTTTTATAATGCTGTAGTAATGTCCTTCCAGATGACCTTTTCAAAGTGCACAAATTCAAGCCAAACTTAAAATGGCGCCAGGCCTTTGAGTCGTACCTGAAGACCATGCCTCCGTACTATATGCTGGTAAATGATTGTTTTTACACATTTGAAATCCACCTTTTCTGTTTTGTATCAGATTTAGATATTTCAGCGTGTGTTTTTGTCCTTCGCAGCCGTTGAAGAAGGCCATGCGGATGATGGGAGCTCCAAACCTCATCGCTGATACCTTGGACTGTGGCCTGAGCTACAGCGTCATCTCCTATCTGAAGAAACTCAGTCAGCAGGTACATGTATGATCATGAATAAGGAAGTACCAATCATTATTCGTTCTCAGCCAGACCATACATACTGTAGGTAAGATCGACAAATGTGGAAGAGATTGGGTGGGATGAGAATGCTTGCTAAATTTTGTCAAAGTCAGAGTAGATTTTGTTTCATATTAAACGATGATTTGTACGGATCACCATTGTTTCCTCTATCAAAAGACATATGCATTCATCGGACAATATTTTATTATAGCTGGGGTACCTACAGTAACTTTTTCATAATAAATAACACGTTCTGTTTCTCTCTCTCGCTCCTGGTCTCTGGTCGCTCTCTCCGGTCGCTCTCTCCGGTCGCTCTCTGGTCGCTCTCTCCGGTCGCTCTCTGGTCGCTCTCTCCGGTCGCTCTCTGGTCGCTCTCTCCGGTCGCTCTCTGGTCGCTCTCTCTGGTAGCTCTCTCCGGTCGCTGTCTCTCTTGCTCTCTTGTCTCTCTCTCAGTCTCTGGTCTCTCTCTATGTCTCTGGTTGCTCTCTGGTCTCTCTTTCGGTCTCTCTCTGGTCGGTCTCGCTCTTGCTCTCTTGCTCTCTTGCCTTTGTCTCAGTCTTTGGCCTCTGTCTCTCAGTCTCTGGTCTCTCTCTATGTCTCTCTCTTTCGGTCTCTCTCTTTCGGTCTCTCTCTGGTCGCTCTCTCTCTCTTGCTCTATTGTCTCTCTGGTCACTCTCTCTGGTCGCGCTCTCTGGTCGCTCTCTCTCTTGCTCTATTGTCTCTCTGGTCACTCTTTGATCGCTCTCTCTCTCTTGCTCTATTGTCTCCCTGGTCACTCTTTGGTCGCTCTCTCTCTTGCTCTATTGTCTCCCTGGTCACTCTTTGGTAGCTCTCTCTCTCTTGCTCTATTGTCTCTCTGGTCACTCTTTGATCGCTCTCTCTCTCTTGCTCTATTGTCTCCCTGGTCACTCTTTGGTCGCTCTCTCTCTTGCTCTATTGTCTCCCTGGTCACTCTTTGGTCGCTCTCTCTCTTGCTCTATTGTCTCCCTGGTCACTCTTTGGTAGCTCTCTCTCTCTTGCTCTATTGTCTCCCTGGTCACTCTTTGGTCGCTCTCTTGTTTTTGTCTCAGTCTCTGGTCCCTGTCTCTGTCTCTCGTCGCTGTTTCGCTCTCTGGTCTCTCTGGTTGCTCTCTGGTCTCTCTTTTGGTCTCTCTCACGGTATCTCTCGGGTGGTCTCTCTGGTTGATCTCTGAGCCCTTTATCGGTTTCTCTCTGGTCGCTCTCTTGCTTCCTCTCTTGCTCTTTCTCTTGCCTTCTCTTTCGCTCTCTGGTCTCTCTTGCTCTCTGGTCTCTTTCGGTCTCTCTCTCTGGTCTCTTTCGGTCTCTCTGGCATCTCTCGGTCTCTCTTGTGGTCTCTCTTGCTCTCTGGTCTCTCTCTACAACATGAACCCAACCTTGTCTGCTACTTTGGCGCCTAAAGGGTTAACTATTCAAGTCGAACGCTAATTGATGATAAATATGTTTTCACACAAATCAAACTACAATAAAACTTTCACTTGTCTGTGTAACATTTTGACCAGTAATGTATCGGGTACATGTTGCTATGGTGTCTCTTTCTGTGATTTCAATAATTATTCTTTCCTTCAGGCCAAGATGGAGTCGGATCGTCTGATTGTGTCCGTGGGGAAGAAGGCTCCTCAGGAAACGGGGATAAAAGTGAAGAACCACTCGAGCGCTCTTTCTCTGGCGCATCGACGGGACTTTAAAGAGCTGCTGCAGGGAATCACCGGAGAGGGCCCGCTCCGGATCAGCGACATCAACTTCAAGGAGTTCGCAGGATTTCAGATCGGATTCTTGAATAAGGTCAGTGTGCTGGATGTGTCTGATACCTCTTTTCTACCAAGATGCTAATTCTGGGCCAGTTCCCATTTCAGAGCCAGTTATTTCAGTTATTGTGGATGTTAGTGCGAATGGCAAATATACTGAATCTTGAATCTCTCGTTTTCTGAACCTAGTGGCAAAAAATAGCCCTGACTTGAGACCAGTTCTAGCCAGAAATGGGAACTAATTTTATTTAATATTGAGCACTTTTTAAATGAGGGAATCGAGAAGGTTGGTCTTATCTGGAAAAACAGCAAAAACAGTTCGTCAAGAAGCTAATGAATGCTAACTGCTGCTAGTAAACAATGTGTTGCTACGGTAACGAACACTGGTTCTTCTCTGATGGGAAGCCAAACCGAACCGGCCCTGAACCAACACCTTTGTGGAAAAAGGGAAAATCCTGCCTCAGAAAAAGGTCTTTTTTGGGAGCCTCCTTTCCCTTTTATAATCTATCTAATCAATCAAGAGAAAGAATATTTGCGACCAGACCGTATCCATTCTACAGCTATATTCACCCAAAAGTCGAGAGAAGTCATGGGTTGTCAATCGAAGTCGACTAAGAAGGGGGCGCGGCAAATGCTCTAAATATGATTCTGTATTCTTCCTAAACTCTACTCACAAATCAGACCACAACATGCTGTCTTCATCTTCTTAGAAAACTTGTTATATTTTGGGTTAGGGTTAGGGTTAGTCACTATTTAACGCTTGGGCTGAGAGCTGATTGGCTGAGAGTGGAGAAAGGTGATCCAAAGACATGACAGAGGCCAAAAAAAGCGATAGAACCAAACTGAGGAACTAAAATAGATAATATTAGATTCATTTTTGTGGTTAAGTATTACAAGTATTACATTTACAACACAGTACTCTTTTCTTGCTGACACCGTTTTTTTTACATCCTACACAATTTAGTTCCAGCCAAACTTTCTCCTTGTTATGCTTTGCTCCTAACAGCTTTTAATGTGTTTGTGTTGGCAGGAAGTGAAGCCACAGGCGTACAGAAATGCTTACGACATCCCGAGGAGGAATCTTCTGGACCAACTCACCCGCATGAGGTCCAACCTGCTCCGGACCTCACAGAAACTGATCAGGGGCCAAGACGAAGGTACAGCTCCATGTGAGAGTCTAGTTATGATTATTGGCTCCAGGCATAACAACAAATAATGTGTTACTGGGAGAGAGGTGCTATTCAAAACAACTTTATTGAGCGTTCAATCATTTTGCATTGTACCCTCAGCCATAACAGACCTGGAGTTGTTTTTAGATCATCCACACTATTAGGAAGTTCTGGCACAAACATGTAACTCTGCCCCTTCTGTCTAAAAGCTCCTGTCTCAGTCCTGTCATAGTATGATGTCATTGTACCACTAGGACATCCCGCTCAGAGCCGTTTTCTGCCTTTTAAAACTAACATATTTCCCATCTTTTCCCAGTGAAATTACGTTCTTTACAATCACACAGCTGTATTTACAGCTGTTAACTCTTAAGTTTGGAGAAAAACGAAAGGAATTTGACGTTGGTGGTAGCATAGAGAAAGGCACTGAAAAAGAAATGTTATATTATTATTATTTGTCTATATGATTTGTTGATGAAGGAACCTCATGAGATCGCAGAAACAAGCGCTCAGAATGACTTTCCTCCGCAGAATGTCTGGGCACTCCCATAGGGTGAGGCGTTCAGTCAGACAGGAGGAGCTCGTAGTAGAGTCGCTGCTTCTCCACAGCTGTCCCAGAGGCCTTCTGGACGCCTCCCTAGGAAGGTGTTCTGGACTATGTCTCTCAGCTGGCCTAGGAACGCCTCGGGATTCCTTTGCCATTGGCTCACGCTACATGAGAAAAAAAACTCAATGTAAATGGCGACTTATCGTTCAATATTAAAAGTGATGGAATTTTTTTCTGGGAACCTGCTTTTAATTGTAATTACGTTGTTGCCACAAAGTTATTTCCATAATATCATAACATCTTAATACTGTACTAATGTATAATACAACAACATTTTGTCTAATCCTTTAACATGTTCTTCCAGACTACTTGCACAGTATTCCCGTGGCTCAGATGGGAAACTATCAGGAATATTTGAAGATGATGCCATCTCCACTCAGAGAAATAGACCCAGACCAACCCAAGAGACTGCACACATTTGGAAACCCGTTTAAACAGGACAAGAAGGTACTGATACTACCACTGATGCAACTCATATATTTATATTATTATATAACAGCTGGAATGTCATACCTAAATATTTGTACACATATCGTATCATAGTCAAATAAGTAGATGGTATAATATGTACTGGTATTGAAACGTCCCTGTTGTGAAGTGGACTGGGTTCAGGGACTGAGGGTGCAGTATTAGCCCTCACCAGCAGAGGGAAATGGGGAGCTATGTTGGATATGGTCTATGGTTGGATAGATGTTGTTCTTTGAGCCATAATTTACAGAACACCACTTCATAAGAAAGTGACACAGTATGGTTTTAACTTTAGTTTTTCCATGTAAGCAGCATGCAGGCAACAGTGTAAGTTCTGGAGAGTAAAGTTGGTTGTTGCTTTGAGATGAATAGATGAATTATTCATCCCACAGTGGGAAAATGTCAGTGTTGCATCTTAAGTTACAGAACAGGAGGAAAGAGGAGCACACAATACAAGGATAGCACAAAAAATAAAAATGTTAAAGCAAAGAATAAAGGTAAATACTCTAGTGTAAAGAGACATTTTGCCATGAGGTGACGTGAAGCAGGACCCAAAAATGTGTGAATGCAAAAATAATGATTTAATGAAGATAATAAAACAAAGGTCCAGGGAAAAAATGATTCAAAATCCAAATGAAATTCAGGAACATGGACAGACAAAGACAATGGACCAGCAACAAGGGGAGAGGAGCACAGGTACAGATAAATACAGAGAGAGGTGAAACACATCAGGGCGGGGCAGACAATTAACACAGGGGAACAGGAAGTCAAACTAAAAATTAAAACCAGAGAACTGCAGTCAAATCCAAACAAAGTAAGAAATAAATAAAAATCCACACCATGACATATATATTGTATTTACTGTATACATCTGTAGAAACATCTGTAATACTCTACTTCAACAATATTAGGGTAGTACGTGTTTCACTCTGAGGGTTCGAAGGTTTGTAAACAAATGTCTCTGGTCTCAGGGCATGATGATCGACGAGGCGGACGAGTTTGTGGCCGGGCCGCAGAACAAAAAGAGAGTGAACTCCGGAGACTCGATGTCGTCGTCAGTGAAGAGACGCAGGAGCATGTCGCCGTTGCTACGGAGACCGCTCAGTCCAATAGGAAACACCAACCACATCAAATCGGCGGCGCAGAACCACAGCAAACCGGCTCCAACGCATAAAGGTGATCGAACAAGAAGTTTATTTTAAGTTTTGAAAAAAGGGGGTTGGATGAAGCAAACGATTATGAAGGTTCCAAACTCACCTCACGCATTGGACTGGAGGATTTAGAGCAGGGGTGTCAAACTCATTTTGGTCGGGGGCTGAATAAAAGAATAGAAGGGATTTCCTTACAGTAGAAGGTATTTCAACATTACTTGAATGTGACATGGGTTTCACTATTATTTTCTGGTTGATTGTCCATTTACCCAAAACCAGTTGAACACATTGTTTTCATATTTAACTATTTCACTTCTAATGTTTTCCTGAGAACATAGAATATTTGCAACATGCCTTGGTCGCCCATAACCATCAACGTTGGTTGTTGATGGTAATAATAATAATTGAAAATCATATAAGGGGCCACTAAAATTTGTCTTGCAGGCCGGATTTGGCCCATGAGCCTGAGTTTGACATGTCTGATTTAGAGCAAAAACATGAACAGAACTATACAAAAGTAATACTCCGACCCTACTCTCTGTGCTGAAGGCATCACTCTCTTTCCTCCACATATTTCTTCAGTACTTTTTAATACCGTTTCTCTTCATGTAATCAGCTTTGAAAATAAAATTATGTCCCAAAGAGTAATTTCACAAACTGAGACACATTTATTTTAAAGTACTTCGACATTTAGGCACATGGTGAACGCACAAGAACCACAGCAAACCAGTTCCAGTTTGTTTTTGTTCTCTTTTGATTGGATGTGTTGATTTAGTTGATTTTATGTATGTATTTATTTTTAGACAACGGTACCAGCGTCCCTGAGAGCAACGGTGAGCTGGGCCCCGAGTGTGTGGAGGTCTGGACCAACGACTCAGACTCCATTCAGGAAAACCAGGCTGCAGTTTGTCCTGAAGCCAAAGTGTCTGGACCTGGGATCACAGAAGAGCAGCCGGAGGAGAAGCCTGAACAACCGGAGGAGCCCATGGAGGAGGAGGAGGTGGAGGAGGCTGCAGAGGAGGTGTTCGAGGAACCGATGAAGGTGGAGAAGTATAACTGTGACAGACTGAGTCCTCAGAGCAACAGCGGGAGCTCAGAGGCCGAGGAGGACTCAGTGCAGACCGTATACATCCCCCCTTTGGACGGGACCCACGCAGAGCTCAGGACCAGGGTCATCAAAGAGGTCCGCAAACCCGGGAGAAGTGAGTGCTGCACCCCCATCACCAAACACATGAGATCTGGATACGTGATTAGTAGCGTGGATTTTGTTTAGAGAAAAAGTGGTTGTTCCAGCTAAAATATAACACATTTCTTTTCAAAATGTCTTTGAATAAGTCATATTCTAGATTTAGTGAACTGTAGTATATAGTACAGGGCCTATTGTTGCATATTGTTGATTCCATGTTTTTATTGTTGCAGATTATGAAGCGATCATGCGGTTATTGCACGAGGTCAAAGGCCCTGTCAACGTTCAGAAGTATTTTCTCCTTCACGCCATAAAAGAGGCTGCCAGGTAACCAGGAGATCTACGTCCACTCTCTTTAACATTGAACTAATACTGTTAAATACATGATACCTAATATTTATTATTTAACATTTATTATATATATTTAAAAAAACCTAGTATGTGGCACCATCTGCATGTGAAAGCTAGATCCTATCTGACCTCTGAAGCTAAGCAGGGCAGGACCAGGTGAGTACTGTGATGGGAGACCTCTTTGAACATCAGGTGGGGCAGCACGGTGGCACTTGTGGTGCACAGCGAGAAACTCGATTCTACCTCCAGGCCTTTCTGTGTGGGGTTTGCATGTTCTCCCTGTGTCTGCATAGGTATCCTCCGGGTGCTGTGGTTTCCCCTACCACTAAAAACATGTACAGTAGGTCTAGCAAGCGCCTCAAATGTGGAGTGAGAGACTAAATGCCTAAAAAACAACAAATTCTAAAGTGCTTTGTGACTCTGGTCTGTGAAAGGCGCTATATAGATAAAGATAACTTATTTACTAAAGAACCAAATTGTTGTTGTGTCCTTAGGCAACACGCTTCACCCCTTTTTGCCTAGTACAGGGGTCTACAACCGTTCTTATTAAAAGATCCATTTTGAACATTATTATAACACAACTAATACCCTCTCTCCAGGTTTAAGAAGCGGGTCCTGATCCAGCGCCTGGAGCAGGTCCTGTCTGACTTGGAGGATCCGCCGCCGCTGCCGTCGCCCTCTGCCCCCGCATCCACTCTCCCAAACGAGGACAGCGGAAAATCGTGACAAAGACAATACTCTCCAGACCTCTGCTAAAGTGAGGAACAGTAGTATTAGACAGAAGCACGTCACAGTCGGGAAACAGAACGGACAAACGGACCATGCACTGACCCGGCTGCTTCTCTTTGTGGAAAAAAAGTCCAGGGTTTTTTCAAGAGTCGACTCAAACTCAAAAGATCTGGGAATCTCAAAGACACAAGTGACAACAATCTGATGTAATAATAAGCTCTTCTTAAAAGTTTGTGTACAATAAAACTGGGCAAGCGTTCAAAGTACTTATGTAAATTCAGGGAAATCTTGTCTCAGCCGATGGAATCCAAACCAGGAGAATCCAAATCCATACCCACCCATTTGAGTATGATTGAGTGATAGATTCAACACATGCGATTGGCAGCTACCTTTTTGTCAGACGGCCCCAGGGCAGCTGTGGCGGCTGTACCGGAGTGAATCCAATCTGAAACGTTACTGTTCACATGGGGTTTCATTTCGTCAACTTTTGTAACTTTTTGTGGTGGAGGATCCTCTACCAGCGTTTCCATATCGTCCATGAGAATGTGCTTATTTAAGATCATCCTTCATTCTGAGCACAAGCAGCTAACGTTACGAGTCAAATCTATGGAGAGGCGATTCGAAAACTGTCACTGAATATCGAAAATATCAGGTATTTAAGAAGGGTTTTTAAGAAAGTTACATCTTGTGCCTTTAGGTCTAAGATTAATTTCTGATATAAATCCACGTGTGTCAAAGTGTATTTATTACTTTCATATAGGGCTTGTAATCTTGAAGAAATAACACATTGTTTTTTAGATAGACGTGTCATTTCTGTGTTGATGGTAGAATGAAGTTCAAAGTTCTCAATGTAAATTCTAATCTGAAGGAAAACTGAAACATAAAAAATATGATAAAATAAGTTGTATTTATTTTGATGTATTGATATTTTCTGTTTAAAACTAATTATCAATTTAAATAAGAAAAAAAATACTGGCTTTAAAAGTTAATTCAGATTGGACTAGCTGGATTATAAAACAATACCTACCTATCTATACCTAATTTAAGAGAAATACCACACATTTTAAGATCTTAATTTTACTGTCTGTTTATCAACCTGTTTTTTAGCTGTAAACACTGGGACAGCCTCATTTTGTTATCATTCTATCACAATACACAACAAGATACCTTTATGTCTGACTAAAATAATATCAGTGAATTTTAGCGTTGACTAAAATTGCGTCTTGTACTTTTCTATCTCTAATCGTGTTTCTTGAGTGTACCTGAATTTGCCCTAAAATGTCACTCGCTATTGAGATTCCCAGAACTCTCCATTCCCATCGGGACATCAGCGTATGGAAAGTATGCTTAGTAGGAAACTCACATTTTGTATTTATTTTTTAAAAAGGGCCATTCTTCAGCCGGTCTGAGAAAAGTTAGTGGTCCAACTCTGCACTGATTCCTAAAAGATGAAATGAATGAGATAGAGATTCACTCATGCGTCTTTGTCACTGATCACTCCTCCACAAAGGCCCAAAGATTTAGGTCCAAGACATTTTAGCAGAAAAGCACTTTTAAATCGCGACTGAAAGTATGCCAACTATTATTACTATTTTTTTATTGATCATTTACCGTATATAATATCTCAACACTCTTCCTGTTATATTGTATTATTCTGACATGAATTGGGGAAAACTGTGAGAAGGACCCGGGAGACCTCTTTCTGTGTGGAGTTTGCATGTTCTCCCCGTGTCTTCGACGGTTGCCTTCAGGTGCTCCGGTTTTCACAGCCACTAAAAATATGTAGAATTGGCTCCTTCTCTGAACAAATTATACACATCTCTGGAATCGGACGGGAGAAGCAAGATTTTTTTGAGTCATTTCGATCCCCTCTTTTCTTAGTGAGATTTTATATGTACTCATGCACAGGCTGGAGCAAACACTTAAAGCTGGGGTATGCCACTTTTCTACCATTTATTATCTACAAATATCTTGTGCCACTTGTCGGAAAAGAATAAACCAGACCAGGTCATGCTGCCTTCATCTTAAACATTTTGTCTTTTGCATACTTGCATACTTGAAAGATTTAGACATCCTTAATTCGTGCCACAGTGGGGATATGTCAGTGTTACAGGAGCACACAACACAAGATAAATGAACAATACTAAAATAAAATAACATCTTTGACTTAGTATAATAAAGAAGCAAGTATAAAAACTCCAACTTTAGAATAAGGACGAAACAAGAATTAAATATAAAATCTCTAACGCAGAATGATAAAGAAAGAGCCCTGTGAGTCACTATTGGATGCTTTGGGCTGAGAGCTGATTGGCTGAGTGAGGGTTGTCCTCTCTTTTACACTTTTCTGTCTGAACAGGTTGATTTAAACATGTGACAGAGGCAGGTGGAACTATACTGGGTTTAGAGCGAGGAACTAGTTAGATGGATTTAATGACATAGATCCATTTTATTAGTTTTGTTAATTAGGTACCCCAGCTTTAAATTAAGCAAACACGGAATGATGAGAGGTCTGTCTGTTGTTGCTAGCTTTAATTCTTTCTCCAAAACTGTGAGTCCAGGAGGAAGATTTACAAGTCCTCATCTTCAGTCCCATGATTGCTGCTTGTTGAATTGTTTGCACCGGTCGATGATTGAGACTGAGACTAGGTGTATTGCCAATAATCTCAAATACTTTTATCCGATTCCCCTCGCTGTCCCTTAAAGCACTTACTGTATCTCCATAAGCAGCATCAGTGGATCTCTATTCTTAATCCAAATGTTTTTTTTTGTCATTGTAAACACAGCACTCCTCAGAACACTCTCTCGGCTCCGAGTTTTGTCTCAGTTCCTTCGGACCCTGCAGGTACAAGTGACGTACACAACTTTTTCATGTTCAAATGGAAACATAGATGATATTTTTGTCAATCCAGAGACTAAGGAATATTTTGAGAGTATAATATTAATGCCACTTTTTTAAATGTTACATGTGTACAGAGTTGGAAGTTTTATGAGAATATGTTTTGTAATAAAACTTTAAAAACTGTTGTGTTTTGATGATTGGTTCCTTGTGTTTGTGTTGATTGTGTGTAGATACTTTATTGATCCCCTGTAGGAGAAATGCAGGTGCAGCAATACATTCCTCTATACAAACAAATAAATACATCATTCTAGTTGAGAACTTTGAACAAAAGGTTCATGTTAGCACTGTAGTCAAGTCTTCGAATTGGGACAGTGTCTGAGTTATCCAAAGTTCGTAGATGGAAGTGACCCACACCAGATTTTTTCCAAAGTATCACACTCTCAAGTTGCAGTCATTTATTATATAGACGTTTCAGCCCCAATGTCGTGTCTTTCAGACCAGGAGATAGCCAACAGGTCATGCTGTCTGTAAAATGTAGTGGATTGATGATTGGTATTTCATAATACTGTAAATGTGATGCAACAAATGACTTTGGGTTCAAGACCTTCACCTCATAAGGACATTTAAATATGACTCCAACTCTTGCCAATCAACCTTCCCCATTTTGGAAGTGAAAAATAAATAGAGTAGTATTATGAAAATAAAGGTCATACCTGCATGTAGCGCGCTCCTGTCAGACCTCAGAAGTTAAGCAGAAGCACCTGGTTAGTACTGCGATGGGGGACCAATGGGATACCAGGAGCCTGGATGGGTCGCCTGCCTATTATCTGGTGTGTGTCTGAAATATTGATGATGATCCATGCCATGGTCAACATTAACAGGCTTACCTTGACATATCTCTACCACGACAGCAGTGGCTACAATAGACACAGCACCACAGTGTGTGTAAACCAGGATTCACACAGGGAGGTGGGGTACGGGACCATATCAGTAGTTAATACCAGGATCGCAAACATGTTTCAGTCTGAGAGCTGTCGTTTGGACTGGAGCACATGAGACATTGTACTGGTATTATTAGCTATTTTGGAAAACAAACATTTGCCAGTGTCATTCCATAAATTAACTACTTTTGGAAGGAAAGGGATTTTTCTGGGGCAGAGCTCTGTAACTTCTGCTTGTCTATGATGCTTGTTTAACTGTTCCACAGCAGGGAGTAGATCAGAAAGTCTTAAACAGCATATCATTCCAAGATGTTGCCCAAAAACTCCTCAGGGTGGATGAGAAAACCCCAATCATTCCATCTACGCTGAGCACGAGTTGTTGATACTTATAGAGTTGTGTTACAGATCATGTCGGCTGCAGTTAAATATTGACTGAACAGAAAGGAGCACTGTTAATTAAGTTCATAAATGTATCAAGAGAAACATGAATCCTACATCCACTTACTGTCGTCTCCCGGTCTATGGGGCGTTTTCCTTCATATATATTACCTCCTTCTTACATTAGATGGTGCCACTCATTTGCTTAGTAGTAATTCAGGTGTAATTTTGCACTGCTGCTACAACCTAGTACAATGCATCTCTCCTGTTGGCTAATATTTACTGTACTCTGCCCCTGTAAAAATAAAAATCATACCATACCACAAAATTGAAAGGGAAACAGATCTTGTTAAATCAAAATGCCTTTTATTAAATTAAAAAGTTTCAATAACAAAAAACTAGGATAAACCGTTCCCCCCAAAATGAATGTACCTTTCTTTCTATATTAGCTCTTCACAGTATCATTAGCATCGTTAGCCGAGTCATCAAAGATCTCTTAACGTTTGTTCACCAACTGGACATGAGGGCCCTGTACCACCTCTACACAGTGGAAAAACACCTGCTTGAATATTCCAACGTTGTTATAATTTACCTAACACTACTGGGGCTTAGTTACAAAATAAAAGTATTAAACATGTATTATGACGATAAGCAGTTAGTAAATGTATTCTAAATCTTTGAGATTTCTTCCCTATTCTCCTGCTGCAAAACTAACTAACAGATGAATTGTATTTTAAACCAGTCCAGCATATTTCAAATCGATTTTTCATGATTGCAAGTAAAACATTTAGCACACAACAATCCAGTTCCAAAGTACAGGGCCCAAGAGATCAAAACAGCAACTTCCATTCTGTAGTCACTAGTTAGATGACTTCTGAAATGTGAACAGTAACAAATAGGCCTTTTTGATGCCCCCCCCCCTTTTTTTGTTTTTACAAACATGGTTGCAAATCAGATGAAAAAGACATGAGGGCGCAGTTTCTGTATTTTAAGACGGCAAGCAATACACATAGTTCTATTTACAAAGCTGCTGAAAAACTGAAGGGTTGGCACAGTCAGTCAGTGCTAGAGTGGTCAAAGAGAGGCCATTGTTTCATATTAGATGTATGTACAAATTAAATTAATGTTTCGTTGTTTCAGTGTCTAACAAAATGGTTTCCCTAAACACAATGAGGTTTACAGGCAGGGAAAGGCTCAGTCTCAGTGGAAATTCTCCAGCTTGCGTAGTCGCAAGGGGTTGGGGAGGGCTTGCTGGTTGCATTCAGACGGGACCTCCTCTGATGATCTGAAAAGCACTCGGCCTCTGTGGTTGAAAAGGTAAAATGACGGGTGGTTCGTCAACGTGTCGAATGTTCTGAGGAAGGAGGGAAACAAAGAGGTATTGGTTCAATGTCTACAGATGCAGGACCCAGAAAAGAAAGCAGCAAAAGAGTGTGGATGGAACAGCATATAGATTTAGTATTGTCAGGCTAAGAGATGACAACAGGGTGTCGGGTTGGAGAGTGTTTTGGTCTGTGTGTTGTCAGAGTGTGTGTGTGTTTTGTGTTGTCTGTTTTAAACCATCGGTGGTAGTGTTGTGTATTGCATGTTTGAGATTTCTACTGCATGATATTGTTCAAACAGTGTATGTGTGATGGGGGTTGGAATCAAATAATCCCAAATAAGCATCCTACCCTTTTTCGAACCATATTTTGATACATGTAAAAATATGTATTGAGCAGGATCAAAATAAATGAATACTAAAAAGAAATTAAAAAAAGAGCCCTAACAGCTTGTCAGTGAGGGGCCTGGTTAGTACTGTGATGGGAATACTAAGTGGGCTCTATAGTGGAAACTGGTATGTCCTGAGGAAAGGAGTAGATCCTCACTTCTTCAGTCTAACCAAGGGCAGTTGTGGCTTAGAGCCCTGCACGGGCCTATTATCTGGGCCCGAGCCCGGCCCTGGCCCGAGGGGGTGGTGCCCCAGCCCGGCCCGGCCCGATATGGTTTCTCAATTTTCAGGCCCGAAACCCGCATCAAGCCCGCCTTTTTTTTTTTTTTTTTTGTAACCTCCCATAACAATGTTTTAGCGTAGTATATAGTGCCGCGCACTGATATGAACGCAGACTTAGCTAGAGGGCGGAGTTATACATGGTAGTGATGTGTTGCAATGAGTTCTGTGTGTGCGGAGTGGTGCAGAGTGAACGGCCGCATCTGTATGATACACAGATGCTGCAACACACCTGTAAGTAACGCTATGTGCCGTCAATGACAACACTACACAGAACAAACACTACAGCGTGATAGAACGCTATATTCAGTGGGTGCGTTCGTAAATCTATTCTGCCGCTCTGAAAATGAAGAGCCCGAGCCCGGCCCGTGTCCGAGGTCATTACGCGGTCATCGGCCCGAAGGGCCAAGGGCTCAAGTGCAGGGCTCTATTGTGGCTACACTACTCTCCATTTTAGTGCATTTTTCATTACTTCACTATTGTAGACATAGCTGTCCTGGGGCAAACCAGAGGGTCGGCACTAGATCATATACGGAATCGGGACGAAACCGGAAGTAACGATCCTACTTTCGAATTAGGTTTAGACTAAAAAGTCCTTCAGTGGTGACTGGTTAAAGAGCGACTAAACACCTGTGCCCAGCCTTACTCCGCCCACATGAAGATTTGAAAATGTTCTCTAAAAAGGGCGTTGCCTGGAGGACCAAGGGACAAGAAGGGGGGCTTAGAGTTGGGCGTGGTCTGGGCTGTGATTGACAGCTCACTTGTCTCACACACAAAAACAGACAGTTGTCATTGCTGCTTAAAGCAATAGTTTACAGACCAGAAAGTCTCATTCCACCCTTGTTTACACACTAAGATAATTGTAAAGCTACACACCTGAACCTAATCACATTCAATAATCTCAGAATGACTCATGTAATTTAATTTTAATCCACTAGATGGCGCCAGAATACTCCAAACTGCAGCTGGGGCGTGTGTGAGAGTTGAATGGGTTTATATCACTGGCTCTGACAGACTGACGTCACACAAAACAACTGATGTCATAGAGAACTTCAGAGTCAATGGAGAGGCCAGAACCAAAGTCAAATGTAGTACCACCAAAAAGGTTGAGAGGGCGCCACACAGCGTTTTTTGGCTCAAAAGTGATATTTTATCTAATTTGAACTAAAATGTCAAAAAAAATGACCAGGATATGTAGACAGCACTACAATAAACATACTTATGCAGTTTATGAGTTTAAAAAAGTGGATTTGGTGTTTAGTCGCTCTTTAAGTTGTAGGCGTCTGATTAAGATGGTTAAGGTTAGGGTTGAGGGTGGGTTGGGGTTATTTTATGGGAATGGCTGGTTAAGTTTGGGCATGAATAGGTAGTTTGTTATATTTACTTAAGCTTCCGTCCCGATTCCGTATATGATCTAGTGCTGACCCAAACCAGAGTTGCCGTTCAGAAGGAGTCATCAGATCCACCATTCACTACCAGACATTCACTTACTCTGCAGATTCAGGCGTGGATGATCATCCTTCTGGCAAATTACAAAGTGTTTTGTTGATCTATAATAACCTTGACTCAACACTAACAATATCATTAGTCTCCTCCTTCAGTAATGAAATCTCATGGGGAAAACATTGAATTACTTTGGGGACAGGCGTAAAATTAGAAAACCAAGACTGAGGGCAACAAGCCTCCCTTGTCAAACCAGAGCAACGCAATCATTAAAAGTCTAATTGTACTCACTTGTTTTTCAACTCTGAGGAGGCATCCATCTCTTTGAACTCTCCAGCGATGTGGACAATACCATAACAGGTCATGACAAAGGCTAATAAAGTCTGTAATACAATCTGCAAGCATAAAAGTGTATTTACATGACAACAGATCTTTGGGGGGTTTACATAAGGGGGTCATAAGACAAAATACTCACGTCTATTGGTAGTGTTTCATTTTCTTTCTCTGTGAGCCTCATGTACGATCGATCTGAAAAAAATAACAAGTAATACATTTAAAAAAAACAATCAAAATCACTTAATATTTTCTACAGACTTCATATGAGCAATAGCCACACTAGGCGCTCCATGTAATGAACATAGAATTGGTGGACCTGCAACGCAAATTGATATGCAGCCTTAAGTTACTCCACGGAATGTGCGTTTACATAATTATTTAATTTAGAATACAAAAATAATAGCAAACACACCAAAACCTAACAGACGAATGTGACATTATACATTTTAGTACCTTTATTTGTCCCACAGTGTGGAATTAAAAAAAAAAGCGACAAATGCTTCTTTAGCTTAAAAATCAGAAATATAAATCCAGAATACAATCTTGGAACAGAAAAGATGACCAGGAAGTGGGCATAATAAATAGATCATGTGTACACTGGAAAATATTGCTTTATTATATTGTTGCTACGGATGAAGGACACGTACAGGGTCAACAATTGTCATGGTAGGAAGTCTACCGACTGACTACATAAGAAAACAGACAAAAGATGAGCATGAAAATCTTCATCAAATCTTAAACAAAAAATGGCTTCCTACCCTTGAAATTTTAGAGATTGTAAGACGGATTTAAGAATAAATCTGTCATGGTAAATCCTGCCTCGCTCCTGACTGCACAGAAAATTACTTGTGTTTAAATAAATATAATATTAATTGGGCAGGTTAAAGCAAAACTCACATTATGACGAACCAAAAATGCATAGGTCACACAAAAAATGAATGGGAAAATGTTTGGAGGCAATTATAACGCGTCTACCTCATACTCTAATTGAAGGCCACGTATGATTAGAAGATGGATTACTACACATCGTGATTTTAAGATGAATGATCAGACAGAAATAACCCTTTCAAAAGCCGGATATTATCAATGCTAATCAGCATTAGCCGCGGCTAGCACCGAGCTAAGGCCCGAGCAGACTCTAACCAAAATCTCCCTTCGACATCGAACCTCATTCAACACATGTATGCACCGACAATTACAGTGTCATAATACATGTTTTAACTCACGTTGTGCCGCTGAAAAAGCCGCATGAGCTAAAGCAAAAAGACCCACTCCGACAACACCTTTCCAAAACGACGACGCCATCTTGAACAAGGCAGGAGCATGATGGCACCACAAAATAATGCTAAATTCATCAAAATAATGAAATGTATTGACACTGTTTTATGTTTTTTCATTTCAAATCCTAGTTATACAAAATAAATTAATGTACAAATTATAGTAAAGGGTGTATTAGTCAACATATCGCAAAGGTAAGATCATTGCTTGTCTTATTTTGAAAGGGCCGGAAACACTACTGCTACATCCGGTCTGTTTCTCCATCCAGAGATCTTCATGTGGTGCCGAGCTGCATTTGTTCAAACTTATCTGCCTTTTATCTCCTTGCAATAAACCTGTGATCGTTACTAAAATCCATAACTTATAACTATGGCAGAAGCGATCCAGAAGAAACTAAAAGCTGAAGTCGATAAATACACACTGATGCAGAAAGGTACGTGTTAGCATTGGCTTCATAACGTAACATGTTTTAGCAGTACCATATAAGGATAATGAGTTATTTATCTAATGTACTGTTCATATAAGTTAGTACAATATGGTATACCTTATTAACATGATTATTATTTTGGATTTGTTTTGTGTGTTGAAAAGATGTCAGCAAAAGCATGTCAGCGAGACAGAAGTTGGAAACGCAATTGACAGAAAACAACATTGTCAAAGAGGTATTTAATGTGATGTTAATATTTATACGTTCTTCTAGTTATAACTGTGTATAGGAGTTAGTACTGCATGATACAAAAGAGTGCAAAGAAGCTAGTGAAGCTTAATTAAAAGGTACTAGCTTCTTTACATTTGATTATGCTAAAGATAGACTTATACTTGCTTCTTATTATGCTAAAGTCAGATGTTTTGTACTTAATTCTTACTTCTTCATTATGCTAAAGTAGAGTTATTGTTCATTTATCTTGTGTTGTGTGCTCCTCATTCCAACTGTTCTGTAACCAGTGATGCAACACTGAAATGTCCCCACTGTGGGATGAATAATTTAATCTTTGTCTTATTAGAATACAAAGAGTTTAAACCTTAAATCAATCAATCAATCAATCTTTATTTATAGGGCGCTTTTCCTGCACAGGGCAACACAAAGCGCCTCACAGTCCACACCACACAATGCACAAATCATCACCATTAAAATACAATTAAAAACACATATGTAATTAAAAAGCATTAAAATCACATAAGTAATTTAAAAACATAAAAATCACACAAGTAATTAAAAACAATAAAATAGTTAAAAACACAAAAAGTTACAACAATAAATAACAAGGTGTGTTAAAAAGATAAAATTCTCTAGTTGTATGCACAGGAAAAAAGAAAAGTCTTTAACTTGGATTTGAACATTGACAGAGAGGCAGCCAGTCTCACATCCTCAGGAAGACTGTTCCAGACTTTAGCTGCATAAATCTGAAAAGCAGCCTCCCCCTGTCTAGTCCTGACTCTGGGCACTAACAGGAGTCCCGTCCCTGCGCTCCTCAGAGTCCGGGCTGGTTCATATGGGACTAGCATATCATGGATGTACTTTGGTGCAAGGCCATGGAGAGACTTGTACACCAGGAGAGCTGCTTTAAAGTCTATCCTCTGGGCCACGGGAAGCCAGTGCAGAGACCTGAGGACCGGACTAATGTGGTCGTACTTCCTGGTTCTAGTCAGGACTCGGGCTGCAGCATTTTGAATATACTGCAGCTGTTTTACTGCATGTTTGGAGATACCTGTGAGCAGGCCATTGCAGTAATCCAGCCTACTGGAAACAAAAGAATGGATAAGAATCTCCAAGTCTGCCCTGGACACAATATTTTTAATTTTGGCAATATTTTTCAGATGATAAAAAGCTGCTGATGTTACCGATCCAATGTGGCTATTGAAGTTTAAGTCAGGGTCCATTATTACTCCCAGATTTCTGACCTTATTTAAAGGCCTTAGGGAGAGAGACTGAAGGTGACAAATGACGGTCTCTCTTTGTTTCTCGGGACCAAAGACAATAATTTCGGTTTTGTCCGCATTTAGCTGGAGAAAATTGCATTGCATCCACTCACTGATCCGCTGGATACAGCGAAGGAGTGAGTCCACTGGTCCATGTTCTCCTGCAGTCAGTGAGACATAGACACTACATAGTCATAAGTCATGTGAATGTATATTATTATTTGATTATTGTGTCTTTTGTTTATGTCTACATTTACTGTCTTTTTACCTATGAAATACTTGTTTATGTTTACAGGAGCTGGATCTGATGGAGAGCGCTAACACTGTTTATAAACTGATCGGTCCAGTTTTAGTGAAACAGGATCTGGATGAAGCCAAAGCCACTGTAGGAAAAAGATTAGAGTACATCAATGGAGAGATGTAAGTATTTGTTTTTGTATTTTTTTATTTGACCATAAATAATGATTTATCTCCAAAGTTACAGCAGCGCAAACCTTATTGAACTGAATTCATGAGGTGTTGTTACTAAATTATATGAAGATAAATAAACAATTCTATGATTAACTTAAACATTTGGTAAGAAAAAATATTTATCCTGCATGGGAAATTTGGATCAGTAGTGGTGACGCAGTGGTTAGCACTTGTGCTTCACAGAAAAAAGGTCTCCCTCCAGACAGTGTAGAGTTGCCATGTTCTCCCATATGCATAGGTTTCCTCCGGGTGCTCCGGTTTCCCCTACCACTAAAAACATGTACAGTAGGTGAAGGTTGAAGGAGTGTGTGTTTGTGAGTGTGACTCTGGGACTACTGATGGAAATTAGCCACAAAAAGCTGCATCTGTTGTATTTACAGCTCCTGCTGTTCATTAATACACACTCTCCCATCCATATAAACAAACAAATAAAATACATATTGGTAAACACAAACAAGATCAGCAATCCTGGGGTCAAATTGACCCACCACAGTGGTTAAAAAATACCGTAAATATTTTTTCGAGCTGAATTTTGATGACCCCTTTTAGACCCGAATTTAAGGTTTTTTCTTCTACCTTTAATCCCTGCACAAGGGTTAAGCATATAAAGCATAAGTATTATTGCTCAAAACCAAAATGATACGTATAAAACAAGATAAATATACTCTATGGTCTAATTTCAGCCAAAGGTACGAGGCGCTGCTGAAGGACATGGAGAAGAAGTCTGACCAGCAACGAGAGGTTTTGTCCAGTCTCCAGCAGGAGTTTCAGAAAGCACAGGGTCTGGTTGTGGGAAAAGCATGAAACACACAAGCGCACCATGCACAAATAATTCAGTTTCAAGTTCAGTGGGATTTTAAAGTCAGAGCAGCTCATCTCAAATAAGAAGAATTATTCTTAAGCTCAGAAAAATGCACCATCATGATGCAAATTGACTTCACTATTATCACATGCTCGTGAATTTATGTTCTGTCCTAAATAATAAATGTTTTCTTGTTTTTTGCACAAATGTTGATGTTCATTGTCTTTTAATTACAAGCAGTCTGACTTGTTTTTACTATCACTAGTGCTTTGAAACCTGCCCATATATGTGTCTCAATAAGTCAATTACAAATAATATGACTCGATTGAAGGAGAATGTAATTCATCATTTTGCTTCTATAGGCTCACAGTGGAGAAATGTACATTTGGCCTGAATGGGATCACTCAGGGTGTGCAAAAGACAGGAAATGTGCAAACATGTTAGAAAGTGAAAAGGCATAGAGTATCTTATGTGCAATAATGGTGTTTCATTTTACAATTTAAAAAATGACATTAGTGCAAAGTTTGCTTGAGTCCCTAGCTTTGAAACCACACAATTAACTGTGTAATACAATCCATGCAGTTAATGCCAGTAAAAAAAGGTGGTTCGATTCCAGTATTCTCACATGTATTTTTGGCCTCAGCTTTTTCAGTGAAGAAGAGCGTACCAGTCCTCAATCTGCTGTCAGTCTGCAAAAGATACCAGATTTTCTAATGTGATGCATGCTGTGGTCTGATTTCTGCACAAACTTCTTTCTGTTGGGACAAACAAAAAGTATGTATACATAGACAGACATGAGAAACAAGTTTGGTACTCAAGCTTTTAAATGTTTAAACAGAAGCATCTGACAGCATCAGCAATGAGAGGGAAAGAATGTACAGTGGGGAGAACAAATATTTGATACACTGCTGATTTTTCAGATTTTCCCACTTGCAAAGCATGTAGACGTCTGTAATTTCTATCATAGGTACTCTTCAACTGGGAGTGATGGAATATAAAACAAAAATCCAGAAAATCACAATAGATGATTTTTGAATAATTAATTTCCATTTTATTGCATGAAATAAGTATTTGATACATCAGAAAAACAGAAATTCATATTTGGTGCTGAAACCTTTGTTTGCAATTACAGAGATCAGACGTTTCCTGTAGTTCTTGACCAGGTTTGCACACACTGCAGTAGGGATTTTGGCCCACTCCTCCAAACAGATCTCCTCTAGAGTCTTCAGGTTTCGAGGCTGTCGCTGGGCCACACGGACTTTAAGCTCCCTCCAAAGATTTTCAATTGGATTCAGGTCTGGAGACTGGCTAGGCCACTCCAGGACCTTGAGATGTTTCTTACGGAGCCACTCCTTGGTTGCCCTGGCTGTGTGTTTTGGGTCGTTGTCATGCTGGAAGACCCAGCCACGTCCCATCTTCAGTGCTCTTACTGAGGGGAGGAGGTTGTTGGCCAAGATCTCACGATACATGGCCCCATCCATCCTTCCCTCAACACGGTGCAGTCGCCCTGTCCCCTTTGCAGAAAAGCATCCCCAAAGAATGATGTTTCCACCGCCATGCTTCACGGTTGGGATGGTGTTCTTGGGGTTGTACTCATCATTCTTCTTCCTCCAAACACGACGAGTGGAGTTTAAACCAAAAAGTTCTATTTTTGTCTCATCAGACCACATGACCTTCTCCCATTCCTCCTCTGGATCATTCCAGATGGTCATTTGCAAATATCAGACGGGCCTGGACATGCTTTGGCTTGAGCAAGGGCACCTTGCGTGCACTGCAGGATTTTAATCCTTGACGGCGTAGTGCGTTACTGATGGTTTTCTTTGAGACTGTGGTCCCAGCTCTATTCAGATCATTGACCAGGTCCTGCCGTGTAGTTCTGGGCTCATTTCTCACCTTTCTCATGATCATTGATGCCCCACGAGGTGAGATCTTGCATGGCGCCCCAGACCGAGGGAGATTGACCGTTGTCTTAAATGTCTTCCATTTTCTAATAATTGCACCAACAGTTGTTGCCTTCTCACCAAGCTGCTTGCCTATTGTCCTGTAGCCCATTCCAGAATTGTGCAGGTCTACAATTTTATCTCTGACCTCCTTACACAGCTCTCTGGTCTTGGCCATAGTGGGTTTTGGAGTCTGACTTATTGAGAGTGTGAACAGGTGTCTTTTATACAGATAACAAGATCAAACAGGTGCCATTAATACAGGTAATGAGTGGAGAACAGGGGGGCTTCTTAAAGAAGAAGTTACAGGTCTGTGAGAGCCAAACGTCTTACTGGTTGGTAGATGATCAAATACTTATTTCATGCAATAAAATACAAATTAATTATTTACAAATCCTCTACTGTGATTTTCTGGATTTTTGTTTTATATTCCTTCACTCACAGTTGAAGAGTACCTATGATATAAATTACAGACTTCTACATGCTTTGCAAGTGGATAAACCTGAAAAATCAGCAGTGTATCAAATACTTGTTCTCCCCACTGTATGTAAACTTTACGAGGTAGCGGTTTACAAACTGCTCTTTAGTGGGATATTTCTTTTTAATTACAGAGGCGGCTGTGACCACCAGAGCAGATGCTGGTCCTCCTCCTCAAATGCAGAGAAACAACAGCTCGGTGGTGGAGCTTTGTTTAAAAAAGACTCATGTATGTAAATGTCAACACTGTTTTACCACCAGCAGAGGATTAAACCCGCTTCAATAGTGGAAAGTGGTCCTACACAGTGATGTAAAAGTGACAGGCCATGGTTGAAAGACTGCATTGATTCGTTGTAAAAGGCTGTTCTATCCAATTTCATGTTTTAATCACTCTAAAGGCTCAAATAGCACCCGTCCATGCCACCCATCTCGGTCATGATCTAATGCCATTGAAAACTCTACTTCTGAGTATCTCCCAATAATAACTGCATCAGATTCATCAGAATTTGACATGATAAAAAAATAACGGTAAATGAAACTCCACAGAGCAAAGTTATGATGGCAAATGCTTTAAAACAACATGATCTAAACACTTGGAATGTGTGTAAACTGCCACCATTAAATCTGGTACGTAAAACTAAACCAGGTCCCCATCTGTTTGCGCACGAGCCCCTGGCTTTTGGCTCGTGGATGCGGGTGTCGAGCCTCGCGCTTCAGGTGAGGAGGACTGGGACCGACACGTGGCCAACTGGACTGTCTCTAACCAAAACAAACTCTTCAAATGGTTAGTTTCTGACCTCACACATCCACCTCCGACATCCCTGTGCCGCACATTTGCGACTCAGGTTCCATGGAAGACCCGACTCATGACATAAGGAGAAAGAAGAACATACAGGTCCAGGCCCCATGAAGCCTACACGCACTAACCACTGTCTGAGGGCCTTTGTCCGCGGCCAACGACTGGACCTAAGCAGAAACATCCGCATCCTAATCCCAGTCATCTGCCACAGGAGAACGTTTAATTAAACGAGGTTCAACTCTCATTGTGTTGATATTGATTTTTTTTGTCCTGTTGAGTTTCTCAAATAACTTTGTGTAAGCTCTCAGTCGTATTTGCTTTCTCAAATAACGTTAAGCCTTAAAGGCATTCCTACAGACACAGCACAATCCCTTCTCATCAATACAGCTACACATATATGAGAATATGGACATTTCAATTGACTATGAATCCTTCTTCTATGTTATCAATGACAACAACGCCGGAAAAAAGCAACTCTCGTCAGACGAGTTGGAAAGTATAATCATGTTTAACCTACATTTCAAATGAACACTGAAACTCAGCCGTATTATTGAGTTTGAAGTGGTGGTTTGTTTGTCTGTCCACACAAATGTCCCATAACCTGCGGTTGGCACCAAGAGGTGTCTGCATTCCCCGTAGTCACCTGTAGCAGATGAGGGGTGGCCGTAATGAGGAGGGTCATGCAATGGTCTGTTTTGAAATGCAAACGTGCCAGAGATGGGCCATTACCAGAGTGTACAGCAGCGAGACTGTCCAATCTACAACATCACAGAGAAAACACGTTTGTCTTCAACATGGCTCATGTGAGAATAGGCCTATCAAAGTATAGTGTGCCCACCGTCTGCCCATACGCAGTGGTGCCTTTAAAGTTGTAATAAATACAACTAGAATATGACTATATTTGGCATCGGACCCATAAAAATATGGACTATGCATTATTATAGACCGAACATAAATAAACGGATGTAATCTGAGTTTACCCAGACATTCAGGTACTTGTTTATGTTCTGGGTGTGTCTGGTGATAGTCTCGGGTTCATTATGCAGCCATTAACACATTCTACACACTTCTGCGGCTTCAATTGTTTTCAAAGAGACCACTTCATGGGAGGAATTACCAGAGTGTATTTTTATTGCATTGTGCCAGTAGGTTTCCCACGTTAAAGATACAGGGTTAAAAAAAAAAAAAAACAATAGCTTAAAAGCATTTCATTTCATGTCTTTCACGCACGCCTCATTTTGTGTACTAGCATAAAAAATAGTAGCTGACACATTGTTGGAAGGTGCAAAGCTTAAAAAAAGATGCAGAGAATCTGTCTGTGCAAAAGTACAATGTATGCACAATACTATACATATTTACACAAATATACAATAAACTGCTTACAAATATATAACTTTATCCTCATCAGTTCAAGTGTTCACTGGGGCCACGGCCTCCACACGGTGTCGCTGTTGGGCTTCTGTGAAGATAAGTCACAATGCCGAGCCTCGTGCATGTGAACCGCGTGCGTGTGGAACATGTAGTGAGACTGGAGCTGTGGAGATGGAGAGGACACATGTGCAAAGGTGAAGAGTGCAGATCCAGGGCATGAGCCGTGTCCGGGGGCAGAGGCGTACGCAGGGATGGGGCTTTGACGCAGAGACTGTAAATGACGCTCTTCGTCAGTGCTGTCTGCGATGAAGCCGCTAACTCTGCGCAGACAGGTCCTCACGCCATCCTCGTAGTCCGGCTGTCTCACCTCCTCCTCAAAATGAAACTTCTTTCCAAAATGACCAGTCTTCTTAATCTGAATTTCTCCTTGTAAAAAGTGCACGACGCTCTCCAGGATCTCAGCCTTTTCAACTTTGGGATTTTTAAGCCTCTGTAAAGAAACAGACGCACATGGTCAGATTGACGGTGATAATTCACAGTTATAATCCTAGTTAAATGGGTGTCAAAACTCACCTCATCGTCGCTTGTTTCCAGCAGCAAAAGTCGTAATTTCTCCAGACTGTGGTTGATCCTCTCCCGTCTGCGCTTCTCAACAACAGGCTTGGCGACTTTAGACTAGAAAAAACATTGCATGGGAGTTAAAACTTTAAACAGTGTTGCGAGACGTGTATCAAATTGTAATCTTGTAGCAGTCTTACCCTTCTGGAAGTCCTCTTTGCCTGCGTCTCTGGGGTTGCAGATCTCATGATGCATACGGTGTGGATGTAAGATAAGTTAGAATACATGTGCACGAGCTTACCTTCTGGTTTATAAACGCTTCGCCCACAAGCCCCGCCCCCACGACACGCCCTGTCCATTCAGTGCATGGCCATCATCATGATGGGCACCTGAATGAGTCCACTCCCCACAGGCTTCATATGCAAATAAAGAACTCATCTGCGAAAACACACGTCTCCATTTCCCAGATAAACCTTCAACACGTTTTGTTTTGGGCAGTAAATATAAAAGGATTTTCTCAAGATCGGGTGAAACTTCATTTATAGCACTGAAATTGATCTGGCTTTTCAAATATTTCTAATAACACTTCATATTGTGCCAAGATAATGTAACAACGAGTGTATTCAAAAATAGATAATGAGAGAAGATCAGACCTTAATTTTTGTGCTTGTTTGATTTGATATGGGACTTTTGTTAATAAAGGCAGCAGAGTTCCATTGTTGTATCAGTGTCAGATGCAGTGTGCCGCAGGTGATTGTTAAAGGTCTGCCACGGCTCCAAAAGGTTGGGGACCACTATATTATTTCACCCTTTGCTCAGGCTAAAGCTGGGCTAACTTTTATCTCAGTGTACATGATCCATGATACATGATACATGATCCATGTTTTTAAAAGTAAAATGCTGACCACACCGTGCATCACTATAGATATGTTATCATTTCCATATAAGCCAGAGTCACTATTTGACTCTTTGGGCAGAGAGCTGAATGACCCAGTGAGAGTGGTCCTTTGTATGTTTGTCTCAACAGTAAGAGTCTTGTCAAAGTAAAATGTTGTGAACAAATTAGACTATGCTGCCTGTAACTTATTGGAAAACAATGTGCGAGAAAGAGCTCATGAGTCACTATTTGACACTTTGAGCTGAGAGTTGAGGGCTGAGCAAGTGTGGTCCTTTCTTTTTTACTTTTATCCCTGAAAATGTAGATTCGAAGCTTCAGAATTATTTGTCACTAATGAAGAAGATGACAAAGTCTGGGATCGTGTCATAAATTCAGACAGAAGACATGTTTTATTGTCGATGGTAGAGACAGCACGAACAACACGAACAACAGAATGCAAGTGTATTATACAGAGCGGAGGCATGGAGACCTCCAATCAGCAGCTTCCACGGTGTGCTTGTAGCTTGGCCTTCAGATAGACAAAACAAGGGAAAAGTACTGGCTTCTGCACATTGATAGATTGATGAGTTTAACTTTAACAAAAGTTGCTTAAAAGTGTTATGAAATCTCACATTCCCCCCTCTGGTCATACATTCACGTGTGACCATCAGGATCGATAAACAGCAACATAACATCATAACTCAATACTCGGAATACTTCAAAAACTCATAAAACTCATAAAACATGTTCAGATCTTTCATAAAACTTGTCAACAATCTTCAGTAAAATACCAAACTTCATCAGTCGATGGTTCCAGATATTGCTTTGAAAACAGTCTCTCCCACTTCTCCGTGTTGGTTTCTTCAGGCTGCATTTGTGTCGAGCCATGAATTCTTCTGTGACGTGTCTTTCAATCACACGTTTCAGCTTCAGTGTCCAGATTCAGCAATCCAATTCAGTCCAAATTATGTCCAAATTCAGAAATCCAGATTGTTCCAAATTATGTCCAAATTGTGTAATCCAATTTTTCCAAATGGTGTCCATGCAAAAGAGGACGCTGGTGTTGTCCATGTCTCAGCAGCTCACAGCCTGACTGGAATCAGGGGCTGTGCAGATTGTCCAAGTGTGCTGGTCCAGATGCATTCTCTTGAGGTTTCTCAGTTTTGTCTTAAAAAAAAACACTTTTTTGTGTAAAAAAAAAGGTCTTCTGTTCTCTAGATGTTACAGACAAGGCCCGCATCCTTCCACCACCTGAAGAAGATGACAAAGTCTGGGATCGTGTAATAAATTCCGACAGAAGACATGTTTTATTGTCGATGGTAGAGACAGCACGAACAAAGCACACGATCACAGAAACAACAGAATGCAAGTGTATTATACAGAGCGGAGGCATGGAGACCTCCAATCAGCAGCTTCCACGGTGTGCTTGTAGCTTGGCCTTCAGATAGACAAAACAAGGGAAAAGTACTGGCTTCTGCACATTGATAGATTGATGAGTTTAACTTTAACAAAAGTTGCTTAAAAGTGTTATGAAATCTCACACTAACTATATATTTGCTTTGGCTCAATAGGGCATGCATAAAAAAGTTTAAAACATCTTCATAAAATGTCATCCCATTACAATTATACAGTGCAAAACGTCCCTTATAAGAAAGTCAGCCCTTTGATAAACAAAATCGACTATTCTGCACGCTTATATGAACAACAGAAATAATTAAATAAAAACAAAAACGAATTTCACAAAATCAGAATTATTGCCATTGTAATTAACAGGAAGTCACAAACATGAATTGCAAGTAACATGCAAACAAGAGTAAAATAGATCAAATAAAAAGTATGCATAAAATGTCTTAAAATTACTTTACAGCCTCTCTTTATAAGAAAGATGAGATAGACTGTATTGATCTCACACAGGAGAAATGTACATATGTCACATTTGGCATACATAGAATCACTCAGATTTGTGCAAAAGACAAAAGACATGGAAGTCAGTACCAAAACCCACTATTTCTCTTGTAAGCGCATGCATTATTTTCAGATATCCATAGGCCAATACTTGAGTGCCCATTTCACACGTGTCTGCCATGAGAGTGCAGTGATGGCCGCAGCCTGAGCCACACCCTCTGACGTTCTGATCTCTAACCTCTGCTTTAAATGCATCCTTTACTTTCATTAAATGTCACAGTCCGCTGCTCTGAAGTTTCGCGGTTCCTTTCTATTCACTGCATTTCCACCCGTCCTGATCCCAATAATGGGCTAAAGACGCGGATAACAGTAGGATGATCCGATCAGAGCCATGCAGCAGAGATTAAGAGGCCTTTCACGTCAGATAATACTTCCGTTGCCAGAGGGCGATCAGAGGCCTTTTCAGTGCGCGCGGCGGCCATGGCAACGACGCACGGGGCGCGTCAGTGGAGAAGGAAGCCAAATAAATATCAACAGGACACACGTTTGGAGAAAACACATCACATATATCATCTGTTATTTGTGGCCACATATAGAATATGTTAACTCCTGATTTGCAGTCTCAAGAAAGTAACTTTTTGTAACCTGCAGAGTTCTATCTAAAAAATATTCTCTGGTCCTGCCGTGTTTGAGGAGATCATGCATCCTGCTTTGCGGTTGTGCGGTGCGAGTTTTGCAAATGAATACATAGGCATGACAAGTTTATTTGTACAGCACAGTTCATTTGCTCCTCAGAGTCCAATTCGGTTCATTTGGCACGAGCCCATGGAGATACTTGCATACAAGCAGAGCTGTAAAAACAAAACAAAGCCATATTTGAAAAATACAAGTAATGTATTACACTCAAACGCTGGATATTACAAACTTGTAAGAGCCATGGGGTCTTACACAACTGCAGTTATTCAGAAGAGTGAGCACCAATAATGTGCCTGAAGCATATGACCCTCCAAAACTAATCCGTATTCTAACCTCCAATCGTTTTATTGCATGGATTCCTTCAAACCCGTTGAACCAGCTGGACCAGACCAGGGTCCAATTCTTCTCTCAAGCCCCTGCAGACAAGCCCCGGAGAAACTGAAACAGATGTGATTAAACTCTGGTTTAACATTAACCTGCCGCACCATCGTGCACATTTCATTTCTAATAATTGACCGGACTTCACGGACGGCCAAAGTCAGGCTAGTTTAACATGGATGCAGGAAATAACTCGCTTGTGTCAGTGTGCCCCAGGGCAGCTGTGGCCACAGTATAGTTTATCACTATTCAATCATTTTCTTCGAAATTATTTAAAGATAAGTTGTGGGGGACAACACCTGCTTCTGAAACAGCAGAAGTATTGGAAACGATCATTCGAACACTCTGTGTTCTGGACAAAAAGTAGTTCAAAATTTTGTAAACAGTAATATGGCTTCATGTGTTTGTTATTATTATGTTCTGATTGATTATCTGTTGTTGACGACTCAACAACTTTAGAAAATCCTCTGAAGACTGTTGTGATAAGTTGAATTTGAATTTGATAAACAAAAATATTACGTTGGTGAAATATAGATTTATTTTTAATTGTTGTAGGTTCCGTTGTCCTGTATGTGCGTGGAAGACTGGATTCATTTACAATGCATATGAAATATCTCCTTCCGTATCATCTTCGACCTTCATCTTGCTGTTATTGACCTTTTGTGGCGAAAAATGACATACGCGGCTGTAAAAACGTCTTTATGTAAGATTTCACTTGAAAAAATCTGGAGCTACTGTCTCATAAAAGGTAGGAAAAAACAGGGAAAGGAATTTGTTGAATTCGGATGCAGCCCTGGCTTTAAACAGAGAGTCCCACACGGTTCTTGGAGGCTGTGCAAATGGAATATTAATAATAACAATAATAATAATAATCTGTTGGCAGGTGGTTTCGGAGGTGTGAGAGTGGCCCGAGGCAGACACACTTCACACACGGGTGTAACATTTGGCCCTCAGAGGCCCCACACCTCTGCTGGTGCTAAACTGCAGTAACAACCAGGGCCCGCGCCGTTTGTCCCGCTGTGCGTGTCCGCTCGTGCGCCATGAAGGCACGAGTGAGACCGTGGGACCGCCACAACTCTCCACCTCCATTTGATATTCATAAGTCTCACATAACTCCGAAAATACGCGCTGGCCCCTTTCCCACGCTTCTGGTTAAACACCAAACTCACACCGAAGGGACCTGCCACATTTGGGTCAAAAAAGGCTTTCAGAGGTCACTGTTAAAGTAGCAGAAATTCAAAGAAATATTAAAGTGAAACCTACTGTTTTTCTCAGCAAATGAAAATACAGCAGCATGTCGGGGTTGTCTGCACTGATGGTCAGGAAAGTGTCTAAAAAATAATAATATATTACTAATCCTTATAGTTACACTGAATCAAATGTAACACAGTAAGTAAGTTTTTTTTAGTAGTAGTAAGTTTTTATTTATATACCGCCTTTTCACTGCAGATCTGAGTCTCAAAGCGGTTTACAATTGTTAATTGTGGGCATTTGTCTCTCACTCCACACAGAGATGGGAGCGGGGTCGCCAGTACAGGAGGCGCATGCCAGACCTATTGTACATATTTTTAGTGGTAGGGGAAACCGGAGTACCCGGAGGAAACCTACGCAGACACAGGGAGAACATGCAAACTCCACTCAGAAAGGCCCTGGTCCGACCGGGATTCGAACCAGGACCTTCTTGCTGAGAGGCGAGAGTGCTATCCACTCTGCCACCGTGCCGCCATGGTCATTACAGGTCCATTACTGTTTAGGTATCTGTCAAAAAAAACTCCAACACTGTAAGTGTGTCACTTGAGGGTGTTGTTGCTTGTTCTGTTTCACGAGAAACATTTTTTTTTGTCTCACTGCAAGTTGTCTTGAAGTCTATAATTAGATTTAGTCATATGTAAATATTGGTCAAACAAAGTAAACAGCTCTGTTACTTTGATTGTAACTGTCCAAATGTGTTGTAACAACAGAGCTGCTCCCAGCACTGATGATAAACAGTGCAGTTTATACTTTGCTTTTTCAGCTGCTAATAGTAACTTCTTTTCAACTCATCAGGGTATTGTGCACCGGCTAATCGTGCAGTTGATGAAAGACCGTGCGACCAATAATTCACTCACATAAACACATATAACCATACTCTGGTACTGAAGTCTCCCATCAGTGCACTGACCAGGACCTGCACTTCTGAGTTTGAATCATGCGGGAATATCAGACTCCGAAAAGGTATGACATTTTGAAATCTTTTCTGGATTTAATTGCTAAAGGATTTAATTTGAACCCCACAGACAGAGCCCGTGCACATGTTGGAGGTCACAGCATGTGAGAGTCCAGAATGTGATTTTCAGCCTGTTGTACATGTTTGGAGCACCCGGAGAAAACCTCCACAGACACGAGGATGACTCCTGTCAAAGAGAGCGTCATCTCTTCATGCTTCTGAAGTGATATATAGTTGTCAAATTATCCATTACAAAATAATTGTAAAGTGAACTTTACAAAAACAGAACACAGCTTTGCTCTGACCATCGCCCCCTGGTGGTACAGAAGTATACTCTAATCATCGTTTACAAGGAGACCACATCTTGTCCAGTGATTGAAACCAGTGATATCTCCAAATGCACAACTGATGCATGATTGATAACAATGACTGTTTGTGTCTACTGCCCACTACATGCACGTGAGTATTAGAGGCGTTAAGCGCAAGAGATACCTGGAGAATATTACACGTGTTGTGATCCTTTAGACATGTGTTCAGATGTTCATTCACTCCTTCATTTGCAGAGACGAGCCTCCGCTGCGCTCATTATTCTTATCTGACTCGAATTGTGTTTCATTTGCAGTGTGCTGAGAGAAAATATCCATATTTTCTGTAGTTGCAGCTGGTCAAATCAAACACCCAAAGAGATGGTCGCCATTTTTATTCGCACGTTAAGTTTAAGAAAGAGTTTATGAACCTGTGGCACCTTCGAGCCGTATCTGGCTTCAGAATGATGAACACTCCTTCGCCAAAACACCCCAACTCAAAAACATATATTCTTTGGTGAAAATATGCCATTGACTCTCAGAGGAAAAAACAAAACGTGTTATTGTCTGATTGTGTCTTTGAAGATTTCACAAAACACATATTGGATTATTTCAAAATGTAAAATAGCAATTTATCCTGACTTGTTTTTTGAAGCACCAAAGGACCAAAGAGCAAAAGTCTATTTCCAGCATCTTTGGCCGAATTAAGGTCGGACAAATAACTGACTGTATAAAACAGAGCGTGTATTCTGCTGTATATTCGCTCATTTGGTAATTTTCCTCTTCCAAAGTGCCATCTCTTGCACATCATAAAAGCTGCTCATTTTGACACTTAATTTCAGTTCCCACGGGAAACACGTAGCGTTCTCATAGTTCGCCTCATGGGAAAGTTCACACATCGCACATGAATTAATGTCGTCTGGGACGTATGAAAATGTTCTTTGGGATATTAACACAGTATATTCTCGTTTCCCTTTAATGATCCCAGAGGCCCATGACAGGGTCTAACTCTTTAGGCCTATGCAATTAGCATAGAGGTATTTGTAGAGGCTCAGACAATAACGTTTTTGCTTATTATTATGAATTTAACATAACTTTATACGGTTTGCATGTATGTCCCATAATGGCTGAATCTCATGATCATGCCACATTTTTACTACATTAACATTACTTTGTGGAAACATTTCACTAACATTACATTTATTATAAAGACATAAAGGCGGTGTTTTTATAATGGCAAAGAAATAATTTTGAACCAAATGTTTTATCGAGAGTTTGTCCTGATAGACACTTTAAGACGCACAGCGTGAGGTGTTGCGGCTCACACCTGACAGCCAATAGGAAGAGGCGCGTGGCCCACGGCAGACAGCAGGAGGCCCATATAAGGGCTGCGCACGAGCGCAGGCTGATTCTGTTGAACAGAAGCGCGAGCTACAAACATGACCAAGATCCTGCCCCACTGCAGCCAAGAGGGCCCCCGGAGCAGGAAAAGGGTAAACTTCATTTTACTGTCAGTATCACGACTTTTTATTCTTCATATTTATTCAACTGTCGAGAAATCTCGTGAGCATAACGTTTGTTTATTTATTTTTGACTATGTTTATAAAGATTCTCAGACAATATTATATCATAACGTGTAAGTATCAGAAAAACGACCAAAACTTAAAAACGTGGAGAACATTTTTCTATAGTGTAAACCTTTCTCTGGTTTGAAAGGGGAAAGCTGTAGCCTTGTATTCAAACATTTACTTAATCAGTATAATTCATGATTCCATGAATGATGTGAGATGCCCAGCTCCAGTTCCACTTCTGGTCTGTTTTGGGAATCGTAAGCTTTTTGAAGAAGTTGATTGTGAACATATTGCTCGCGTCTTTATCAGCGATTCTGTATGTGAACTGATCTGTTTTCCATTGCGCTTTGGTCGTAGATACTTAAACCCGTAGTGGAAAAGAAAAGGAGAGATCGCATCAATCATAGCCTGGCAGAATTGAGGAGTCTTCTTTTGAACTCAACATCTGACCCTGTAAGTCACACCATTTGTTTGGGCGAGCATCACTTCTGACACCTCCAAACACCCCCTGCCTGAGCCCCGAGTTTATGATTGGCGAATTGCTTCCTTCCTCTTTTTATGGTACCCATGTTTTAGCAGTGTGCCAGAAAAAGACCACACAAAGCTTCATTGACTACCATTCAGTGTATTTATTATTTTGTGTTTATAATCCTTTCCAGCGGCTGCAAAATCCAAAAATAGAGAAGGCAGAGATTTTGGACCTTGCTGTTGAGTATCTACACAAGTGGACCAGTGGGGCCAATGGTAAGTAAGAAAAAGGCACTGTACCTGAAAGTATTCAAACTTACACCCTTTACTTTGTATTGGTCCAAATGATTAGTTTGTCATTTTCACAACATTCAGACAGATCTCTATTTTTGAATTTTTTTGAACAAACCATTTTTTGCTCACACATGCTGGGAACATTATTATGCCACTATTTTTAATAAATTATCTTTTATTTTTTAAATGTGTTGTGATCTACATAAACCTCACGGACCAGTAAGAAGAGTGAGTGCTTGTTACCATAGAAACACGCTGTTTACTGTTAGCAATTAGAATTAGCATCCAGGTGTATTTCAGTTATATCAAACTGTTTTAGCACTAATTGATTGTGGGTAATGGTAAAAAACCTTACCTACTTTTAATTATTCGGGTGAAAAACTTTTTTGTGGAATTTTTTCAGAATTACATCGGTTTAGGATGTTTAGGCTCCCTGTGAACATCTGTCATATCAATGTTTGAACAAGTTTATTATTGTAATTTTGTGCTTGAATGTGCTTTGTCTAACACCGCCTCCATCTCAATTTTTCCACATAACATAAAAGTTACGGTCAACATCTTTGTTTTCCACATTTTCAGATGCAGCAAAGATAAGACATGCTGCAGCAGTCGAGGTGTCTCCCCCTCACCTCGAGCCCTCCCCCATAGTCACCATGGAGAGCGCTGGTTTCAAACGGTGCATTGCCGACTTGACCGGCTACATGCACAAAATCACTCCAGCGCAGAGGAGCAGTCTCATTGAAGGTCTGAGACGCCACACGGAAGGACAGCCGCCGCCTTCAAACGGCGAGCTGGAGCAGAGACTTGGCCAAATGCCCCAGGCGTATTTGGACTCAAGCTACTCGTCAGATAAGAAAGAAGAGTCTCTCAAGTTTCCTTTCCTGTCGCATTCATTCAACCACTCTCCTCACTGCTCCACTCCGCTCCACGACTATCTCTCTCCTCCTCACTCTCCGTGGTTTTCTCCTCTCTCCAGCTACTCCACGTCTCCTCCGTTCGTGACGTATGCGTGTCACTTCACCTTCCCGCCCACTCCTTCGTCCTGTAACAGCGGTTTGGCCTCGCTCCCAGCGGCTGTGGCCTTCACCCCGACCTCAGGACTGTGTCTGCCCCTGCAGCTGCCTCCACAGGGGGCCAGCTCTGGCTTTGCTCCCCTCTGGAGACCCTGGTGAACCACACAGACCACAGAGGAGCAAGACAATGAGTGGACGAATGCAATATGTACAGTGTAAATAGTATTATATTTGTATGTATTTATAACAATGGCAAATAAAATCAACTCATGGATGTGTCGTCTGGTGTTGGTCATTCCGTTTATGTTTATAATCTACACATTTACTTTACTAAATAAGCCAAAGTATTTCTTATATTTTCTAATTTAACATGACTTTTATAATCATGCTTGTATTATTAGCAAACAAGATGAAAATGGCTTGGTTTTTATATACTTTTTGAGCTTAAATGATATAATAATAATAGCTAATAAGACCACACATTCATAGCTTTCTGTCTTTTTAATGTCTTTTTTTATTTACAAGTCCAGACACAATGAAAAATAAAAACCTTTACATTTCCTAATTACAGCTGAAATGGACTGTGCCTGTTTTTTCAAAGCCTGATCTTAGAAGCAAAGCAGTGCAACTAGGTCTGGCTAGTACCGGGATGGGAGACCACAGTGGCTCTGATGTGTTCAACAGTTATGTTGTTGGAAAAAAGACCCTTTAGCCTTTTATTTCTCCTTATTCGATGGGGACAATGCAAGTGAATGCATGTGTGCATTCACTTGTGTGAGCAAATGTAAATATGCCGGATTAAAGCTACATTATACTATCATTCTCATCCACAGTCCCTATGCCGGTACAGAAACACACACAAAATAACTGATGCCTTTTGTGGACTGCGGCCTTCTTCCTAAAAACCGCTCCCTCAAAAGTCTCATTTTTCCACGCTATCTCACAGATTGGCAGCCTCACTTCCATCAGTCTGCTCCAGGGCAGCTCTAGCTATAGACACATGTGTGGTTTGAATGAATGATCCACTGTTGAGTGTCCAACATAAGATCTTTATAACTGTTATTAGAGTCAATTTTATTTGCCAGTAAAACCACATTGGAATGAATACATGTGCAAAAGTACTCCAGCCTGCAACAGACAAGCATACAGAATAAAACAAGCTAAAAAGTACAAGAAAGGATTGTCACGGTGAAATACATCAACATATATGTCATATCTATTTCAAAAGGTGAAGATGGATAATTGTGTCATTAAAAAAAAAACATCCTATCACAAGATTATTATTTTAAAAAAATGAAAAAAAGGTCTTTTGTTTTCTATCAAATGCTGCAGTGATCCAGAGAAGAAGGGAAGAAAAACGCAGACAGATGAGGTGCCATTGAAAATCTCTGTTTATGATTTAACGGGCCCTAAGTTCAGTGTGGAGACTTTGACACCAGCCAGGGCCACACTTTCTCACTCCGGCGTCAATCTCCTTCATGAGGCTTGTGCCGTTTGTCCCATTTTCCCATGTTCACAGTTTCAGAGCCTCGGAACATCTGTGCAAGTGTGTTTTCTTCTAGATTATACATTATCTATGTGGTTCAAACCAAGTCTTTAGCTATACTTGCCTGGTTTGAACATAATAATTTTGATTTTTTTATTCATTTATTTAACTCAAACTGGCACAAGATATACATTTTTTTTTTTTTTTTACAGAACATTAGGATGAAATAATATTAAACAAATACCTGTACATGGTTTGAAACAGGATTAGAGGAGGCCAAAATCTTATATTAATCTAACCCCCTCCCAGCAATTCTGGCACACACCACACACACACACACACACACACACACACTTGCACACACATGCACACATATAAGACACCGGCCCAAAACCCTCACTAACCCTACACCTCTCTCTCCTCAGTCTGTCTCCTTCCTCCACATAATTTAAAGAACTATATGAAATCTGAATGATAAAATACATTGGTTACGGGCTAATCAGGTATATTAATTGTTTGTTCAGCAACTCGGTAAACTTTCATCATCAAGAGTGGCTAACAAAAAGCTTATTCTGCCAATTGGTGAGGTGATAGCCCGAGAATCGCTGTTCTAGTTTATTGTGTCTCTCAGAAGTGTGTCGAGGTAAAATGGTGCTTTTAACACATTGTTCTTAATGAGGGTGTGAGTTGTTCCCACAGCGACATGGACCCTCCTCCTCCCACGGCACAAGCCTAGGTTTATCTACAGGCAATAGATTCGGAATCTTTAAAACTCTTTATGATAAACTATACAAATATTTGAGGTAATTTTAATCTGGCAGCAGGCAATAGTTGGCTCTTGTGTTGTATGCCAATTTTTATTTTTTTATGTTTTATATACAGTAGTAATATATTTCTTTTACCAATACCATTTTCAAACATATCATAATCAGCAGATATTAGGGGAGGATGTTGTTTTTCTATCAATTTGCATCAGTTCATTTGGTCTTCTATGCTCCATGCTGTTTGTCGATGCCTCACACACCATAAACATTACCGCCGATCACTTTGACACTTGGTTCCAGTTCCCACGGGAATCTCCTGAGATGTTAAAATACATGTTTGGCTGAAAGCTGAGGTTATATCCTCTAAATACATGTAAAGTATGTAATGTATGTGAAGCAATAATGGGTCTAAAATAATGGGTCTAAAATGTATTGTTTCGCTCGGGGCCAGTGGAGGGCAGCATTGCTAAAGTAGAACATGGTCCGGAGTCTTATGTGCCACTTAACCTTTTCAGAAATAATACTAACCGAAGGCAGTGCAGCACAGGAAAAGTATTAAGCTGGACATGGTTATTATAGCTGGAAGTGGAAAAAAGCTGTTTGTTATCAATCCACTCTATCAAATGCTGTTGTACAATATCTTCCAGAATCCATGTTATAGTTTATGAGCATAGTTTATGAACCTAATTAGATTTATCGATATATTATTTCCGATTATAATATTTATTAGTATCAATACTCGCCTGAAACGCTGTACATTCTGATACATAATATTGTGTCAATGTGTGTGTGTGTGTGTGCTTTGTCTCATGTGTTTTTGTTGTTATTTTATAGATTTCATGACACTTTGAAGCTTAAAGTTCCAACTCATCATTATAACAATATGCACGAGGCAGTACTTTTCCGTTGGTTATCTCAAGGTTGAAGCTACTGGCACCTTTGTTCATGCTGTCTATACCATTGATAATAAAACATGTCTTCTGTCTGAATTAAAGACACGATCCCAGACTTTGTCATTTTCTCCATTATCTATGAATGATGACATTGTTTATTGTCTGCCTTACTGTATCTGTAATCTGGTGACATTTTGAGAATCCCTCAAAAACAACATAAATACATGAATAAAAAATACAGTCATGGTGGTAGACATCGTTGAGTTTTATGAGGAACTTTGTAACTTGTATTCTTTATGGTATCACTTTTAATTATATAGAGGCATTTGCTCTTATTTCTCTTACGTGCAGTCATATACCATCTTCAGAACGTTCATATGTATTTTCTGTGCTAAAGGCCTGAATTTGTTGTCCAGATTTCCTATAATTCGAAAAGGAAAATGAAAATCCAACAGGAGTTACAATTCTCTGCATTTAATATAGGTTAAACTATGAGTCAAGACAAATGGGCTGATAATAAAATCAATATAAGTAAAATATGTAAGTAATAATAATACATAAATAGTGATCATAAAAAAGTTGTTGTCATTGTTCAGTCTCTCCAAACACGATGGTGATAAACTACTTCTTTTTTTATTTATTCTATTTTGTTATTTAACATTTATTTAACCAGGAATGTCGCTTTGAGATTAAGAACCTCTTTTTTAAGGGAGTCCTGGACAAAAGATACATGCAGTTACACACAGTTACAGATGAAAAAAACAGTTACATACAATTTCACAAAATCACGGATTATAAAAACAATTCTGTGGCCACATTTGCCCTGGGGCACAGTGACGGAAGCGAGGCAACCTGCAGTGCCCCTCCATCCATCACCAACCCTTCATGCACACAGCAAACTCATGCAAGGCACTGTGGGTAAAGTGTCTTGCCTAAGGACACAGTTGCAGTTTGGCACATTGCAACAGCAGCCACCCCACTGTCATACCTGATGTTCCCAGAGGTCTCCCATCACAGTACGAACCATGCCTTGTCCTGCTTAGCTTCAAGGCTTTCACATGCAAGTGGCGGCACGGAACATGAGATTCAGGGAGTCTCATTTAATGGCCTTATAAAACATGAAAGCAAAGTGATTACATATGGTCATTTACATTCATTCGGACACCTGCAAATAAGGCCGAGGGAGGGAATACTTTCTTCATGTCACTTGATAAAAAGGAGAAGGATTTGGATACAGCCAATAATTTGATTCAAATATCATCCCTCTTAAGTTAACTGGGGGAAGGCTGAGTTACTACAGTCACTATGAAACATCTGAATACATCTATCCCATCATATATCTGTACTTTATCCCAGTACTTAAGAAATCCTGTGTATACTGCCTGCATATCGTATCTGTATGTAGACAATCTGTCATGGTGTGGACTTCTTGTTAATGTATCTGGTTCTATTTTGATATATTTTTGTGAGTTTTGCTTCCTGTCTGTCTTGGTGTTGGTTTGCCCCGCCCTGATGTGCTACACCTGTGTCTACCTGTGTGTATTTAGACCCTGTGCTCATGTCCTCTTGTTGTTGTCGGCCCATTGTTGTTTCCCCCCCCATGTCTTGTTCCCGGTTTCAATTTTTACTTTTGTTGCATCTATTAAATTATAATATTTTGCAGTTCTGCTTTTGGGTCCTTCCTTGTTTATTCGTGACAGAATCAGTTGATAACGATCATGATAATAAATAGTTGATAATAAATATGTGCTGCTCAAAATCCAATCCATTCTAATCAAAATGGAAGAGACGCTTTCATCTGTTTTTGATAAAGGCAAGATTTTAATGCCATTATGGAACATTACAAAACATTGACATACTTACTTTGCGACTTCCAAAACATAGTTATTATTTCAACTTTTTTTAATGCTTTACAGTCTCTCTGAAGTGTGTCTCTGTGTAATAGCAGCTTTAGCACTTGGTTCCTAATGAGGGTGTGAGGTGTTCCCACGGCACAAGCCTGGGACGGTCACACCA